TCAGCGGTTATTGAGTAGATTCGTAAAGTAATGCAGAGGAGTATTTATTGATTGATTGATTTTGTACAGAGAGGAAGGGAGAGAGATAGAGAGTTAGAAATATCGACGAGAGAGAGTCATCAATCAGCTGCCTCTTGCGCACCCCCTACTGGGGATATGCCCGCAACCAAGGTACATGCCCTTGACCGGAATCGAACCCGGGACCTTTCAGTCCCCAAGCCGACGCTCTATCCATTGAGCCAAACCGGTCTCAGCTGCAGAGGAGTATTTAATAGATGTTTCTTCCCTCCTTCCCCCTGCCTGTTAGACAAAGGAATCATTGGAGTAGAAACTTGAATAGACTGCTGTGAAGAAGTGGGTGAAACTTAGACAAAAGTCTGTCAGTAAGTTAGTTGCCAGGTGCTGGTTGGATTAGAGTCTTTCCCTAAGAATACTTAGGCAGGTTTCCAACGTTGTTTGCTTTGATTTAGCTCACACACTTTGTCTTTGATTAAAAGTTTGACTCTTTATTTCTCCAGACTCAAACCCCAGTTCTTCAAGCTTCTTTACTTTTTAGAAGGATCTTAAGTTCCAAGGAAAAGGAGTTGCTTCCATTTTCCTATGACATAGACAGTTTTGAGAGCCTTCGTGTTTGGGTGGGGCCCAGTCACACCCTCCACAAATCTACAGACTAGAACTATAAATTTGTCAGCCTGTGGGTTGTAAAATGAAACCATGTACCAAAGAAAAATGGTGAATGACTCACACACATGTGATCTTCTGGGAGGGGGAGGGATACAGTAAGAATGGGCCACAAGGACAGCAAATCCCTCCAGAGCACTGTTCAGGTTCCCTGTTCTAGGATGTGGGTCATTGTTATGAGTCTGAATGAAGGCCACCAAGTTCAGTTGGGATCTCAAAGATAGTATCCGCTACTGGGGTGAATTCACCATGTTGCCCCATCCAGCAGGACGAGGGAAATTGGACTCATCAGCACATCAAGAAGGGGTCCAACTCTTAGGGACAGGTTTATATTTATAAGCTTATCACACACACACACACACACACACACACACACAAACACACTCATGCACGCACACACACACTCATATATGCACACATACATACATACACAAACAGACACACTGCTAATTTATTTATTTACATTGAGAAATGCAACTGTTACTTAGATGAAAAACCTTATGCTCCAGTACTTTGTAGACAGGTGCACCTGGGAAGCCAAACTCTCGTCCAGAGGTTGCTTGGCAACCATGGAAGTAGAACAAAAGGGTTTCAGATGGATAAAACTCACCTTCACAGTGGGGAAATACCTGACTCTGGACCATTGGGTCCTGGGACTAAGCCACTGTTTCCTTGGGACTGGGCTTTGAATAATATTTCAGAGTGAGCCTCTCAGGATTTTTGTGTGGAGCTTGCATTGCAATGGAAACAGTTTTTCTTTAAATATGATAATACCTTCCAGCTAGTTAACTTCCGTTCAGGAGCCGTTCTTTCTCATTGAAATTAATTTATATATCTTTGTTTTGATGCTTACTAGCTGATTTTACTCACCTGTGGCTCAGGGAACAATATAATTTGCCTGCTTTCCAATTTTTGGGTGTGGGGGGGAGGAAGGCACCACACAGCCGGCTCCATGTAAGGCCCACTGAAGGATCACTTGAAATCTGAGTTCCACAGGCCGGCCACCTGCCTTAAGGACATAAGAAACTTTCTACTTGAGTCAGCACTCAGCTTTCAATGTCTGGCAGTGATACTGGTGGGCAATTTGTTGGATGGTGTAATAATTATCTTTCTAGACATTCAACCTGAAAACAATATGGATGCACTCTCCACATGTTTCATTTTTCTTCATGAATCCATCATAAATCATCTCTGCAAATTTTTGTAATCTTACCTGAAATAGATTGAACTTACTTACAACACATTATTTCCTTATGCAACTGCTATTGGAATAGGTTTCTTATGTTTAGTTCCTAGCTTTCTTTCCGTTTGCTCTAAAACAATGTCTTAAAATCTTCAGGAGCCCTGCCATGAACCCTCATGGCAGAATTCCATATTGTAAAGAAGTGACAGTTTCCCACCCACATACTGCCTACCACTTAGGTTTCTTTAGATGTCACAAACATATGGTCCCTTCTGTCTTCATCTATCCTTCTTGAAGAATCCCCATGTTTTTAGGGCCATTTGAACCACACCCCGTCCTGAGTGTGTTTTATAGCTATGAAGGCCGAGCCACAGTTGTTCAACATTTTGCTACACCTGTGAGCAGTAAAGGAGTTTTTCAAACCCTGACAGAAAAATCTGAGTCATTGTGAACTTGGTCACATGGTTCAGTTTATGGAACTGCAAGCTGGCCGAGAGAGAGAGAGAGAGAGAGAGAGAGAGAGAGAGAGAGAGAGAGAGAGAACGAACGAATGAATCAAGGAAGCTGAGGCAGAAAAGGATTCCTATGAAGAACCCTTGGCTCTGCAGGGCGATGGGAAATATGGGAGGACTTATAAGTGAGCTTCCACAGAGAAGGACCTTTTGTCCTTTGGGGGCTGGTCATTTTGTGCGGTTAAGGAGAGGCCTACTGCAGTTCTGTGTGGGGAGAGGGGTGTATGGGGTTCCTCCTCCTCTTTCCACTCCTCCCCTATCCTTGCCAAGCATTACCTAGACCTTACTGGATGCCAGATATTATGCTAGTAAGCATTCGTATGGATTAATTTTACATGGATTATCTGAAATCTAATGAAAGAGCCAAGGAGCACCTTTTCTACATTCACTTCTCTAATCTACTTAGAAACTATTTTGGTACTAGTAAGTAATAAATGCACAACAGCTGTCTCTCTATAAATGGGCTTATGCTGTGTGCTGTCCAAGTTTTAAAATAAATTGGCTAAAAGTACCCTGTGTTCAAGTACGGTACATTTTTTTTTCCTTTAGTAAAATATTTCTAGCTCATTGAGTAATAATCCTCCGTTATTTCCAGAAGGCTTTGCTCAAACAGTCTTTCCACTTCTTGACGTGGGCATAAGAACTGGAAGGGACAGGTTGTATTCAAGTCTGGCTTCTGTGGGAGGTGTCCCCCTTGCCTGCTCTCTCACTCACTGTCCTTTAGTCCAAAGCCACATGGAAGCAAAGGGAGGGTCTAACTCTCTATCTCTCTTCCTCTCTGTATAAAATCAATAAAATATATTTTTTAAAAAAAATAAATAGAGTATGCCTTTTACTATGTCATTTCTCTGTGAAAACCAAAACCTTTTCATAATTTCCCCATTACCTACAGTATCGAGTCCAGTTCCTCAGGTGGGCCCTTACTAACCAGTTCCCTGCCTGCTTTTCCAGCCTTATTTCTGAGCCTTCCCTGGAATGAGCCCTCTGCTTGAGTCCCCTCCTCTCCTCATGGACCCTGAAGCCACTGCTCAGGCTGTCCCCCACAACCCACTAGCATTCCCTCAGGCAGGCATCCCCTGTGTAATAGGAGGGAAGTCTGCAGTGAGTGATGGGCAACAGGAAGGATGGAGCAGAGGCTAAGGAGAACCAGAAGATGAAAAGTGAATGTGACCAAACATGACTGTCGGTAATAAAGTAGGTTAAGGAGGATTTAGTTATTCGTGGAATCATTGAAAAGTGCTGTTTGATAGGGTAATCTGGGCTTTTCAAACTGCTATGCAGACAAATATTTGAGGAATCTTGTTACGATGCAGGTTCTGGCCTTAGGTCTGGGGTAGGGCCTGAGATTTTGCATTTTTAACAAGCTCCCCGGTGATACCCATGCTTCTGGCTCTGGGACGATTCTTTGAGTATCAAGAATCAAAACCGGTTTGGCTCAGCGGATAGAGCATCGGCCTGCAGACTGAAAGGTCCCAGGTTCGATTCGGCCAAGGGCATGTAGTACCTTGGTTGCGGGCACATCCCCGGCAGGGGGTATGCAGGAGGAAGCTGATCGATGTTTCTCTCTCATTGATGTTTCTAACTCTTTTTCCCTCTCCCTTCCTCTCTGTAAAAAATCAATAATTTTTTTTTAAGGAAGCATGAGAAGAAATATAAGATGGCCACCAAAGGGAGGAAATAAAAAATAAATTTAAAAAAGAATCTAACGAAAGGCTTAGGAAAGGAGCCTTTTCCATAGGACGTAGGAATTGGCCTCCCGCAGAGGCCGGCCTGTCTGTCATGAGAACCCCCGAAGGTCCTAGCCGACAGTGAAGACGTCTCTTGCGGCCGGAATGGCTGGATGGATGAGAGAGGATTTGGTCTTCCTGGGGCAGCAGGGGTCGATGAGGAGAACTCTGTGTGTGTTAGGCTGCAGCTTAATTAAAGGAAGAAGCTCCTTCAAGTCCCGAGTTGGTGGCAGTGAAAATGGCATTGGGGAAACGAAAAGAGGTTAATGTTGGTTGGGCTGCTAGCCTGTCGTCACACACACACACACACACACGCATACACACACGCATACACACACATGCATACACACACCACATACACACACATACACACACGCATACACACATACCACATACACATGCACACACACACCACATACACACGCATACACACACGCACGCATACACACATGCACATGCATACACACACACGCACACACACACACACACTTACCCAAGGAGACACCTCTCCTGATCACTAGAACATACAGTTCAGAACCTAGGTTTTGCTGGCGTACAAGCAGTGTCTGCCAGGTACTGTAACAAGATAGGAATCATCCCTGTCATGTGTATCTCCAAACGGAAGAGCAGGTAGGAAATTATTTTGCTGGCGTAATAAACTTGCCTGTTCAAACAGTTTCTCTTTAATTATTAGCCTGGCCCTTGTATCTTTGGCTAATCAATAGCTGGCCTTCTGATGAAATTGGGTGTTATTTCCCTGAGGTTTAACTTTGTGCAAACTGTAAGTTGTCCAGATTAATGATTTTAATGGCACTTGCTTAACATCAGTCATTTTCCCTCTGCTTTTATTACAGAAGGACTTCTGCTTGGGTGACTGAACTCTGATCCTGACTCAGTATGGTAAGTTGTGGAGTGCCTCACCCTACCTGGTGCCAGCCGCAGACAGGTACAGGATGCTTACTCAGTGGCTATTGACTGATACAGAGGGCTGTTTGCTCAACAGGGGGCAGGAAGGAGGAAATGAAAAGGCAGTTTCTTCATTTTTAAGATTTTTATTAATTTCAGAGAGGAAGGGAGAGGGAGGGAGAGATAGGAACCTCAATGATGAGAGAGAATCATTCATCGGCTGCCTCCTGCACGCCCTCTCTTGGAGATTGAGCCCACAACCCAGGCATGTGCCCGTGACTGGAATCGAACCCAGGACCCTTTAGACCGCAGGCTGACGCTCTATCCACTGAGCCAAACCAGCTAGGGCAAGGCAGTTTTTTTTGTGTGTTTTTTAAAGCACCATTTTAATTTCTTTTGGGAGTGGTGAGTAACTTGACCCTGAAAAGTAATTCAAAGAGAATCCTTTGAATCCTTCTAACATCCTGAAATACAGAAGCAAGTTGTAGACCATTATAGAAAATTTAGGCAAGGAAAAAGGAAAAACTGAAAACCCTGTAGACTTTACCACCAGGGGATGAGTACCTCCCTAATTTTGATGTGACCCCATGGTTACAGACTCATCAAGAAGGCAGTGTCCAGCCATATAGGTTTGTCATCTGCCTCTTGCTTTTGGCTGCGACTGGACTCCTCGGAGCCTGGTTATCTGATCTTTGAGACAGGCAAGCAATTGGATCCCTTTGAGAATTCTATAAAGTTCAATGCTGAGATGAAAACTGAGACTCTGAGTTGCAAACATGGCTCTACCTGGGGCTGGCCATCTGCTCTCCTTCTCCCACCCAAATATGGTTTCTGAATAGGCAGGTCATTCTGATCCCTGCCGGTTGGGAAGAGAATAATAGAAGTAGAATCTTATACCTGGGGAAAACTAGAGGTCCTGTCAGATCTGGACGCCTTCCTTTAGGAAGATGGATTTGTAAACTATCCTGAACAAATAGTAATATTTAAAAAATATTTTACGTTAGACATTCCAGAATTTTCTTCATCATCCCTGGCAGTTACTCATGTTTGATCCAAATCATTTATGCTTTCATTTAAAATTCATTCCTTCTTGATAGATTCTCCTTGGACATGTAAAACATTTAGTCAGAAATGTTTACGGAGCCCTTACTTGTGCTAGATATGGTATTTGGCTCTGGGGACTCAAAATTAATGGAATACCCTTTCTGTCTGTAGCAAGTTCACAGCCCTCTGCATGTGATGACTGTAATCAAGGGACCCTTTAATGTGCTTCTACTTGAGGAAAATTACCTCAGTTGCTCTCATCTTTCCTCCTAGGGCCTGTTTTCCCATCATGACTATTAGTTATTGAAGAGATGGAGGAAATTTTTAAAAAATATTTTTTCCTTGATCTCAGGAATTAAGGGAGAGGGAGAAAGATAGAAACATCATTGATGGGAGAAAATCATTGATTGACTGCCTCCTGCAGGCCTCCTACAGGGGATTGAGCCAGCATGTACCCTTAACCGAAATCAAACCCAAGACCCTTCAGTCTGCAAGCCTACCCTCTGTCCACTCAGCCAAACCAGATAGGGTCAGATGAAGGAAATTTTTAAAAGAAAGGAAAAACACACAATAATCACAATATTGTAATTTCTAATAACTTTTCATTTTATTTTAGACCCTACTCACATGTATCATGGTTTTTAAACAGTAGTAAAAAGAGCATAAATAAGTATGTATTTACTCTAATTTTTGCAATGCTAACATGTTTATATTACATTTTGTACTTTATTAAAATGATTTAATCTTGATGATGAAAGTATGGATGTTTTCATTTTCTTCTTAAATTAAAAAAAATATTTTCTAAATCTAGACAATGATTATATGATACATTTCTAAAAGGAAAATGTGTTTTAAAAGCTGTTGTACTCAGGCATTTAAAAACATTATAGAGGTTTAATTTACATACAGTGAAATGCGGAGCCCAAAGGTTACTGGTAAATGAGTTTTGACAAATATTTGTACCATGTGATGTATTTCTCTGTTGTGATAAGTTGTTTTATCATTCTAGGAAGTTCATTCATGGCCCATCCAGGTCTACTCCTCACCCTACACTGGAAATGCAGCCATTTTTCTGATTGTTATCACCATAGATAGTGACTGTTTTGCCTATTCTAGAACATCCCATAAATGTAAACATAAAGCATGTACTCTTTTGTATCTGGCTTCTATTGTTTAGCATTATATTTTTTGTAATCCATTTGTGTTGCTCTATCAGCAGATTGTTCCTCCATTACTTTTTATTGTTGATTAGTATTTCATCATGTTGCATTCCAATCCTTTTTACTTTTATTATCTGTATTATCATTTCATTAACCAGATAATATCTCATTGATTGTGATATATCGCCTATTTATAGCTATTCATTTTTGTCATTCTCCCACAAATCTTTCCTGTTTCCTTTGCCTACTATCACAAGAAATTTTCCTGGGGTGGAATCCCCTCCATTCCCAGAATGAATAATGGTACATTACATTATGCCCTGGAATGTAATCAATACAAATATTTTAGAGGTAACAGGAACAAATTTCCCAAGCTTATCTTTTTCCTGGAAAAAAAGAGTCACTAAGAATGCTAATTGATAAGCTGAACCATGTTTGCAAATCCCTCTATCGATTCATCTTGTTAGATAGTAATTTTCATCTTAGTCCCTTAGTAATGCATTTTGCTTCAAAGTTGAGTGTAGTGTTTGAGTATCATCCAATTTTTTTTTTCAACATTGGAGTTCCAAAGGAACTTTGTGAAACATTCAACTCAGGAAGCTGTCTCATGGTAGGGTCAAAGGCTGAATTAGGCCATGTGGGAATTTTGATAGCAAATTATAAATATGCTTATAATAGCCAATACACTGAGTGGCCAGATTATTATTAACTCTGAATGCATAATAATCTGGTCACTTAGTGTATATCCTATATAATAAAAGGCTAATTTGCTGTTTCCTCTGCCTGTAACACTTTCCCCCTGGTCAGCTGCTTCATGTCATTGGGATCTCAGCCTGTATGTTATTCCGCAGAGCAGGCCCTCAGGACTTCTCTATCTGATCCCTAACACTTCTCTCCATCGGACATGTGGTGGAATACTTATTTGTTGGCTTGTTTACTATCTGCTCTTCCCTCCCTTCCCCCCTGAACTAGAACATCAGCTCCATGAAAGCAAGAACCTCGTCTCTCATGGTCCCTATTGTATTCCTAGCACCTAGAATAGTGTCTGGTCCATGGGAGGTGCTCAGCAAATTTTGCCTAATGAGATGCCTCCATGTCGGTAAGATGCTGCCTCTCAGTCACCTCTTTCTCTGTGTTCAGGCAACCAAAGGAGGCACCATCAAAGCTGCTTCAGGATTCAATGCCACGGAAGATGCCCAGACCCTGAGGAAGGCCATGAAAGGGTTGGGTAAGTGCTCTGGGTCACAGAGTCACAGTGTGCTGGGTCCACTGCCCACTGTGAATAGGTCTCATTCTAAAAACACACAGTGGGAACCAGTTGGCTCTTCAGGACAAATTAGAGATGGAAGGGTCTTAATTATTAATTTTACTATAAAAATTTTTAAATTTAATTTTCTCATTCTATCTTTTCCCAATTATTTAAATCTGTTTTTTTATTACAGCATTTTGAATCTATATATAAATATTTAGAAATATATTTGTCCTCCCATTAATGCTAGATGTGTGTAGGGCCATAAGGTTTATAAAGCACTTTCACAGACACTATCTCAGTGAGTATATACAGTGACCCTGTGATTTAGTGAAAGCAGCTATGGCTGCTGTTACTTTTGCCCCATTTTACAAATGTGAACTTGAGCTCCAGAGAAGTTAAGTAACATAGTGAGACACATAGTAAATAGCACTAAGCCATGACTCACACTCAGCAGAGCCCAGTGCCACGCTCGGCTTGCCCACTCTAAGGTCACATTCTTTCCCCGGAGTCCCTCTGCCTGTTCCTGTGATAGGTACAGCTGCCCAGGCCCAACGTGCTGGGTATGGGACTTTATGTGAGAAGACTGTGTACCCGACTAGGAGGGCTTGCCTTCCCGTGCACTACCTGCCACTTAGCTCCCTGAGGCCAAGGCTCCATGCCAGGTGCACTGCAGGCTACCCTGGCCTACATCCTTGCCTGGGTGGACATTTGGCCAGAGAAGTACTCCCTGGTTGTAGCTGCTACTTATAATTTCCCTGAGATTTAGATAAAAAAATCTTGGCCATGTGGCCTCAGTCCTCAGTTTTTCTATCTAAGAAGAAATTATATTATTATACTTAGCCCCAATGCTCCTAATAGCAGCAGCAACAACAGCAATAGAAATGAACATTTGGTAAGCCCTACTATGTGTCAGGCACAATGGATTACATGGATTAACTGTTATAATCCAGTTTTACTGATGTGAAAGTTGAGATTTTAGCCTGGTTGGCATGGCTCAGTGGTTGAGCATACCTATGAACCAGGATTCCGGGTCAGGGTACATGCTCGGATTGTGGGCTTGATCCCCAGTAGGTAGCATGCAAGAGGCAGCCGATCGATAATTCTCCTTCGTCATTGATGTTTCTCTCTCTCTCTCTCTCTCTCTCTCTCTCTCTCTCTCTCTCTCTCCCTCCCTCCCTCCCTCCCTCCCTCCCTCCCTCCCTCCCTCTCCCTTCCTCTCTGAAATAAATTATATATATATATATATATATATATATATATATATATATTTTTTTTTTTTTTTTTTTTTTTTTTTTTTTTTAAGGAAGAAAAGTTGAGATTTAGGGAGGTTTGCTAACTTGCCCAAGGTCTCAGAAGTGGTCAGTATGAAAGTCAGGATTCTAGGCAATTGCAGATAGTCTGACTGCAGAGCTGGAGTTTGAGTCACTCTGCTCTAATGCTGCCCAGCTCTGAACAGATCATTGTTCTAAGTCTGTGTATTTATCTCCTCATTTTCTGTTTTCCATTTTTTAAAAATAAGAAAATGTACTTGGCATATATAAAGAAAGCCAACATTTCAGAACTTGGACCACATGGCAAGTGGTCAAAATAAGTTTCAGGAGACATTTGACAGAGCCAATGCTTTTCAGTGCTGCTGTGTGGGGGCCAATGTAAGCTGGACGTTGGAGGAGACAAGGGTTATAAAACCTAGTCTTTGTGGTCAACTAGTCCATGGACACTAGGTGGCTAAGGCAAATACAGAAATAACTGTGACCAGTTCATAGTATGATAGCGATAGGAAGGGCATAAATAAGATCCTATTCGGGTTCAGAGAGGAGATAAGAACCCCTACACTGCATTTGGGGACACCAGGCAAAACCTCCTGGAGGATGTAGACTTTGAGGTGGGCCTTGGGAAACAGATTGAGTTTTAATAAGTAGAGCTAACAGAGGATGCGTTTCAGGTGAATGGAAAATATAAACAAAGACATGGGATGAGTGTGAGGATCGTCCCATTTTCCAGTTTAGCTGAGGCCTAGGCAAGTCATGGTAAATACATGGAAAGGTCGCTCATAGCAGGAGGTACTTGCAAAGCAGGAGGTGGCTGGTTGGGGACTGTCGGAGAAGGGAGGTATCTTAGAGTGCTACTGAAAAGGCCACCAGTGGGATCACAGACAGGGAGGGTGGGATGGCCCAAAGGCATTCGCCAGGAAACAACCAGTGCCAGAATCACGATGCCAATTGGAGAGGCTTAGGGAGACATAAACCAATAGATTGACAGTGAAGGAGGTCAGGAGAAGGAAGTACAGCACAGTGGGTTCAAGTACTAGAATTCAAGAGCTTAGTCTGTGGGTTTGACTGCCTGGTACCCTTTTATATGGATCTTTCTTCACCCTAGTGTATGGGATGCTGTACGGAGTCTCAAATGCTTGCAGTAAAGCCAGCAAGCAGTGGGGAGCCACCGTGTATTTCTGGCTAGGGGAGGAGACGCTGTGAGAGCTTTTCTTATAGGAAAACGAAATCTGGCAAAACTTCAGAAAGGCAGATTAGTAGGTAAGAATACTGGTTAGCAGACTGTTGCAGTCGTTTAAGAAAAAAGCCTGAAATCCTGAATGGGAGTGGTAGTGGTAGGAATTCAAAAGAGGGAACAGATGCAAAAAAGATCCCAGATCTAGACTTTGCATATCTTGGCAGGAAATTTGAATGTGGAGGAAGAACAAGGGTAAAAAAAAAAATAAAAAAAAAATTCAAAGCTATTTTGAGGGTTCAAACTTGACTGGAAAAGGATGGTAAACAGAAAATGTGGTAAACAGAAGGTGATAAGCCTTCTCTACCTGAGATATGGGAAAGAGTAAATAATGGTTGTATCTATTATCCTCTTTAAGGAGAGAGAGAGAGAGAATGGATGCCTAAGTCTTAGAGTTTCTTCCCTACATATCACATTTTTCTGGATCTCTGATCTTGCAAAGAATAACCCTGGTGAGTTTATGGTTTTTCATTTCTCTCTGAAATATTTCAATAGAATCTTCTGTAACCCGTAACAACTCCCACACAGTACAAAAATGGGAAACAGAAAACTCATAAAACATACATGAACATGCAATTATTGCTAAGACAAGGGACCAATTTGAAAAATCAGAATAAATGACCCTGTCAAAAAGCTGTTGCAAAAAAAAGTCAGGCAAACACAACATAGGGCATTTCTAATTTGTAATTCATATTGTGAAGTTTTGGGAGTGTATTGCATCATGGAAATTTATAGGCAGTTATAAAAAAGGATCCATCTGAAATCAGGAAAGACAGCTTGGAAATGAAAAACACAATTATATTAAAATGCAGGAGATGCAGTGAGCAGCCTAAGTGCCAAATCAGTGAATTAAAAGACAAATTTGAATTGTTTCAAAACTCAGAGAAAATTATAAAAAGATTAAAAATGAGGAGAGAAAAGGTAAGAACATGGAAATAGATGCAGGAGATCCAAAAGGCAGTATAACAATTCCAGAGGAAGGGTAAAAGCATGCTCCCAGTCATCATTATTGACTAAGTGCTAAATCAGCTATTTTCAACCTTTTTCATCTCATTGCACACATAAACTAATTACTAAAATTCTGACAAAAATTTAGGTATAATTTTGATTGACTTGCAAAAAAATAGTAATTACGTACGCCTTTTGCTCCAAAGTGACTTTTTCTAAAAAAAAAATCAGGTGCCTATATTTGTATATAAGGATTTCTGGTAGCAAGAATTAACCAATGAGATGCAATCTGACATGACCAATAAGATGCAATTGTATTATATGACCTATATATTTATGGTTCAAATGGGGCCTTCACAACCAGCAAACATTATTGTGTTGGCTGTTGTCATTTCCTTATTTGGCAATCTAAGGGGACAGAGGTTAGTGCCTTTTAAATTGTCAACTATTGCATGTTTTAAAAATTTTGCATCACACCGACAAATGGCTGTGCTAAGTAATTCACTTAATTGTTCTAGTTAGCCCTTGTAGTGACCTTGAGATCACTCATATTTATAGGTAAGGAAACTAAAGCCCAAAGAAGTAAACTATTGTTTTCGGTGGCATATCGTTCATTAGAGAGGTTAGGACTAGTGTCTGTGTTCCCCCAAATTAAACAAACCTCTTTTCTTGGAAAGCTCTCCGCATGTGTTTGGGTGACTTCAGTTTCCACAGAGGAACTCATTTTCTCACTCCTCTCTCCAATCACACTCACTGTCCTCTCCGCTCCGCCAGGCACCGATGAAGACGCCATCATCAATGTGCTCGCCTACCGCAACACGGCCCAGCGCCAGGAAATCCGGACGGCCTACAAAACCACCATCGGCAGGGTAGGTTGCCGTCTCTCTGATCTAGGTGCCTGAAGAGGCCCCGTGTTTTTAACGGTGGCTACTTTGCCTTGTTTGAAGATGTTCTTGGAAAACACACACAAAGGGGTTTCCACACACTTCCTCACCGCTCCTTGGCAAGGAGATCTCAGAGAGCTCTTGATTCACGGAGCTCGGGGCCAAGCTTGGTCTCTGCCCACAGGCTTTGCAGGGACCTGGTTGTTGAATGGACTCAACCTGACCTTGACTAGGCTTCTTTGAGGCCCTGTGGACGAAGACCCTCCACACAGACTAAGATATTTAAATCCAGTTTGTTTTAAACAGGCTCTCCTAGGATTTAGGGTCTATTCCGACTCTCCCACATAAACCCGTTTGTAGCACATGTGCATTCCTTTGATGATTCTCAATTGAGGAACCCCTCAGATTCTAGAATGGGGCTTATGTGTGTAAAAAAATATATATATATATGCAATTTATTAATGTATGCATTGTTTATTCACCGTGTTTTCCTACTTCTGGTTTGAATCCCACACCCCTCAGGAATCCTCCCCCAGTCATTTTCAACGACTCACTTACCAGAATCATTACATCCGTTTTCCCACCTCACTGAAAACCTATCTGTGTGATGAGTGAGAATCTTTTTATTGAGGAAACATCAATGAGTTTTCCAGGTCTCAGAGTCCAGAAAATCTGAGAAGTGTTTCTAATCTTGAGATACTTTACAACCAGACTGTGGCTACTACTCAAAGTTGGGCATTAACCTGCGGGTTGGAGAGGGATGGGGGTGGCTCAGCTGCTCTCGGAGCATCTGCATCAAACCTTGCTGGGCACCCCAGGAGGGACTGTGATTATCCATAGCTCAGACTATCTCCATTCCCAATGAAATTTAACGAACACAAATAGGCATGGATGTGCATGTGATGTGGGAACTAAAGCATGTTGCCACACACATTTGGGGTTAATTATTCCAAACTTCAGAACTAAGCTAATCTACTGGCAGTTTCTTGAGATGACCAACCTTAATGGATTAAGCACTAATGTATTTGTCCATTCATCCATTTGATGTGTGGATGTAATATAAAAATATTCACAATAGATTGAAATACTGTGCTATGGAATCAGGTTTGTGAGGATCAGAGAGAGCTGGACTTGACTAGCAGATTGGCTCCTTATTGATTGGTTGATCTTAAGATGGTTCTTAAACTCTCCCAACCTGGAAATGTAAATAAATGTTTTTAGAATTTGGTACTTTGTCCAAATAATTACAGTTCTTTTTAGGAATTGAGCTGTAATAAATAATTATGAATGACCAAAAAGATACTACTACATGCCTATGCAATTAAAAACGTCATAGGTGAAGACTCAGATAGAGAGAACAAAATGACAGTTGACAGAGGAGTGGGTGATTGGGGGACTGGGTGAAAAAGGAGCTAGATTCTCATATCTGCCTCTTCGTTGTTTGTTTGTTTTATGTGGTTTTGGTTGAAGTATATGAAGAAAACCTGGTCTTATACAGATATGTAGTTGCAAAAGGGAGGAGTATCTTAATAGCCTTTTAAGATACTTGTAGGTTTGTTGATATACAAATAGTCTTTGGAAAACTCCATTCTGCAATTGTGAGAGAAGGACAGCGAAGAGGCAGATCCTGTCTTAGTGTGATTATAGAAGATAGTTTTGGCCTTGCAGGTCCCCTGAATGGGTTGTGAAGCCCCAGGGACCACACTTGGGAGAGTGGCCAGTTTGAGTTCCCGTAGCGGTTAAGCAGGCTGCTTCCTTGCGTTGCAGGACCTGATCGATGACCTGAAGTCGGAACTGACTGGCAAGTTTGAGCGTGTGATCGTGGGGATGATGACGCCCACCGTGCAGTACGACGTGGAGGAGCTGCGCAGGGCCATGAAGGTCTGTGTTTTCCTCCTCCCGTGCTCTCCAGGCGGCTGGCGCCAGTGCTGCGAGCTTTCTCCAGGAACCGTGACAAAGGCCCTCTGAGAGGCGGGAGGCTGAGGGCTAGGAGAACGATTTTCCTTCATTGATGACAACTTGAAAACATGACATTATACTATGGCAATTGCAATTTAAAAGTTAAATTAAATTCTAGCCTGGCTGATGGGGCTTAATGGTTGAGCGTGGACCTATAACCCAGCAGGTCACGGTTTGATTCCTAATCAGGGCATATGCCCGGGTTGTGGGCTGGATCCCCAGTGGGGGCATGCAGGAGGCATCCAATCAATGATCCCCTCTCATCATTGATGTTTCTATCTCTCTGAAATTATAAATATATATAAATATATTTATATGTATAAATATATATAATTTCAGAAAGATAGAAACGTGTATATATATTTTTTTAAGGTTGTTTTTAAATTTTTTTTTTAAGTATGGAGTTATTCTCTTTCCTGTGGCTCCGTAGGGAGGGATTATGGAGTTATTCTCTTTCCTGTGGCTCCGTAGCTGCTTTTGGTGTAGCTCCAGAAGCTTTCTTGCCACCTTAGCTACATTTGAGACATGAAACTTTGCAACTGACACCTTGGGGGCCTCTGGGTCTGCTGCAGGCTCCGAACTGGCAGGAAAGCATCCTCAGCCTCCCTGGAGGCCAAGCCACTGTGCTGTAGCCCGGGGCTCTGCTGATTTTTAATGACCAAGTTTAAACTTCAAATCCAAGCACTCTCCTCAACCGTGTCAATAAATATTTAGTCTCATGGATGGTTCTTGAAAAACAAGGACATAACAGCCTTTGCCAGAAGAGTCTGCCTTTCAAGGAAAAGCACAGCCCGATCTAGGGAAGATTAAGCCCCTGGAGAGCAGAAACTGCGCCTAACCTGGCACAATCACCACCACAGAAACATCCCATTCATGTTTGCTTTACTAACAGTGATCACTGTAAATGCGTTGGAATTTGAGCAGGACATTTAAAAATGAGAAACATCCTGCAGCTAGAACCCTGTGGGTAGTCTTTATTCTCTGCAGGTTCCCGCTTATATTCCTTCTCTCTCTGGGACTTGACTCTGTAAACTGACTCATAAAGCCCTCCCCTCTGGGTTTCCCGCGCAGGGGGCTGGCACGGATGAGGGCTGCCTGATTGAGATCCTGGCCTCCCGGACGCCCGAGGAGATCCGGCGCATCAACCAGACCTACCAGCTGCGTATGTAGCATCCTCAGGGGCCCTGGCTGAGGTTTCATTGTGGTCTGAGAACGAGACTAGCAATGGAAGGTTACCCACAGATCAGCCTTTCTTCACAGAAACAACATTACAAGGGATCCTCCCTTCTAAGCTCCCTGTTAAGACAGATCCCTGTCCAGACAAATGATTGTCTGTTGGTTTCCCATGACATCTCAGGGGAATAAGTTACTCTACGCAGGCTACCCAGTGCCTAAGGTACCTACTCCCATTCATTGAAAGCTGGAAAGTTGTTCCTTCTTATCAGAGCATCGAAGGTGCTTGTCCAAAAGTGGTGGCACCAGTGAAGCTTAGCATTCCAGGGAGTGGCCTGGAGGGGCTGTCTCGCCCAACTCCTTACCTTCATTCGGACTGGGCTGTATGTCCTCCAGCCATCTCAGGAAGAGAGCCATTATGATTCCCTTCTCAACAATCCCCAGAGGCTGGTACATATGAAGAGCCTTAAATGTTGCCTGCCTTTTTGCCCTAAGGATATAATAAAGAATGCTCAAAGGTTTAGATTTCATAGTGTTTGTTCAGTATTTGTTCTATTAGCTAAACATGCCCAACAGCTTAGCAGGTTAGCTAAATAAAATATGGTACAGCAGACTATTATGTAGTCCTCAAACGCATATTGTAGGATATTATTAAGTTACATTAAATAGTATAGTATATGTGGATACGTGAAAACTGCACATCATAAAATAGTATGGCATGATCCTATCTTTCCAATAGAAGGAAAAATAATATGGGTATGTGGGGTAAAAATAAGGAAGGATAGCTGAAACCGATTTGGCTCAGTGGATAGAGCATCGGCCTGTGGACTGACGGGTCCCTGGTTCGATTCCGGTCAAGGGCATGTACCTTGTGGTTGCGGGCACATCCCCAGAGGGGGGTGTGCAGGAGGCAGGTTTTTTACTTTACGCGCAGTTTCTTAAAAACAGCTTGACAACCCCTAGTATGATCCCAAACGTGGTTCTGAAACTCCACAGTATTTGTTTTCCATGGTTACTGTTCTGTCGTCACTGAAAACTATGTTTAGACAGCCCCCTCAACAGGAGGAACAGTGAGGATTTCAGCCCAGCCTTCTCCACCTCCAACTGTAAGGAACAAGCACATCTTGTTTCCACTATAATGACAAGCTGGCCTTTTTACCAGAGTTGTTTTTGAGAAACTGTGCGTAAAGTAAAAGTAAAAAACCTCATGAACAGTAAACGGGCTGTTCCAGGAGGGGACAGAGGCTCTGGAGTGTGGCACCGTGCTGAACAGGGCTCTGTCCTGATGTGGCCAATCTTTCTTTCTAGAATACGGGAGGAGCCTTGAAGATGACATTCGCTCTGACACGTCCTTCATGTTCCAGAGGGTCCTGGTGTCGCTGTCCGCTGTGAGTGGCGCCCTCTGCTGGCTGCTTCTGATAGGGGTTGGGTTTATTGGCATGCTCACTCTATTCCTGTTTCCAGGTTATCTCATCCTTTCAACTTCCCAAATGTGAACATTCTTGGGCCTCTGTGGTGTTTTATCTTCTCTCCTTTAGAAACTCTGACTAGGCATGTACTCCCATTTGTTCTAATTTGTATGTACAAATACCTAATATCAGCCTGGTCTCCTTATGACTTAAGGCATTGAGGGTTATGAGGATGATTACGAGGCAGTTCCTGGGCTTTAGGATTATCCTATATAATAAAAGGCTAATATGCTATTGTCCCCTCGATTGGGCGTTCGACCAGGAGTTCAACCGGGAGTTCGACCAGGGGGCAGGGCCAGCCAGCCAACCACCCATGGCCCCTCAGTCCGCCCTTCCCAGATGGATAGGAGTGGGCCAGCCAGACCCAACCTGTGCACAAGTCCATGCACCAGGGTTCTGGTATTGTCATAAGGGAATACATAAGGCACACAGTTGCTATAAAGGCTTGAAGCATAAGTTTCTAAGAAGACATACAGAGTAAAAGGAAGGTTCAAGGAGAATTTTTGGCTGCAGAAACAAAAAAAAAGGCTTCACGGCAGAGGTATAGGTTCAGAGAAGACTTGGAGTCTTGCTAGGAAGTCAAGAAGCAGAGCTGTGGTTGGGTACATTCCAGACAGGAAGAAAGCAAGAAGAAAGCAAGGAGGCAGGAAACACAGGGTATGAACTGGGAACAACTGACTGAGCAGCCAGGCTGGTGATTCCGTTAGCAAGATGGAAGGATGAATTGGGATTCTACGTTGGGAAGAGTTACACTTGTGTTGGAGAGCAGTAGGCAGCCACTGAAGGCTTGGGAGCAGTAGAATGATGCGATTAGAACTGCATTTTACCAGTAATAGGCATGGGAAAGATTAATTGTAATGGCAATGAATTGGAGCCTGGAAGACCAGGTGGAAAGTTACCTCATTATTCTATATGAAAAATAAAATAGGACAGGGCTAGTGTGGGAATTGGGTGCCAGAAAAGAGATATTTCACATGACTTCCCAATTACATCTTTATCCCCGACCTCCTTCCTAAGTGTGAAATTCATTTCTCGCTGCTTTTTAGAGGTTTCCTTATAGATATTCTGCCATCACCTCAAATTGGTCCTCCTAAACTAAACTCATTTTGCCTCCACATTAGTTCTTCTTCCTGACTTACCTTTTTAGTTAATATTGTTGCTGTTCAGCCAAAACCGGTTTGGCTCAGTGGATAGAGCGTCAGCCTGCGGACTGGAAGGTCCCAGGTTCGATTCTGGTTAAGGGCATGTACCTTGGTTGCAGGCACATCCCCAGTAGGGGATGTGCAAGAGGCAGCTGATTGATGACTCTCTCTCATATCAATGTTCTTAACTCTCTATCTCTCTCCCTTTCTCTCTGTAAAAAAATCAATAAAATATATATTTTTAAAAATATTGTTGCTGCTCAAAGCAAAACCCTGGAAATCATTGCCATCTTGCTCTGCCTCTGATAATTACTTAGTTATGCAGCTGGCATTTCTTATTTCTTACCCATTTTTCTCCCCATTTTCTTCTTATTGACTACTAAAGGCCCAGTGCATGAATTTGTGCACCGATGGAGTCCAGCCGACCCAGCCCTCATCAGGGCAGATTGGGGCCGGGCCTGTCGGGCAGAGGAGATGGCGGGAGGTTGGCCTGCTGGCCTGCGTTCCAAAGGCTTGAATCCAGTGGAGAGAAGCAGGGCGGGGGGACAGAGGGAGGTGGTAGTGGAGTGAGCAGGCGGCAGGCAGCACTCATTCCCCTTTCCTTTCTAATGTTGCAGAGTTGGTGCAGCCGGGGCTCTCCCTCTGGTAATGTTCTCTGAGCTCTGATCAGAGCCATAGGAAAAACACAGGCGCCTCAGAGGACGTCTGTCCTTCCTCCCTAGGCTGGGAGCGTGACCCCTTGTGGCATTCTGCCTTGTTATCATGTCATTGGCTTCCCAGACATTCTGTCTTCTCCAGATCTTCGTGACTACCCTCTCATTCTCTTTGGCTTGTTTCTCTCATCCTCAGGGTGGCAGGGATGAAAGCAATTTCCTGGATGATGCTCTCATGAGGCAGGATGCCCAGGTGAGTAGAACTGCGGCTCCTTTCTCCTCTTTTGTCAGTAGGAGAGTCCTTAATTGGCGAACCCCCTCTTATAGTTCAGTGTGTGTTGGTCTGGCTGGGGTATGTTAAGAAAAATAATCCTCACTGATAATATAGAAGAGCAGAAGTTTCGGAAACGCCTGGGGCTTAGGGGTGGCATGAGGCATCATTGTATAAGCACCCCTGGATTCTAGATTTCTTGACATTGGGGCCATGGAGTGGTCGCCCCCAGAGAACTGTGGAGTGTCTTCCGAATCACTTGGAGGTGAAGGGACCTGACTTTGTTTTGTTTACCTTGCATTTCTGTTTCCCCAAAGAGAATTTTGATATGATCTGCGTGAAACAGCGTGGCACAGTGTGTGCCCTGTTGGGTAAAATCAATATCAAACCCAAACAGGCAGTTGCTTCTTTGGTACCCAGCCCACTAGTGGCTGCCCTGGCACCAACCCTCCATCTGTTTACTGTGGCCAGATAATACTAATAATAAAAGCTAATAAAAAGTGGGTCTTTTACCAGGTGCCAAACACTGTTTTAGCTCTTGATATGGTGTATGTTGTTGAATCCTTGTGGTATTTGTATGAAGCAAATATTGTTATCCCTATTTTGTGGAAATGGAGACTCAGAGAAGTCAAGTTCCTTGCTCAAGTTCATACAGATAAAAAAAATGGCAGAACTGGGACTTGAACCTAGGCAGTTTGGATGTATAACCACAGAGAAGGACTAGCCCCATTCAGTATGTGAGGTGTGGACCACTGTGGATTCTACAGGCAAGAAGAACCTGTGCTGTCACTGGAAGAGAGAGGGGTCTGTGTGTCATAGGCAGGTAGCATGCTGAGGGCTCAGGGAGGCCCAGGCCACACAGGAGACACAGGAAATGGCCTTCAGTGCAGAAGCTTTGAGGAGGGAAAAGGTATGGATCTCCTGGATGCTTTTGTGAATGTCAGCTACCTCAAGGAGAGCATTTGGGGGGAGGGGGTACTGGAAGGAACCTCCAGAGCCCGGGTGAATCCCAAATTAAATGAACAGCTAGTGAGCAATTTATTCCTGAAGCATTATATTCATTATCAAATTTTTCGTGGGTTTGCTAAGGGCCAAGCATCACGTTAACTACTGTACGTGTTTTTCTTACGACAAATCTAGGCAGATATTATTACATCTGTGTTTTTCTTACGACAAATCTGGGCAGATATTGTTACATCTGTGTTAACGATTAGGGTGCAGATATTTCAGTAACTAGTCCAAGATCACAAGGTTGGTAGAAGTGGGCTGTTTGGATCCCCGTCTGTCTGATTTTTTTTTTTAAGCCATGCAGTTCAACAAACAAATATTTTTGGGCTTTTCAAAGAGCACAGTTCTCCTTGGAGGTGGTCGTGTGGAAAGTGTTTTGAAACAGGTTTAGGCTGGGGAAGTTGGAGAGACAGAGTAGAACTTAGAATAGTTTTTCTGGAACTTCCATGTCTTAACAAGAGGCAAGGAATTTAAGAACAACCCCAGTCAAGGTTTCAGCTCTTCCAGGATAAACAGTAGAAAAACTTGGCCAACCTTTGCTCTTTAATTTGCATCAGCAGCAAGGGTATCATTGGCAGACTTTGGTTATTATAGCTGGATTTTGATGTAGGAAAGTAAATGCCTTTGAGATGAGGAGAATGGTCAGGGCAGGTGGAATCTGGTAGTAATTATTTATAAAAGGTAGAAATTTTACCATGTAGAGGCTATTATCGCCTCTGTTCAATCTCCTCTGTTGTTGGGATGAAACCAGCACAAAATGGAAATAATAGGTAGTGTTCAGAATTCCTACTTTAAAAAGAAGTCCCTGATGTATTAAAAATGCCCTTCAAAGCTTTTGCTAGAAGATGGCACAGATTTGATTCCCTTGTTCTGGGGAGCAGAGGAGGGAGAGGACCAGGAAATATAAAAATAGGGAAAACTGCTTCAGACTGGAAATGATGGAAAAGGGCCATTAAAATGCCAGATGGGCAGCAAACCTGGGCCAAGGACACAGGAGGGCCACCCTGTCCCAGAAGAGGCTCAACTCCCTCCAGCCTGGAGCAGGCCTCATGAAAACTGGAAGAAATGCCTCAGAGAAGACCTGTGCTGTGTCTCAGCTGCCCTCAGTGGACTAGCTGTAAATGCTCCTGTTTGAAATTCATCTAAATGAAAAGTGAGGAGCTCCTAGAAGAATCCACTCACCTTGTTCTGGGGGTGTGTGTATGGGCGGGGGAGAGGGGGAGTGTTGGTGGAGATCAGGTCTGGATAGACTGCTCATCATCTTACCTAATAAAAGAAAAAAATGCAAATTAACCTAGAAGAATCCACTCACCTTCTTCTGGGGGTGTGTGTATGGGCGGGGGAGAGGGGGAGTGTTGGTGGAGATCAGGTCTGGATAGACTGCTCATCATCTTACCTAATAAAAGAAAAAAATGCAAATTTACCATCACTCCACTACTCCCATAGCCAATCAGAGCAAGTATGCAAATTAACCAAAGATTTATGTTAATTTGCACATGTAGGCGGGACCGACTGGGAGAGGCATGACACCTGCTATGAGGGGAAGGGGGTGGAGGGAGCTACTGGAGCGGTTCTCTGGACAGAAGCAAGGACTTGCCGCAAGCGCGCATCCTCCCTCTCCCTTTTCTGCTCCCACAGACTTGTTGGCTCCAGGCGGGCAGAGAGCAGGGACGTGCTGGCTCCTGGGCAGCTGGGAGTGAAGCCAGGGGAAGGAAGGCCTATTCTTGCATGAATATCATGCAAAGGGCCTTTAGTTTAAAAATGAAAGAGCTTGCAAACCAACAGATTCTCACCTCAAACGTTATGTGGCCTATAAACAGAGGCATGAAGGGAACCAAATAGGGTTGTGCTGTAAGAAAGAGAAAGAAGTCAGATTGCTCTGGGCCCTAAAATAATTGAGACAAAACTTGGGTTATAATTAAACGAGAGCTTTAAATGAAGATGCAGTGAGAAAATAGCAGATGAAGAGGAGCTTGATGAAGGGCAAGCAGAGCTGTTTTTCAAAGGGGAAGCTAGATGAGTTGGGGAGAAATGTCCTTAGATGAAACAGGGAAACCAGAATTTTAAAGTTCATTAGAAGCAGGCATGATTTAAAACGATATTGCTGAAAATGGAATTATTGTTGTGGAAAGCTATACAGAAAAAAAAAAATCTCCAGAATTCTGAGAAAAGGGATGAAGCAATTAGAGAAAAGGAGGAATGTAGAGGGAAAAGGATGGCGATTAGAATCGTGACAAAAAGGATGTGGAAGACTTTGTACTGATACATGCTTAAAGGTATAATAAAGGTAAAAAAAATAAATTAAGGAATGTGGCTTTGGTGTAAGAATTGTGAGAACCCAAGGAATGACTAGAAAGTGTAGGAGCCGAGCCAAGCCTATGTGAGAATAGACAGGTAGCATTCTAAATCAGTGAGGAAAGCAGAGTACGGAGTGGAGTTGGAATAACTGACAAATCATTTGGGAAAGAGAAAGGTTAGATCCCAACTTCCACCTCATATCATAATGAATTCCAAATAGATTACAATTTTAATGTAAATAAATGAGATCAGGAAGATACTGTAACAAAATGTTAAATATGTTTTAATCTGGAGCTGGGAAAGGATGTTATATGCCTGACACACAAGGCAAACTATAAAGGAAAATGACTGGTAGTTTGGCTACATTAAAAAACAACTCCCGCCGAAGCCGGTTTGGCTCAGTGGTAGAGCGTTGGCTATTGTGAATAACGCTGCTATGAGCATGAGTATACCACTATCTTCTTAAGATCCAATTCTTTTGGGTATATCCTCAGAAATAGTATTGCTGGTCATACAGTAATTCTATTTTTAATTTTTTGAAGAACAGCCATACTGTTTTCTCATTTTACATTCCCACCAACAATGCACAAAGATTCCAATTTCTCCACAACCTTGTTGACATTTTTTTAAATAGCAGCCATCCTAATAAGATGTGAAGATTTACCAATAATATAGTTAAAGCAACTAGAATCAGTTTCTTATATTCCCACCTGGTCGGAGTATAAGTAATTACCAATGGGTCTTGGTTTTACTGAGAGACCTTTGTAGCCCCAAGCAAATCACAACTCATTTTAGAGCAGTGTTGTCCGATAGAACTTTCTGCAATGTGTGAAATGTGCTACCTCTGCACTATGACGAGCAGACACTAGACACATGTGGCCACTGAGCATTTGACATGTGGCTGGGAGGCTGAGGAGTTGAGTTTTATTTTTTTATTTAATTTTAATTAATTAAAATTTAAATAGCCACATGTGGTTAGTGGCTACTGTAGGGGACCACCCCAACCTAGAGCCTGCCTTTTAGCTCTTAAGATAGAACCATGTCGTCTGCATGTAGGGAGCTGCTAGTGACCGCCCTGACTATCGTGAGATGTGATTGGGTCCCGTTAGTTATATACCGAAGGAAAAATCCTGAGTCATTGCCATACACCACCAATACCGCTTCTACTCCCATCACCAGCAAAATCAAACTAAGCCAGCTCAGCTCTTTAAAATTCTGGAAATATGTGGATATGTGCTGGCTACCTTCTCTGTGGTGTTTTAAACTTGTGCTTTTTTTGGCTTCAGGACTTGTATGAGGCTGGAGAGAAGAAATGGGGGACAGACGAGGTGAAATTTCTAACTGTTCTCTGTTCCCGGAATCGAAATCATCTGTTGCATGGTAAGGCACTGGCTTCATCCTCCAGAGAACCTGTTGGAAAGCTAGTGAAAACTACACTGAGTGGCCAGATTATTATGATCTCTGAAGGCATAATAATCTGGCCACTCAGTGTGTGTGTGTGTGTGTGTGTGTGTGTGTGTGTGTGTGTGTGTGTATATATATATATATATATATATATATATATATATATATATATATATATATATATTTTAGAGGCCTGGTGCATGAATTCGTGCATGGATGGGGTCCGGCCAGCCTGGCCAGGGGGAGGGGATGTGGGCAGTTGGCCGACCTGCCTGCTGGTGGAACTCCTGGTCCAGGGAACAATTTGCATATTAGCTTTTTATTATATAGGATATACACTGAGTAGCCAGATTATTATGCGTTCGGAGATCATAATAACCTGGCCACTCAGTGTATATTGCCCATAATTAATGGATAACCTTTCCTCCTTTATTTGTTGCAAAAACTAATGGTCCAGAACTGTCTTACACGTCTTACCTTGGAAATGTGTGAGTGCAATTATGTGCATGAGGGCCAATTTCTGAAAGATTAATGATGAATAATTAACAGATGTATTCATAGAAGTTTGGCATTCCTGTTTGTAGTAAATCTACCTTTATAGTCAACCCTTTTTCTAGAGCAGCTCTATTTAAATTGAGTTACATAAGAAAAAATCTTCGGTACGTCAGAGAGAAGGAAAATAGAAATAAATTTTGATTGGCATTTATTCCTATTTAACATCCAGGTTGTAAAACTAACAGAAATGATCTCTTTGGGGGGTATATGTTTCATCAGATGAACAGTGGGTAATTTAAATTTTATTTCCTAAGTGGAATGTTTCTAATTTGCTTCTGATAATGCTAATCTACATAATGTGCTTTTAACTTCTTTGGGGAAAAGATACCAAATAATTGTAGAATATTTGTTGTCAGGTTAATTTTCTTCTTGTAAACAGCAATAAGGGTTTAATAAGATATTTCATTTTTTATAAGCTCTTTAAGTCTTTATGCTATGTCATAATTTTATAAACCCACCGGGACCTTATAATCACAATTTACAAAACTTGTGGGAAATTTGAAAATGAGTTTGCAAAATTGAAAACAAAGTAATTGAAAAATTACAACACACTTGGAAGTTGAAATTATTTTAGATGTTCCACAGGGATAAGAAATAGGTTATTACTCCTGTTAATAAGTGTCATGGACTATGGAACACACCAGTTGCATCACCTTCTGATGGCTCCCTGTTCCTTTGCCTTTCCTTTCCTGATTACAAATAGCACACATCTCCCCCTGGTGGTACTTTCCAAAAACTGCAGGTCCTCAGAAGTCGATTTCATGCAAATACATTTGTAACAAATTTCACTTCCAGGCACAAGTCAATAGTTGGGCAGTTATAAAAGAATCTGTTTGTAAGCCACTGGAAGAAAATATTTTAAGCATTATTTAAATAAAGAAAACTTTATAAGTTTCTTAGCAATCAACAATAATAGTAAGAATTCATAACTAAGGTTTTGTTAATTCTTCAACTTTTAGATGTTAGTGCTAAGATATTATAAGCATTGTTTGTTACATCATCCCAGTGGAACAGCTATCATTTTCCTCATTTTACAGTAGAAAAGACTGAGGCTTAGAAAATGTGTCAATTAGATTTTTTTTTTTTTTTTATTGCAAGCAATATACACTGATTCCAATTTAAGATTTTAAAAAAAGGGAATAATATAGAATGGGACAAGAGGGAAAATGGAGACTATTGGTGGCTTATTGAATTGAAGAGAGAGCTGAACAAATTCAGGAAGAACAGAAATTAAAGCAGATCTGGGGGTCTCACTAGAAGGGAGTCATGAATTTTATTTCTAAGGCAGTTTCTCTAAGTCTGGTCTCCATGGAAAACGCTGATCCTTGAACCCCAACTTCAGAGTGGCAGACTTAGAACAACATCTGAAAGTGACCCTCAGGAAGTTTAATAGGTTTTCCAGATGATTCTTTTGTTCTCTGAATGTGCTTTTGGCCATCCCCAGGATCTATATACTCAATTTAAATATCCCAGGAGAGTGAGACTGGTTGGTGCTGGTTGGGTGAACTGCTCACCAATGTGGTAGAGCTTATGGTGTATGTTGAGGGACAGGAGTGTCCTTTGGTTGACAGCCTGGTGAAAATCACACTATTGGGAGGCCAGTAGAAGCTGATGCTTGGTTGATAAACAAAACAGACAGTCACTCTAAGAAGGCAGCAAGAGAGGAAGATTCATTCATCACATTCAAAAACACTTGACAAAAAAAAAGTGAAGAAAAGTCATTGTGTTAAAATCTATTAAAGATGCAACCAATTGTGAAGAGTTTGGATTGCTCTAGTTTTGATTAGCTAAAGGGAGGATAGATTGGTGATTGCCAAGGCCAAAATTATAAAAAGACACATTCATCTTATTACGGAAACAATGAGAAAAGAAAGCAGATCTCTCCCAAGGTTATCTCCACTTGATGCGTGAGAAAAGGGGTCTCGTATAAGGGAACAGACTTGCCTGATAGCCTCCTCTCCTCGGGTTCATTCCACGTGCCTCCCTGGTTTCACCCGAATTGCTAACTAGTTTCTTCCTGAAATATGCTAAAGAATAGTGTGATCTTGTTCAAAGATGCTCATTAAATGTTCATTTTCTGTAAATATTCATTTCCTCTGTTCTTTTTTTAATTATTTGTAATTCCATTTTGCTATTGTTTGTAGTATTTGATGAATACAAAAGGATATCGCAGAAGGATATCGAACAGAGTATTAAATCTGAAACATCTGGTAGCTTTGAAGATGCCCTGCTGGCCATAGGTAAGCTTGGCAAGGGTTGGGGTGGAGAAACAGATGTTTACAGACTTGGCTATCAGTTTGTAGTCATGGGATTAGAATTTTTTTTTCAGGGATTAAAAAAAAAAATTGTTTAAATCACTCATGCTCTGATCCACAATTTTAAACAAGAACTATTCTATACAAACCTGATTTTTATTGTACCATATAGCTTTATATATTTTATATCCTCTGTGCCTTTATATTTAAGGGTATGGGAAAGATAATGCTATACTAACTGCAACTTGTAAGTCTGTGAATGGTTAAAACAGTGGTTCTCAACCTTCCTAATGCCAGTTTAATACAGTTCCTCATGTTGTGGTGCCAACCGTAAAATTATTTTCGTTGCTACTTCATAACTGTAATTTTGCTATTGTTAATGAATCTTAATGTAAATATCTGTGTTTTCTGATGGTCTTTCCACAGGTTGAGAACCACTAGCAGGGTCGCCTAAGACCATCGGAAAGCACAAATATTTACATTATAATTAGGGTCACGGCATTAGGAAGGTTGAGAACCACTGGGTTAAAAACAACTTCACGTGGTAGAGATGGTACTCATTTTTAAACTACAAGCTGCCTTTTGCTTTAATGGCCTTTATTAATTACTTCTCCAGGAACTTGACAATAAATGGAGTGCTTCCCATCTGTGAAAGTGCTTTCAGCATAGCCTGTCTTCATAAAACATTGCTTACCTACAATTTTTCTGACAAAGAGATTCTACTTCATAGTTTATAGAAACAGAAGGAACAACTGTCACGTTTTCTCATAGATTTTATCTGTAATCTTTTCATTTCTTCTTTTTTTTAATCTCTTAACAGTAAAGTGCATGAGGAATAAACCTGCATATTTTGCTGAAAGGCTTTATAAATCTATGAAGGTAAAGTCTTCTTTTTAAGCATCTGAATGGCTTTGACATGTCTTGTGTCCAAATGAGACAAAATCAGTCTAATATATTCAGTTTAATTGATCAAATACTTCACTGAGTGCCTGCTAATAATACTACTAAGTAATATTTATTGAGTACTTATAATGTGTGATCATTCTTCCTAACACTTTCTCTCTATATATAGGGTCTCTCAAAAAATGTATATGCATACTTTGACTAATCATACAGACAGTGCTTATTAAAATACATTTCATTTTTAAAAATTGAGCTATCAGCTGTTAAAGTGTGTATACATTTTAGGGGGGACACCATGTAGATTAGTTTTATTCCCATAACAGCCTTATGGGGTAGGTACAATTATCAACCCCCATTTTACAGATGAGAAAACTGAGGGATAGAGAGGATATGCAATTTGCCCAGGGTCCTCAGTGAAGAAGTAATGGAGTTGGGATGCACACACTGGAGTTTGGCTTTAGAACTCAAGCTCCTAACCATGTACAGTACCTTTGCTGGGGGGGGGGGGGGGGTGTAGGTGGGTTTGCAGGAAAGATGAAAATGTAGACCTTGCTCTCAAAGAACTTCTAGCCTTGAGGGGAAGGCAGGGATGTGCAAAACACCAATAAGAACAAAATAGAATACAATACAGTAGTTGTATCAAAACAGAAGGAACAGAATTATAGGAGCACAGAGGATAGGGTATTTCACACATTTGGTTTTTGTTTTGTTTTGTTCTGTTTTGTTTTGTTTTGTTTTGTTTTGTTTTTAGAAGGTATTGATCAGAAAAGAATATATAAAGAAATTGTTATGTTTAAGCAGGACCTTAGAGTAAGTTTTACACTGGAAGATATTACATGGGAGAAAGGATGGGGAGGGGAGGATGCCATGGTCTGGAGGGGTGGGAAGGAATCATTGCAAGGGAAGCTGGAGAACACAGGGCATGTCTAGAGTGTCAGAACAGAGGACTGGAAAGTTCAATTGGTGAGGAGAGGTATTCCACACGCCCCTTAGGTCGTGGCATAAAGGACATCGTCAGGAGAGTCGTGCACAGCCTTGCCCTGACTGACGAAAGAGCATGTCTGGAAACCATCCGGACCTTAATAGGGTGGGATCTTGTTTTCTTCTCTAGGGCTTGGGCACCGACGATGACACCCTTATCAGAGTGATGGTTTCTCGGGCGGAGATTGATATGTTGGACATCCGGGCACACTTCATGAGGCTCTATGGAAAGTCTCTGTACTCCTTCATCAAGGTAGGGAGTCTGCCCTGGCCCCGGGGGAAGCTCTAATGAAAGGATGGGATTCTGACCTAGGTATTTAGACACATCTCATCCTCTCATTGGCAGGAAATAAACACCTTTAAAGTGAAATAAACACCTTTCAAGGGAATGATATTTCCAGTCTCTCTCCTTTCACACAGGTGTTTCAATCTCTGCCAGGTTAGAAACTGGAAATGTTTGCATTGTAAATATACTAATTATTTCATGTTGATCCCTCACACAGAAAGATTATATTTTAATGAACACTTTAAGAACCACAATTTCTCTGTCTACCTGCTTACAATGAAAGATAAGCAACTAAACCAGTCCTCCAGAATCCGATCCAGGGCCAACGGAGGGCTGCTGAGAATATAGGAAAGCGTGTTCGCCATCTTGGGTTGCTGTTCTTTTCCTGGCACCAGACTTCTAGGCTGGCTAACATGGCATGGGCGGGATGAGAAATGAGTCACATCCCTAAAAACCCCTCAATACTTGGGTTTTGCTTCTGGAGGATAATTATGAGGCCATGAATATGAAGCCAAGACCCATTTCCCTAGAAGCTGGTGTTGCCTGCACAACAAATTCAAATCAGAATGTGATCTGTGAATTAAATATTCTGAATCCCCCTGAGAGCTTGGAGAGGTATAACTATTAAGTGATTTGAGCTACAAATTTCATGGTAGTAGTATTTATTCAGGAATTTGCTTCTATTTCTATCTGGCTTATGAGGCAACTTTATTTTGCAGAGTTGATATATAGCTCGTTGTAAATAAAATACTTTCAAGATTCATAGATGACCATAAAAGAACATTTGACAAACATGAAAAAGAAAGTAGGATTATACTGTAAGTAAAAAAAAAAAAAAAAAAGAATTTAAAGAGAAAAAGAATTAATAGGAGAAAGTGGATCACTTCATATTGATAAAGGCAGTGATTCAAAACAAAGATCAAATTCTTATGAAACTGTAGGTGCCAAATAGAATTGCACTCAAGTATGCAAATAAGACATTCAAAGCTCCAAAATAAGACACTGATGAAGATACTATGCGAGGGAAACTTTAACATACCACTATTCTTTGGCAGATCAATGAGGTAAAGTATAAACAAGAATATATTAATATATTTTAACAGATGTAAGTTAAACTTTGAACCCTATAAACACAGACTCCATCTTTTTTAGTGCCTATGGAGCACTAGCAAAAACTGCTCTATTAGCCCATAAAAATGTAGAAATTATAGCATCTTCATGTAGCCTATTTTGCAACCCTTATCAAAAGACTTAAGAAAATACATGATCATTAATTCAGTAATTCTCATTTTATGACAATTTATCCTGAGTAAATCATCAAGGAAATGCAAAAAAAAAATTTAACTATGATAGACTTATTGCAGCAGTGTTTGTAATACTACAAAATTAGAAGCAATATAAATATCCAACAATGGGGAGAAGATCAAATAAATTATTTTATCTATGTACAGTGGAATTCTTTGTAGTCATTAATTAACAATGCTGTAGAAGAGTATTTAATGAATTAAAATAGGGAAATATTCAGGCTATATTAAGTAAAAAATCAGAATACAAAATACTTCAGTCCCATCATATAGGAATCTATATACATAGGAAAAAGTCTGGAAAGATATGCACAAACCAAAATGTTAAGAATAGTGATCTCTCTAGTCCTAGCTGATTTGGCTCAGTGGATAGAGCGTAGGCCTGTATACCAAAGGATCCAGGGTTCAGTTCCAGTCAAGGGCACATGCCCAGGGTCGCAGACTTGATACCCGGGGTGGGGGTGGGGGGGGGAGGAGGGGATGGGACATGCAGGATGTAGTCATCAATGATTCTCTCTCATCATTGATGTTTCTATCTCTCTCTTCCTCTCCCTTCCTCTCTGAAATCAATAAAAATATATATATATATTTTTAAAAAGAATAGTAAACTCTAGATGGTGGAATTATGAATGATTTTTATGTTCTTTTATGCCTTCATTTTCTTCATCGAATAGTAATATTACAAGTATTACTTTTGTAATAAACAATAACAAATGTTATTTTTAAAACTCTGAGAAAAATCCAGACAAGCTTTACAAAGTTAACCTGGAGACTTCGAGCTGTGTATTCCATTTTAGCACTCATTTATCTGACTGTAACTTTGCTTCCCTCTCCTCAGGGTGACACATCTGGAGACTACAGGAAGGTCCTGCTTATTCTCTGTGGAGGAGATGATTAAACTGAAATCCTGGAAAGATAAGAGGATTCCCAAAATCTTGATATTTTTTAACTTCATTTTTCTACACTGATATTATCATTATCTCAAAACACTTATTTCCAAATTAAAACACCTACGTTTGCCTCCTAGGATATAGACTGTGTTATTATTCATCTATAATTATAACTCATGATGCTTGAAAGCTGTACTTGTATTTCAAAGCTTATAAAACTTAAAAGGAGATTTAAAATTAGAAATAATAGTGTGCTCCATGTTTTTAACATATCTCTTCCTCATTTGTATTTCACAGAAATTGGGTTATATTAAATTATTTCATGTTTCTTTTTGGTGAAAATCTATAAAAGTGGAAGACTGGAAGGCTATTCTAAAATCACTTTTCTTTCCTAATTCTATTAATATTTTTAAAGTGGCTAGTAATTTCTAATTTGAAATTGTGGGCTTCTAGTTAGTAAGAATATCTGTCCAATTTCTTATTTCACAGTCATAGTTTGAAAGCACCCACAAATGTTCTTTGTTTAGGTTTTGTTGATAGCATTAGTTGATCTTTATTATGTTTGTTGTGAAATACTTCCTCCATCACATCTTATGTCAAGATCACTTACTCTCTCCAATTTGAAGTATACCAAAATCACCAAGTTGTCTGAACAAATTAAATTCTAACTATGGTTATACAGATCACATATGTCTGGTTACCAAACATAAATGTTGGACATTCCATAATATTTTTGTTAATGTCTTAAGCCGGTTTGTAATGGTGAATGTAATGCTCTGAATTTTACTTAAATTTTTTGTGCTAAAAATAATTTTTGAGTCATTTTGGATTTCGTCGATTTGTACTCATTTACATTTGCACTGTGCCTTTCAACTCTAGAATTATTTTGATTAAAAAGTTCAGTTTGTATGCATCATGGAAAAATAATTTGAATAAAACATGGTATCTTTAAGATGAGGTATACTCTTTATCCAACTTTACCACTTGTGAATTTTTTCATCCTGAAACCTGAAAGTATTTTCGAAGGACTTGTGTTACTCAGTTTCTATTAAGAACTACAACACTGAGGGGGAAAAATAACATAATTAGTCTTATGTACTGGTACACTAACTGCTGTTCACATATACCTCTAGTATTCAATAAGTCTGATGTAATACTATAAGAGGTTACTTCATTTTCCTCTCCACTATTCATTTATATTTACTTATTGGGCCCAATTCTTCTGTCTTTAGATGAAAATTCCAATAGAGGATAGAGTTATAACTTTTTTGGTGATTCTTAGATTATAAAAATTCCTACTGTGCAGTCCCTTAAGGTCACAAAACAATCATTTCAGTAATTAATATGCCCAGTCAAAATTCCGAACTTGATTTTAATTGAAGCGTCTTCCCTCATTCAGCTCTGGCCTATTGATGGCTTTGGGGGAAGGGTCATAGTAGCCTGTCTTTGTCTACCTAGGCTTCCTTCCGTGCTCTATCCCTTAGCCCCAACCTAGCCAGGGTTGTAGTAGTGTTGCCAGTGGAAATCGTGTTCTTTCACAGGATCTCGAGTGGAACTTTTCATGGACCCCTACACGGGAGATTGTGGTGTGGCAAGATTTATTTGGGTGGAAATAGATGGCTGCCCCTCCAATGTCCCATCTCCATCCATCTGCTATGAGGAAACGTCCTATCTTGTCTTCATTAAGGGCAATACAAAAGCCACTGTCCAGAGTTCCTGTGTAAAATTTAGTCTTTTAGAGCCCTCTGAATCTGTTGTGGGCCCCAGTTGGCTACTAGACGAAGAGAGAGAGAGAGAGAGAGAGAGAGAGAGAGAGAGAGAGAGAGAGAGAGAGAGAGGATGAATCTATCTTCTTTGTTCCCCTGGGATTGTGGGGTTATAGTATCTCAGTCTTGTAAAAGACTGTTTGGCTCAGTGATATAGAGCGTTGGTCTGCGGACTGAAAGGTCCCAGGTTCGATTCCGGTCAGGGGCATGTACGTTGGTTGCGGGCACATCCCCGGTAGGGGGTGTGCAAGAGGCAGCTGGTTGATGTTTCTCTCTCATCAATGTTTCTAGCTCTCTATCTCTCTCCCTTCCTCTCTGTAAAAAAATCAATAAAAAATAAAATAAAATAAAAAAGACTAGGACCACTTTTTGCAAAATAATTAGTCTATTTACCAAGCTTTCCAAACTGCACTGGGCCCACCTTCCAACCAATCTAGTCCTTTATTTTCCCAGGCTATGGTCAAGCACCGCCCCCTGTGCCATTCTGACTTCCCTTGTGCATGAGCTTAAGTTCCTCTTCATTGTTCTATCCCTTCTCCGTGTTCTATGGGGAACAGACAGGTGGTTTCCTGGGAAGTGTGTGAAGCTGTGACTTCCAGGCAAAGTGAGCAGGCTCATGCTCCCCAGTTGATTATACTTAATATCTGATTCCCTTTGCCTCCTGCCTTCATTAATAACTAGCTAACTTCCTCCACTAACATTACCTGACTGTTCTCTGGTGTTGATGGCCATGCTGTGTGCTGTTGGCAGATGTTTAAAGCTGATTCTTGGGGACATTCTCTTGGGTTCTTTTATCAACTCCATCATCAGGGGATTCCTCACCTTCGGCTCCCTTGGCAAGGCAGATGAAATTCTTGTTCTTCAGCCTTTAAGAATCTGATGATAACTTCAGGTTCTCTGTGCTGCATTGCTTGTCCTTCCATCCAGGCTTCTTGCACAGGCTCTAAGGTAGCCCATACTGGATGGCTTGTGGTGGCCCACATCTGTTTCATGGCAAACACTTGCATATCCTTTGTGTTGACAAATTCTGGGCATGCAGGCTGAATCCCTTTTATTTATTTTTTTGTTTTGTTTTTTAAATATATATTTTTAATTTTTTACAGAGAGGAAGAGAGAGGGATAGAGAATTAGAAACATCAATGAGAGAGAATTGTCGATTACCTGCCTCTTGCACACCCTCTACTGGGGATGTGCCCGCAACCAAGGTACATGCCCTTGACCGGAATCGAACCTAGGACCTTTCAATTTGCAGGCTGACACTCTATCCACTGAGCCAAATCGGTTTTGGCTGATCCCCTTTTAGACATCATTCTTCTTTCCTAGCCCCTACCCCTTAACTGCCCCAGCCAACCTTTCTCAATTCAGATTTCTCAGGGTAAGACACCTGGGGTTCCCAAACTACATATACTACTGCTGATGGGAGTATAAATTGGTGAGATCATTTCAGAAGCAATTTAACAGTTAAAGTTGAAAGTTCTAGTAAATTCACTTCTGGGGATTCTACGTTCTGAATCTCTTGCACATGGTGTTCATTACTGCTTTATTAAGAGCATTAAGATAGAAAAACCTTAACTCCTTCAGTAAGGGGGAAAAAGTAAATTAAGGGTTAGTCACACATTAACTAGAGATTTTTCAGTTGGATAAGTCTCAAAAGTATAATTTTGAGAGAGGAGAAAGGTGTAGAATGATAGGTATAGCATAATTTCATTTAATTACATCTCTAAATGTGCAAAAGAAAGTATATTGGTAATGTGTGTGTATATACTGTGTGTATATGTGAACATGCAGGGGAATGATATACACCATTATGAAGATAGTGGTCACTATAAGTGAAGGAGACAGACTGAGATGGAGAGGGAGTGTCTACCTTTCTGCATTCTAGATAAAAGAACGAAGCAAAGCCAGTATAATACATTTAAGTTTTTATTACAATTTGTTATTGTTATGGTGGGCCCCCAACTTATTACTAATTATTTATCTTATTACTCTGAGTAATTCATTACAAATATTTTATTTAAAAAGTAGCCAGAGCCGAGACTGGTTTGGCTCAATGGATAGAGCGTTGGCTTGGGGACTGAAGGGTCCCGGGTTCGATTCCGGTCAAGGGCATCATTCTCCTTTCCTAGCCCCTACCCCTTAACTGCCCCAGCCAACCTTTCTCAATTCAGATTTCTCAGGGTAAGACACCTGGGGTTCCCAAACTACATATACTACTGTTGATGGGAGTATAAATTGGCTGCGGGGCATATCCCCAGTAGGGGGTGTGCACGAGGCAGCTGATCAATGATTCTCTCTCATCGATGTTTCTAACTATCTCTCTCCCTTCCTCTCTGTACAAAATCAATAAAATATATATATTTTTAAATAAAAAGTAGCGAGAGGGAGTCAGGGAGTGGGAGTTATCCAGAGTCCCAGAGCAAGGGCTGCATTCTCTAGGCAGATACCTGTAGCTTTTACACGGACACCTGTCAATTCTGCTCCGGCCTCCAGAAGGCCTTTTAAGCCCTGACTGCCCCAGCACAGACCCCACGGCCCCTGGTGGAAAGGAAAGGAAAGGAAAGGAAAGGAATGCAGGGAACGTTGACCACAATCCGTAGAGGAAGCGCAGCACTGGTGCTTAAGAAACCCAAGGGCCTAACATTCCAAGACGCACATTCTAGATCCCCCTCCCTCGGAATGCCAGGCCCCACGTGGCCTCCTCCAAAGAGCTCCAACAGCAGCACCCTTTGGGGGAGGAGGGGAGGCTCTCGAGGAGCATCGAGCACCCCTGGACCTCTAGAGCTCAGAGAACTTGCAGAAAGAATGAGCTGCAATCCCTCGGCCCCGTTAACCCCACAGGGTGTGGGTGAAATAACGCTGAGAGCTCAGCCGGCCCCCCAATTCTGGCTGGTAGCAGATACAGGCCGATCGCGGCGCAAAAACCCCAAGCCCGTGGGAGCGAAGCGCCCCCTCAACGTCGTCCGGTGCCACGGAGGAGGCTCCGCCCACCCACTGGTCCCGCCCCTTCCGAAGGCTCCACCCACTTCACTGGACCCGCCCCTTCCTGAGGCTCCACCCACTTCCCTGGCCCCGCCCCTCGCCCGCCTGGTCCCGCCCCTTCCGGAGGTTCGCCGCGAGCACGCGCCGCCGGGTCCGCACTTATTTGCGAAAGCCGGCGGCCGGGACCCGCAGCCCGCACACCCCGCGCGCAGAGACGCGGCCGCGGGCGGGGCGGTGGATGGAGGCGGCGGCGTTCCCTGCAACGGTCGGGGCTGCGCGTGAGGAAGGGGTCGTGTAGACAGACACCCGTGCCCGGGGGACACCGGCGGCGGCGGCGGCGGCCGGGCCATGGCGGGAGGCCGGGCCCGCTGGGCTCCCTGACGTGCGCCCCCCTGACCTCCCGGGGCACAGCCGTAGCCCATGGGCGCGCTGAGCAGCCGGGTGCTGCGCCCCCCGGGGCGAACCCGAGCCCAGCCGGAGCCGGGTTCCGGGGCGGGGGGCCCGGCCCGGAGGCCGGAGGTGGGCGGCGATGCGCCGGGCCACGGCTTCTGTGACTGCCCCGGCAGCCGCAAGCGTAAGCGGAGCAGCGGGGCCCTCTGCTACTGTCACCCCGACTCCGAGACCGAGGAGGAGGAGGAGGAGGAGGAGGAGGAGGAAGGGGACGAGCACCAGCGGCTCCTCAACACCCCGAGGAGGTAGGCGGAGGGACGCGCCCCGCACCTGTTGGCCGGGCGGCGCTTGCGGGGTGCAACGTGTCCTGGACCAGGCGCAGGTGGGCGCCGGCCCGAGGCAGGGCAGGTGGGGAGCGCCGTGGGGGAGACGCTTGGGGTTCACAACCGCAAACCACAGACGCCGCCCGCAGGATGCGATGGCCCCAAAGCAAAGAGGAGGCTCAGAAACGCCAAGCCGAAGCTCGCGCCTCGTTAAAGCCCAGACGCGTCCCGCCGGCTGCCCTGCACCTTTGTCTCCTCGGAGTGAGTGGGCGGCAGTGAAATGGGGTGTTTTGCATCCGGTGGCCTGAAATAGTCCGGCTGGTTCAGTGCGGGCTCTGTCTGAGGCGGGCGCTCCCGTGGTCGTGCACTCGGGGCAGCGGAAGTGACTGCAGTTCTGAACCGTGACGGTGGAGCTCACCCCCGGTGCACGGAGGTGCCTCACCAGGCACAGGCTCTCAAAGCCTCCGAACTTGACCGCTCAGCTCACCCTGACAGGCGGCCCCCCTCTTCCCCCGCAGGAGTTGCAAACCAGGATGTTTACTTGTGAGCTACAGTGTTGTTTCTAAGTAGAAGATGTTTGCACACACACAGTCTGGTTGCTCTGTTTGTTTTTAAAGGTCATCAGTGGGGTCACGTAGATTTGACTTTTTTAGTGACTTTCCCCCCCCCCATCATTCAAACTTTTTTTTGTTTTGTTTTTTTGCTTACACAACCACCAGGTATTGTAAAATAAGAGCCTTACAGATAACTTCCGTTGACAGTTTGGTTTATAAAATCTTTCATACAGTTTTATGTAAGCATGCTTGTCCCAAAAATGGACCCCCCCCCCCCCACTGTCAAATTGTCACCTTTTGGGAGAGTCAACATGATATAGTTTTAGCAGCTCAGATTCTCTGAGTTCTAGTCTGTAGTCTGCACATTAAGAGTCTTATTTTCTCATTAGTAAAATGGAGATGCTAGTAGGTGCCATAAAGGGTTTATGAAAATGCAGGCGATGAACGGTGCTCGGTATGGAAGAACTCACTAAATCTTGTCTCCTTGATAAATCAATTGACTCTCTTTATCCCTGATAATATAGCCACTACCACTTTATTTTAATAAGTGTTTAAAAAGGTATGTATTTTCCTATACTTTCTGTTTTACCTGTGTTATATTTTAAGTGGCATCTACAGCACACAGGTGGGTCGTGTGTGTGTGTGTGTGTGTGTGTGTGTGTGTGTGTGTTAATTCAGTACGATAGTTTCTGCCTTTTAATAAGTATTTAGGTCACTTGTACCCCATATCCTCCTTGTTGACAGGATCCCTCCCCCCCCCCCTTTTTTTTTTAATGGAACTTTTGGAATTTTTTTTCTTTGGTATTTTGGGATTTAATTAGAGTATCCCAAATGTGGGCCTTATAATGGCCTTGGTACTTAGTGTATTGTTACAATCTAGAGACTACTTTAGTCTTCCATTAATTTTCTTCTCTTTGTTTTCTCTTTTCTTGGACCCCTTTACATTGGATTTCTTGGGTTATACGTCTTTCTCTCCTCTTTTTATCCTTTCTAAGTCTTATTTGATTTGTTTTGAGGAATTCTTTTAACTTTGCCATTCAGCCTTGCTTAGGGGTTTTTAATTTCAGCAACCATGTTTTTAGTGTCTAAGAGCTCCTTTATTTTCTTGTTCTGAGTAATCCTTTATCATAGCATTCTGTTATTTTATGAATGTAATATTCTCAGATCTCTAGAGGTATTAGACTATTTTTGTTTTGCTTTGCTTTTAAGTTTTTGTTGTTGTTGTTGTTGTTTTTAATATATTTTATTGATTTTGTAGAGAGAGGAAGGGAGAGACAAAGAGAGTTAGAAACATCGATGAGAGAGAATCAGCTGCCTCATGCACACTCCCTACTGGGGATGTGCCCGCAACCAAGGTACATGCCCTTGACCGGAATCGAACCGGGGACCTTTCAGTCCCCAAGCCGGCACTCTATCCATTGAGCCAAGCGGGTTTCGGCTGTGTTTTGTTTTTTTAAAATTATGTTTCCTCTGGGGATAGTTTCTCTCTTTTTAATATTTTCCTCAGGTTGGGTGATTCTTGGTTGTCTGCTTATATTTAAGAATGAGAAACTGGTGTGTGTGTGTCTTAAGTCAATAAATCTATTTCTACTAATCTCCTTTGAGTAGGGACACTGACTACTACATTGGATTCGATGGGGCATGCTTTGTTTCAGAGTAGAGCTTCCCAAACTTTGTTTAAAGCACCCTTAGTATCTCAGCTATTTTCTTCTTGGCACTTGGGCCCCCAAGAAATATCAGGTAATTAGGTCCAACCAACTTAATGGTAGTAGACTGCATGGTATCTGAAAGATGTTGCTGTGTTTCCTTCAAATTTAGAATAGTCCGCATACTTACCTGAGTTTGCTGTGGTGCTCCAGGTGTTTTGACACAGAGTTTGGGAACCATGTTTGGGTGAGTAGGTTGGGAGCCATCAGGCTATAGATTCTTCATGTGCTAGAATGAAGATTGCTTTGTCTGGGGCACTAATACCTGCACTGAAGTCTTACATCTTTTTGGTAGATCTGTTTTATTTCTTTCAAGAAGATCCTTGGAATCTTTATATCTGATTTATCTGTACTCTGTGTTCAAAAAGAGTGGAGAAGGCCATTAGAGGAACTAGTTTCCCCACTTTCTGTCTCAGTTTCTATTTCTGCCTTCTGTTTACCCTGAGACCTCATCTTCCCAACTCACACATACACAGCTTCTGAAGGGTAACCAGGCTTCAGCCTCCAACCTAGATCCTGATAAATTTTGGACTGTGGCTTTTGAGGCTCTTTTCCAGTTTATTTTCTAACTTCCAGATCTGTAGAATTCTCTCATTAGTTGAGAGAATGTTTTTGCTGTTTGAGCTTATTCCTTTCTGTACTTTTAATCTTTCAATGTAAGTTGGGGAGGATGCTGTAAGGAACTGGAACCTACATTGTCTCATTTATTTCCCCAGTAACCCAACGAAGTGGGTGGTATTGACACCCTCTGCGGTACATCGGGGGTAACCGAGCTGTGGTAAAGCTGGAACTCAAACCCAAGTCTGTTGACTACCAAAGCGTGTGCTATTTCTTCTGCCTGTTGGGAAGAGATGTTAAATACTCTGGTTCAAGACACCATCTGAAACAATTACTTCATTTTTAAAAATATTAAAATTTGCTTACTTGGAAAGCTGTCAGGCTTGGCTAGAAACATAAAAATATTGAGCAGCCTCTATCTGGGGCTTTTCAAATGTACGGGACCATCTTGAGCAATGATTGTCAAACTCAAAAAAAAATTCTTTGTTTAAATTGCATCGTATGTAGAAATGCAAGATGTTTACAAATATAAATGTGATGCCCCTCTGAAGTTAGGTGGGATGCCCTGCCCTCACTTCTCAGCTCTTCCTGGTGGCCACTTTTCCATTGGACATCATTTTGAGAACCTTTGGTCTAAGGACCAATTGTCCGCTTGGGGGATGAGGTGACATTTTAATCAGTTTTTAAAATAGTTTGATACCAAAATAAGTTAAATGTAAATTATTTTTAAAATTATTTGGTTGGTTGAAGTTTTTACGCATGTTCTCCATTCTGTAATTGTAAAACAGTATTATTGTAGTGGTAGTGAGATGCTCCTTAGTACTGATTTCTAAATAAGGTAATAAGTAAAAATAATCCTGACTTATCTTAATTTATTGAACAGGTAATTCACTTAGTTCAAAAATCAAACATTGCAAAAACATGGATAGTGAAAGATCTTATTCTCATGCTCCCCCCATATATCTCCTATTATCCCACTTGGGAATAGAGTACCTCAGAGGTAACCACTACTATTAGTTTTTTAATGTACTCTTCTTTTTTTTTTTTTTTTTTTTAATATATATTTTATTAATTTTTTACAGAGAGGAAGGGAGAGATATAGAGAGCTAGAAACGTCGATGAGAGAGAGACATCGACCAGCTGCCTCTTGCACACCCCCTACTGGAGATGTGCCCGCAACTCGGGTACATGCCCTTGACCGGAATCGAACCTGGGACCTTTCAGTCCGCAGACCGACGTTCTACCACTGAGCCAAACCGGTTTCGGCTAATGTACTCTTCTGTACATGAACAAATTTAATATATAATATACCTCTGTTCTTTTACTCATTGATTCTATTTAATAAAAGTTGAATAAAAGGAGTATGTTGAGTTATTTGCAAAATCAGTAAAACATTCAGTTTTACACATATGTAACAGTTGCATTTCTTTTAACAGGAAAAAATTAAGGAGTACATCCAAATATATTTATCAAACATTATTTTTGAATGGTGAAAATAGTGACGTTAAAATTTGTGCTCTAGGAGAAGAGTGGAGCTTACACAAAATATATTTATGTCAAGTAAGTATTTTATTTTTCTGTTTGAATGACTACATTTAACAAACTCGAACTCTTTTAAGTCATGTTCTTCATATTTGCATTTCATAGTAATCTTTTGCATGGAGAGCGGTTAACTCCTATCATCTAATAAAAAGTATTGTTTTGTAAGAACTATGGTGAGCATTTTTAGTGAAAGCTTAGTTTGGTCTAGAAAACGGATTTTGAACTTTCATTGCCATTTGGGCCTAGCAAAAAATACCATTAGTCATTATTTCAGTAGGGTGCTTATTTTGGTGCTTTCTGTTGACAAAAAGGGAAAAGTTATGGGAAAAAAATGTTTAACATTAAGACTAAGATGGCTGCATTTGTTTAATATGCATATGATCATTTAATTGGATGAACTCAGCTAGAATGTTGCTTTGTAATTAACATTAAATGTGAATGGAAAGTTCTTGACACTTAATCTTCCTTCTGGAAAATGCAAAGACAACATCAAAAAAGTATATAGACTAACTCATTTAGCTAATACACATATCTGATTTCTTAATGAAAATATTGCTATATGTCACCCATTTTAAAGATTTAAAAATTTCAAAATATTGCTTTAATGGCTCAAATATTTTATTTTCTTATCAAATCTGTCTTTTTTTCAAATCATTGTTCTAGGCACTTGGAATAGAGCAGTGAACAATTCAGTTCTTATCCTGTGGAGCTTATATTTTTCCCTCTCTTTTTCACCATTTGACAATAATTACTGGTAAGACAGTATAGTTTAAGAATTTTTAGAATAAACATCTGAAAAATTTTTCTCTAACATTTTAACCATAGTTTTTATTTAATTTTTGAACAGTTTTATTTTGCCTTAAAGTATATAGCCTAGAGAATAAATAAATCAGAACATTGGTCTCAGCTTGAAGATATGGTTCATATCTTTCTTTTTAATTTCTCAAAGCAATTTTGTGATTTTAAGGATGAAAATGCCTCTTTTCATTTCAAGAGAAACTGGATTGATTATAGTGCAAGCCACATGTTAAATTATAAGCCCCCTGAGGACATAAGCAGTGTGTTTTATTTACTGCTATATTCATAGTGCCTTGTATATATTAAATACTCAGAAAAGTTCTTAAATTAGTTAATATTTGATCCATTCCAAAGTAATTCTGATTATGAGAGGTGCTATCTAGTAAATAACTAAATACTCTATCCATTCTGGAACCTTTCCAAGAATTCAGGTTCATTCTGGAATTTTCTGATTAGATAATTAAACTTTGAATTTCCCCTAATTTCTTGGGAGTCATCCTATTAGTGTTGACTTGGGACTGGTCCTGATCCTTCACAACCACTGAGGTTCACAACCACTGAGGGACTTAACAGTTTGAGGGCTTTATTCTATTCTCTTCCTTGTTACATTTTTATCCACCTTGTGTGCTGTCATATGTTTGAGAGACTTAAATATGTAACATAATTTCTAAGTTTGAATATAGAATGTCATTGACAAGGAAAACATATACATGTAATATACTCAGAAATTGTTAAAAGCTAAAGTAAATGCAAATATTACTATATAGGAACTCAGTTCAGATAGTAATAGAATTAAGTTTCATTTTCATTAAATTAGTACTAAATTGAAAATATTTTTGTATACCTAACAGTGTCTTTATATCAATTTCTTTTCTCCTATAGACACATTTGGCAATTATTTTTCTATTGAAATAATATAAGTTTGCTTCGATAGAACAGTTGGCTTAAAGTTAGAAATGGGGAAATAATTTGAAAGACACGGGAAGTACTGGGTAATCATTTATTTATTTTTATTTTTTTTTTAAGTCTGGCTACTTTTCTAGTATGTTCAGTGGTTCTTGGAAAGAATCCAGCATGAATGTTATTGAACTGGAGATTCCTGACCAGAATATTGATGTAGAAGGTAACCACCACCACAGTTATTACTATTAAGCAAAGTAATGAAAACATAACTTATTATACTTTTAATAGAAAATATTTTCTTTTAACTTTGGAAGATAGGGGAAAAGTTCAATTTAATACCAGAAGGCAACAACATTATATTGATTTATTCCATAGTTTATCAGTTCTGTTCTACTTACCTCTAATATTTTTAGTCATGTGGGCCATATAAATATGTTTACTTAGGTTTATAAATAAATCTGCCTAGGATACAGAAGCTATAAGGTGAAGGAAGGAAAAGTATGACCACTTATTTTAATTACATAAAAAGCTGGTGAATAATACTCATTGATTATTCCTTATTATATATAAGACCTTTTCTGGGAACAATAAGGGTACAAATTATATAATCAATGTTGATTTATTTATTTAGTTTAAAAATATTTAATATATTTTGTTTATTGATTTCAGAGAGAAAGGAAAAGGGAGAGAGAGAAAAACATCAATGATGAGCCCTAACTGGTTTGACTCAGTGGATAGAGTAACGGCCTGCGGACTGAAGGGTCCCAGGTTTGATTCCGGTCAAGGGCATGTATTATACCTTGGTTGCAAGCATATCCCCAGTAGCGGGTGTGCAGGAGGCAGCTGAATCCATGTTTCTCTCTCATAGATGTTTCTCACTCTCTATCCCTCTCCCTTCCTCTCTGCAAAAAATTAATAAAATATATATATATATATTTAAAAACATAAATGATGAAAGAGAATTATTGCTTGGCTGCCTCCTGCATGCCCCCTACGAGGTATTAAGTCCATACCCCAGGCATGTGCCTTGACTGGGAATTGAACCATGACTTCCTGGTTCATAGGTCGCTACTCAACCTGCCAGCCACACTAATCAATGTTGATTTAGAGCTAAAAGGATTTTTAGATGAGGAAGCTAAGAACCGGAGCTTATGTTAGGTCTCAAAGCAGTTTAATGAGCTTAGATCAGACTCTAGTTCTCATAATTGCTATTCCAATGCTGTTTCTACTGCCTTCTTTTTCACCCCTTTTTATTGAATTTATTGGAGTGATACTGGTTAAAATTAAATAAGTTTCGTGTGCAAAAATATAAAGTAAACCATGTGAGACATAGATACGAGTACAGCAGAGAGAGGATGGACAGGCTTACTAGATGGCTTGTGGTAGCTGGGTGAGAGTGTAGCATGCATAAGACCATAAGCTATTCCACACCAGTGGTGAAGCCCTGAAAGTATTAGGGTTAATATTATCATTGTGTCAATACTTGTACTTAATTGGTCTACTTTGGGATATCTTTATAAAACTTTTGGAAGGGTGTCTAAATTCTGACCACTAATTAACGTCAAGATTAGATCTAGAAGAATCTAACTCAATTTGGCAAAATAAGTGGAAAATTAATAATTTAGTATCATTAATCAGTAACCATCACTAGTATTTTAATTAGCGATACGGTAGTTCTCTTATCCTTTTAAGTACATATTAGATTTAGACATATTTCTTAGTGTGTAAAGATATTGTTATTTTTATAATACTCTCATAGATAATAATTGTTATTTCATTCTACTTTTGCTTCCAGCACTGCAGGTTGCATTTGGTTCACTGTATCGAGATGATGTCTTAATAAAGCCCAGTCGAGTTATTGCCATTTTGGCAGCAGCTTGTATGCTACAGTTGGTAAGTATGCACATTATTCAACGAAAGGCTTACAGTTGTATTTTTATTTCAAAGTATTCCAAAACAAAAAATCAAGTTTAGCTTTTTATAATTTTGAAAACAAAAATGAATTGTATAAATATGCCATTTGTGGTGTCATCAAAAACGCTTAACCAAAAGCAATTTATTGCACCCAAAGAGATCATGATGTGTATGTAAGATGAATGCAAGCTATTTCTATGTAAACATCTTAGAATGACAGATTTTATTAATGGCGTGTTTTGACTGTTATGAAGCAGATGGCTTATAATTATGTACTGATTAGTTCATGGGGTCAAAAAACAACAAGTGCTTACTATGTAAACTTTTTCTTAATTATGAAATAACTGTGTGTAAATGTGTATAATCTATTGGTAGAAGGACAGATTTGTTCATTCAACAGAAGTATACTGAGCAATGTACTAAAGTAGGCATAAAGATCCAAAGATACTGTCCCCACCTTTAAGAAGCTCACAATATAATGAATGTTGAATGGAAAAGGGAGGGTTTATATGCAGATCCAAAGGTAAATAAGAGCTGTCCAGTGTTATATGTATAATCATAAACATCCTGTAGGATTTAGTAGGTGCACAAAGTGATCAGTTCAATGTGTTTGTGTCATAGAAGGAAGTTGTGTTTGAGGTGAGTCTTGAAAACCAAAAAATTACTTCTTTTGCAAAGTAAGAAGAGAGGAGAAGGAAAGAGCATTTCAGACAATAAACTAAGACATAGGGGTGAAACTGGAGAATTAGAGAATCTGAACGGAACATGGCTCTAGCATAGAATATAAGAAGGGTTGGAGAGAGGGAGACAGAGGCCCACATGAAAGCTCTCTATACCTTTCAAAAAGTTTAGGTTTTATGAATAGTACATTTGGAAGATTTTAATCAGGGGAAAGACAAAGTTACGTTTTAGAAAGAAAGCATTAGGAATAATGTGAAGGATGGATTGAAGAAAAGATGAGTATAAAAAACTATCATAATCAAATGAGGGCCTAAATTAGGGTCTAAACATTAAGAATGGAGAGGAAAAACTGAAAACCACAGAGGATAAGCAGGGGTAATCCACTGGATTTGGTGACAAAGGAGATGTTAAGAGGAAAGGGGAGGAATCTAGAATGACTTTTTCAGGTAAGTTTAAGTCAGTGATTTATTTTGATCTTTAAAAAGTTAATTGAGTTTCCTTTTATGTGGCATTTGTATACTGATTTCTTTGAGATTTACTTAATAGCTTGCTAAATATACTTGCTTGGAGTTATTTGATTTTTTTAAAATGTTTTGATCCTTATAATTATTATTTCCATGTAATATACTTTATTTTCTAACTTTAGTCCTATTTTGGTTTTGTCCTAAATCCACTTTCTGCATTATCTTTATGGCTTAACTGTTTAACCTAATAATATACTTGCATGAATATATTTTAGAAATTTGAGTAAACAGTGACTTTATTCACATATATTGAATAAAGTTTGCTTGAAATCTTCTGTATAAACATTTTAAATTAAAATTTCAATGTAAGCTTAAAACAATAATGTGTTTGGTTTAGGTACATCTCTTAGATATTGATAAGTATTTTAAACTTTAATAAACACTTTGTGATGATTCATAGTTTACTTGCTTAGCCCATCACATGGTCTGTGTAAAGAGATTTTAATTTAAAAAGAACTGGTAAAACAGACAGAATGTTGTTTAAATTTGCAAAGGTCCCTAAAAGGGAAGAATTGAAAGGGAATAATAATATTCATCTCTGCCTACTCCTTTACCCCGCTCTTCCACTTTTAATTCCAAGTATTTAGTTGAATACTTGCTGGATTTTTTTTCAATATTTTTACTGGACTTACTGCTGCACCTAATGAGTTTCTTTCTTTCTTCCTTTAAAAAAAACCTTTTTAATATGTAAAAGCACATGTTCAGAGCTAATTTTTCCCACATGAAATGGGCCTTTCCACTGCTTATTTATATTTACAGGATGGTTTAATACAGCAGTGTGGTGAAACAATGAAGGAAACAATTAATGTGAAAACTGTATGTGGCTATTACACATCAGCAGGGACCTATGGATTAGATTCTGTAAAGAAAAAGTGAGTTACCCTTTTTGTTTTTCCTTCCATCCCACTTGTGGGAATTTGGCTGCTTTGGTTTCCTAAGAGAATGTGTAGTGTGACAAAGAAAGAAAGAAAGGAAAGAAAAAAAAAAAATAGAAGAATAGAACTTTATTTAAAAAGTTCCTTTTTACATTTGGACAGATTAGTAAATTTCTCAAGTGTTGTCTTTGTAAGTGACCATGGGTGGGTTACTAGTTATAACTGCTTATAAAAACTATGATCACTCTTTAGAGTATGGTCATAGTTATAGTAGATCTTCTATAAAATCTTTCAAATGGTAGACATACTAGACATCATATCAGTGCAACTACTGACAATGTTTTTAACTCTTGAGAATTTCTGTATCTATTTTCAAATTATAAAGAAGTAATGGAAGTATGTAAGTCCTTTCATAAACCATTTAACACAAACTTGAAATGAGGTTTTCTTAAGTTGAAATGTTCTTATTAATATAAAGGGAATACTTCCTTAATAACTACTGACAAAAATAATACTAAATTTTCAATTGTTAAATTAAAAATCTTGAGCATGTTGTAGAAAGACTAATATTCTGTTTATAACTGTAAGTCATACTTAGTAAATCATCAATCCATGATATGCAATGTAATAATTCCTTGTTTTAATTTCAGGTGTCTTGAATGGCTTCTAAACAATTTGATGACTCATCAGAATGTTGAACTTTTTAAAGAACTGAGGTATTTGAATTTTAAATAACTTTGTAATCATTCTAAATATTGTTTTATATTTTCCAAAGTACGCAAGATATTTTTGTATAAGACAAAAATATATTAACTTATGAAAAAGTAAATACTTTTTAAAATATATATATTTTTTATTTCAGAGAGGAATGGAGGGGTGGGAGAGAGAGAGAAAGCGAAGAGAGAGGTTGAAACATCAAAGATTCGGGAAAATCATTGGGCTGCCTCCTGCATGACCACCTCCATGGGTCAAGCCCACAACCAGAGCATATGCTTTGATGGGGAATTGAACCACGGTCTTCTGGTTGAGCGTCTGCCCCCTTGGTGGTCAGTGCTGGTCAATGCTCAACCACTGAGCCATGCTGTCTAGGTAAAAAAAAGGAAACAATTTAACAAAAGGTATTTTGACTGTATCCATGAACTGATGAAATGCTACACAAATTATAAATGATACTAGAGGCCCGGTGCACAAAATTCATACAGGGGGGGGGCGGGGTTCCCTCAGCCCAGCCTGCGCTCTCTCACAGTCCAGGATCCCTCAGAGGACTCAGAGGATGTCTGCCTGCTAGCTTAGACCCAATCCCCTAAGCCAGCAGTCAGATATTCCTCTCACAGCCTGGGGTTCTTGTAGTCTGGGACCCCTTGCTTCTTACTGCCCCCCTGCAGTGGAGTTGGGAGAGACTCCATCATGGCTGCTACACTCATCAGCCACAAGCCCGGCTTCTGGCTGAGTGACTCTCCCCCTGTGAAAGTGCTATGACCACCAGGGGGCAGCTCCTGCATTGAGCGTCTGCCCCCTTGGTGGTCAGTGCATGTCATATTGACCAGTTGTTCCGTCAGTCGTTCTATTTGCATATTAGGGTTTTATTATATAGGACTAGAGGCCTGGTGCATGAAATTTGTGCACAGGGTGTGTGTATCCCTCAGCCCAGCCTGCACCTTCTCTAATCTGGGATCTCTACCTGGATCGGGCCTAAACAGGCAGTCAGACATCCTTCTCACAATCCAGGACTGCTGGTTCCCAACTGCTCGCCTGCTTGCCTTCCTAATTGCTTTTGCCTACCAGCCTGATCACACACCCTAACCACTCCCCTGCCAGCCTGATTGATGCCTAACTGCTCCCCTGTTTGACCCTAACTGCTATCTCCTGCAGATCTGGTCCCCCCCAACTCCCCTCCCCTGCAGGTGTGGGTCTCCCACAACTGCCCTTCCCTGTAGGCCTGGTCGCCCCCAACTTTTCTCCTCTGCCAGCCTGGTCCCCCCTAACTGCCTCCCCTGTAAGGTTGATCACCCCCAACTGCCCTCCCTTGCAGTCTTGGTTCCTCCCAACTGCCCTCCCCTACTGGCCATCATATGGTGGCCATCTTGTATTCACACGGGGGCAGAATCTTCGACCACATGGGGGCAGCTATCTTGTGTGTTGGAGTGATGGTCAACCTGCATATTACTCTTTTATTAGATAGGATTAGTTAGGATAGAGGCCTGGTGCACGGGTGGAGGCCAGCTGGTTTGCCCTGAAAGGTGTCCCAGATCAGGATAGGGGTTCCCTTGGGGGATGGGGCAGCCTGAGTGAGGAACCTGTGGTGGTTTGCAGGCTGACCACACCCTCCAGCAACCCAAGCCGAGGCCCTAGTATCTGGGATTTATTTATCTTCTATAATTGAAACTTTGTAGCCTTGATTGGAGGCCAAGGCAGGCCAGAGCAGACAGAAAGCTTGGCTTCCTCCAAGGAAAACTCAAGCCTCCTGTTCTCTGCATGGCCACAGCCATCTTGGTTGGGTTAATTTGCATACTCACTTCAGAATGGTTGGTGGGTGTGGCTTGTGGGTGTAGTGGAGGTAAGGTCAATTTGCATATTACTCTTGTATTAGATAGAATAATGTGTATTATGTTGACTGGTTTAACCAATTTTAATAGAAAAATTCATTGCTGCTATAAAACTATAGAAAAATCTTTAAGTGTCACCTCACTTTCGTTGGGCTTTTAGAAAACCTAAAAGTTTTATTTTTTTATTTTTTATATATTTTATTGATTTTTTTACAGAGAAAGAATTAGAAACATCGATGAGAGAGAATCATTGATCAGCTGCCTCTTACACACCCCCTACTGGAAATGTGCCCACAACCAAGGTCGATGTTTCTCTCTTATCAATGTTTCTAGCTCTCTATCTCTCTCCCTTCCTCCTCTGTGTAAAATATCAATAAAATATATATTTTTTTTAAATTTCTTTGAACTTTCAAGATAAAATACAATAATTAATATAAACGTTACTTTTATGGCTAGACCACCTTCTGGATTCTTGGATCCTTTCCTTTTCTCTACCCTTCAGTACTTTAGTAGAAAATATTATTCTACACCCCCCCTAAAAAAAACACAAACAAAAACACCACCTAGTGATGTCATGGCATAAACAAAACTCTGCAGTATGTTTGATTTGAAAATCATTAGAAACACTTTATTTTTTTCTATCATAATCTCTCATTGAGCTTTTTCAAAAGTAAGATAAATCATAGGGACTATCTTAAAAACTCAGTGCTCTTTCTTTTTTTGACTTAAAGGAAGGAAAGAAAAAGGAAAAGAAAGAAAGCAACTGGTGATATTATTTTTTATCTAAATTTAAGCTAACATGTATTTCTTTTTTGTTGTTTGTTTTTGGTAATCCTCACCTGAAGATATTTTTCCCATTGCTTTTCAGAGAGAGGAGGGGAGGGAGGAAAACATTGATGTTTGGTTGTCTCCTCAGGCTTCCCTTGGGGGGTGGGGGGTGGGGAGAAACAAGGAGGGAATGGAGGGAGTAAATCCAAAACTCAGGTACATGCCCTCACCCCTTGGTGATGGGCTGATGCTCTAACCACTTAAATACACAGGCCAGGGCAAACTGGCACACATTTCTTGAACTTACTCTCATAAATAATAAAAGCATTGTTTTATGACTAAGCAGTTCTCTTAAGCCTAGTTTAAAGGTTACTTTGAAGGTCTGTTTCATTATATTTTGACAAATGTCTTTGTTTTTTTAAACATTGAATGAGAGAAAAGGAAAAAGAGGAAGGCTGCTACTTTATTAGAGTATACTAAACGTTATCTTATTGGGACCTTGCTTTAACCGAATTAATTAGCAGATCAGAACTCTTTTTGTTTTCCTGTTAGTATTATCCCTGTGTTTAAATGGATTGTTTTCTGCCAAAGATTCTTTGTCTTGGGCTAAAAGACTAATTTAATTTTTAATTGCATGTTTTCTATTGCTAAAAAGACAAAGTTTTCATTTCCACCAGCCTCTTTTAGCCTGTGCATGAAGATAACTCACTACCTCTATTTTATCTTTTCTAGTATAAGTGTCATGAAACTGCTTATTGGTTCATCTAACTTATTTGTGATGCAAGTGGAAATGGATGTATACACAGCTCTTAAAAAGGTATTGATGTAATATAACGTGTGTAGGCTATTACCTCAGCATTGATGATAATAGTGAAATATTGGTAAAAGCTAGTGTCCAGTGATAGGGAATAGTTATAAATTTAAGAAAAATAAAGAAAATATGGGAAAATGTTAAGAAGTCTTTGTGTTTAGGGATTTGGTGCCATGGTGAGTGATTTTAATTTGGTCTTCCTACTTTCTCTCCTAGGAATACATTTCTGTTTTCCCCCCAAATTTTTCATCAACAAATAGGTTATTGTTATGCTATTTACATAATCAGAAATGTTAAATGTTTTACAGTTGACTCTTAAACGTTTCAGGGGTTAGGGGTACTGAAATTAATCTCCTCTCCCCACCCCCCCCAAGTTCTTGACTCCCCAAGAACTTCGCTACTCATAACTACTAATAACCTATTGTTGGCCTCACCGATTAACACATATTTGGTATGTTATATGTATTCTGTGTTCTTACAATAAAGTAAGCTAGACAATAAAATGTTATAAAGAAAATCAAAAGGAAAGGAAAATACATTTATAGTATTTATTGAGAAAAAAACACACAAGTAAGTGGACCTGAACAGTTCAAACCTGTGTTGTATATGGTTTTCAGAAATGTTTTCAAGTTGAGGTTTAAGTGAAGTAATAACTATAATGAAATTTTCACACATGCTTTTCTAGAAAATGTTGAAATTCTTCTCTTAAAGACCTTGTTTGCATTCAGACGTATGTTTCATCCCATCCTTTTCAAAGGTTTCAACCTTTCAGATATAATTTTATTTTCACCACTCTCTTAAGAGACAATTTTTTTGTAATTAAAAATATTATTTTTATTATTCTTGTTCTATACATACTAAGACTTAGAATACTTACAATTACTAAGTGGCAGGCTTGAGGCAGAATCCAGGTATTAGGAGTCCCAATCCATTGATTTTCTCACTGCATAATTTTGCTGTTAACCTTTTGTCCCCAGCATGGAGTCTACATTTAACACGGTTGTGAAATCTAGGAATGCAACACCTTCTACTTATATCATTGTGGTTGTTTTTATGGTAGGATGTGATTCCTATTTTTCTTCAAGAAATTTTAGTAATGGGGTTATCTAATCATTAAAGGAATGGTAGATCATTTCTAGAAGAATAGTAACTCATTTCTATTGCTGAGCCACTGATAGCATTCATACTTTCCTGTTTAACTGCTGTTGTGCCAATAATGATAAATGTTTACCGTATGCCAAGCACTATTCAAAGTGTGTTACACATACTAATTTTTTTAATGTTCTATGAAGTAGACATATTATGTTCATTAAACAAATGAAGAAATTAAGGCCCAGAGAAATTAAGTAATCTGCCCAGCTATTAGTTAATAGGGTCAGGATTTAAAAGTCCATGCTCTTTACTGTTCTGCATACTGTCTTAACAGCAATAAGGTAATAAGAAACTCCTTTTTCCCTTGTTTAATTTCTCACATTTATAATTTCACATAGTATGTGGTGGAATCGAGTTAATTGATGAGTAGAATAAATTAGTATAAAATTGGTATAAATTTGCTAATGTAATGTAATATATATTAAACCTTTTACCTTTTTAATAGTAAAACTACAATGTATTGAGATCATAAATATTTTAAAGGATTACTTGATTTTCTTTTTTAAAATATATTTTTATTGATTTCAGAGAGGGAAAGAGATAGAAACATTAATGATGAGAAGCATCAATTGGCTATCTCCTGCACATCTCACACTGGTATTTGAGCCCACAACCTAAACATGTGCCCTGACCGAGAATCTAACCATGACTTCCTGGTTCATAGTTCGATGCTCAACCACAGAGCCATCCCGACTGGGGAAGAATTAGTTTATTCTTTATTGCACACTCACCTAGTTTTTATTATTGGACAATGATTAATGCCATATTAATTTAAAGCTTGTAAGCATATCATGTAATATTTATACTTTTAATTGCTTATAATGAAAATTAAATTTTTTAGCATGTTTAAAGGGGAAGCAGTTTAAAAATTGTAAAAATCATAATATGCTAGTTTTGTCAATTTTTTTATTTACTTTTTTAACCTAGTGGATGTTCCTTCAACTTGTGCCTTCTTGGAATGGATCTTTAAAACAGCTTCTGACTGAAACAGATGTCTGGTTTTCTAAGAGGAAAAAAGGTACACCTGAAATTTTTATTAAAAACCTGTTTGTTTGTTTTTCATTGAAATTTATTAAAATCATTATAGACATAGAAAATTTTAGTGCTGGAGAGCACCTTAGCAATTATCTAATTCAACCTCTCATTACCACTGAGAAAATTGAGGCTGGATAAGGAAAATGCCTTGCTTAGCAGTTACTGAATTATTATTACTCTTTAAACCATGTCTTAAGCTCCCAAACTACTGTTTTTTTTTTTAATTTATCTTTTGTTTGATCATATTGAGTTTTCCCTACAAATTAAACCTGTGTATTAGAAAACAATTCTTCACTTGGTGGGCCCCCAGATAGGCTTCTGTGTATCACTAACTTCTGAAAGTGGATGCAAAATTGTGTGTGTGTGTGTGTGTGTGTGTGTGTGTGTGTGTGTGTTGTATTTGGGGGGGAGGGGGGAAGTTTCCATAGTTTTCATCAGATTCCTAAGGAAAGTTGACCTGAAATTGGTTAAGATCAACTGCCATAAGGTCTTCCTTATCTGGACAGAGATAGAGCATGTAATATGTAATATATTTATTTTACTTTACTAAAATAAATACAGGGGGAAAATTCAATGGCCCTCAGGTAAGGAAGTAGATAACTTAATAATCCTTAGTTCATGATTTTCTTAGTTTACTGTCATTTTTGGTCTGTGCCTGGCCCCATTTTTTATTTATCTATACCAGTGGTCAGCAGACTGTGGCTCTGTTGACTAATGAGTTTGCTGACCACTGATCTATATTATTAAAAGGGCAATATGCTAATTAGATCGGATGTCTTCTGGACAAAGCCATGGTGGCGGGACAGAGGTAGAGGCGGTTAGGGGCAATCAGGCTGGCAGGGGAGAGCAGTTAAGGGAAATCAGGCTGGGAGGGGAGAGCAGTTAGGGATTAGGCCAGGAGGGGAGAGCAGTCAGGGGATCAGGCCCACAGGCAGGTGAACAGTTAGGAGCCAGCAGTCCCAGATTATGAGAGGGATGTCCAACTGATGGTAGATGTCCCCCGTGTGTCATCATCTGGCATAAGCTACAAAGCAATCTGCAGATGGCTGCTATTTGTGCTGGACTTGGAAGTGCCCAGGAGAAACCAAGCTGTGAACCAAGGCTGGCTGCTATTAGTGCTGGGCCTGAGGCCACTTAGCAGGAGCTATGTGGCACACTATCACCAGATGCTGCTTGTTTTAGAGATTTTTAGGAAGTCCAAAGCATGAGCCACGACAGGCCTTTTGTATGGAAAAGCCACTGGAAACAATTTTTGGGCCTGCAAGTTGTATTCAGTGGGGTCTCAGGGAATCAGCAGGGTGAGGCTAACAGAATGAGCCAGATTGATGGAGACTCAGTTATGGCACCTCCCTACTGCTCTGTGGAAGGGAGAGTACTTCTGTCTGGGAGAAAGCCGCTCCTCTAGCTCTCACCCCAATGCCAGACAACTCGGTTTCTCCCTATGTGTCCCGGGTTTCCCAGTGCTGAAACTCAGAGCAAGTGAGACCAATTAAGTCCTTACTTGGGCCCTTTAAGAGAAACACTTGAGACTCTAGCAGCCCTCTGTCTCACTCAGCCACAATCCAAGCTGGTTTTCACAATCAGAAGTTACTTCTCGTGCTGGCATTGGAACCATGGTCAGGGGGCCTGGTATGGGGCTGGCACTCCTCCCTCTACAGGGAGCATCTCTGCATGCAAAGATATCTCCTGAGTTTTATTCACCACTCATGAGTGTGGGACAGCCCATTCCACATCTCCGACCCTCCTACCAGTCTCGAAGTGGCTTTTTCTTTATATCCTCAGTTGTAGGACTTCAGTTCAGCTGTATTTCAGGTGATTCTGAATGATGGTTATTCTGTAGTTTATTAGTAAATTTAATGTGGTTGTGGGAGGATTTGAGTACAGCATTTACCTACTCTACCATCCTTACCAGTTAAGCCATATATTATACTTCTTACTTAAATTATTTTAACAACAAATACTATCCATGTGTACAGTAGCTACAGTGTTTTTGCATCTTATTTTATATTTGAACTAGAGGCCTGGTGCACGAAATTCATGCATGGGGGGTGGGGGTGTGTCCCTCATCCCAGCCTGCACCCACCCTCTCCAATCTAGGACCCCTTGAGGGATGTCCGACTGCCTCGTAGGATTGGGCCTAAATTCCCAACACACAAGATGGAGTGTGTGTGTGTGTGTGTGTGTGTGTGTGTGTGTCTCCAAACACCCATGACAACATTTAATAAAAAAGTAAGTAAACTAATAGATTTGAAAAGAATGACTATTTAACTTAAACTATCTTTTTTTTTTTTTTTTTGGTAGATTTTGAAGGTATGGCTTTCCTTGAAACTGAGCAAGGAAAACCATTTGTATCAGTATTCAGATATTTAAGGCTACAGTATATTATCAGTGATTTGGCCTCTGCACGAATTATTGAACAAGATTCTCTAATACCTCCAGGTAAGAGAATATAATGAAATTATGATTTTAAGTAATATCTTTCTGATTATAATAATAATATATATCATAGAAAAGCATACTTAATAGAAATTATCCTTAATCCTAGTAAGATACACAGTTTTATACCAAAGCTGAATCCTAACATGCAGGTAATTTCCTGTGTTCACATCATATATTTTGGGTATTTTTCTGTCATTAAATACTCCTCAGAATATTTAAGTGGTTATATATTTTTCTGTAATATGGGTGTTCTTTCATTTTATTAACTAGTACACTACTTTGCACCAGACTTTTTAAAAATGGTTTTTGTAGTATTCTTTAAAGTTTATGACTCCTTTTTTCTATTAATACTCCATAAATTTGCTTATTTTCTTTTTTCTTTATTCTAATCTTAAAGCTCTAATGTTACATATTAGAAAATGTAATATCTTTGCTAATTATAATTTAAAATTCTAAGACAATTACTGATTTAATATTCTCAACTAAATCTCTAGTGCTTGTATAAAATTCAGTTTAGTACTATATATACATCTATTATAAGAAGCATAGAATAGACTTTCTGTTTTGAAGACTTATTTGTAAATTTGCAAACATTAGTAATAGATTTGTCTGAAAAATTATAATTATTTGATACCTCAGTTTTTAATATAGTTGTGTTTGTAGATTTAAATTGTTCTTGTAATCTGTATACTTATTTAGAAAGGTAGTCAATGGAAAGCAAACCTACAGTAACACTCTGATACATTTGAAAGTAATGTATTTTTATAAAATCACTAATAGGTTTATAGACATTGTTTTTTTATTAGTTTCATATAAGTCATTTTTATTTTATTTCTTTATTTTTAATGTTAAGGAGGCCCTTATTCAGATCAAGAGGCCTAGTGCATGAAATTTGTGCATTTGGGGGAGGGGTTCCTCAGCCCAGATTGCAAGAGGGTTGCAGGCCAGGGTGAGAGACCCCATCAGTGCATGATTGGGGCCAGAGAGGGGCGCAGGAGGCTGGCCAACTGGAAAGGGACCACTGGAGGGCTCCAGGGCATGTCCAGCCCATCTCTTGCTCAGTCACACTGGCTGGATCCCAGTAGCAAGCTAATCTGTTCGGAGTGTCTGCCCCTGATGGTCAGTGTACATCATAGCAAGCAGTTGAACAGCCTTGGCATAACATTAGTATATTACTCTTTAATTGGTTGAATGGATGACTTGACACTTAGCATATTAGGCTTTTATTATATAGGATTATTGTGAGAAATGTAGAAACTATTTCAACAAGGGAGAGAGATCAAACTCAACTCCCCATATGAATCATTTTCATAATATTAGTTTTAGAGATCCAAGATGAGATGGTGTGTACTATATTTGCATGGCTGTGGGGTTTTTAGACACATTTTCTCTGAAGATTATATTCTCTACTAGAAGCCCAGTGCATGGATGGGTTCTGGCCAGCCTGACTGCAATCAGGGCGGATCGGGGCCAGGCCTACTGGGAGGAGGAGACGGTGGGAGGTTGGCTGGCCGGCCCGCCCCAACCAGGTTCAGGCCAGTTGTGGGGAGAGATCACAGGCAATTGGCCAGTGAGTCCCACCCTGATTGGGATTGGGAGGCCAATTAAGGGCAGGGCCGGCCATGGGGAGGAGCTGTGGGCTGTGGGAGGTTGGCTGGCCGGCCCTGCTCCTGACCGGGCCGGTTCACTGGCCACAGTGTGCATCATAATGACCAGTTGTTCCAGTCATTATGGTGTTCCTGGTTGCTGGCTCTTTATATAGATAGATAATTTAGTAGTTTAGTGTTTGTCATATACCAGACCCTAGCAGTCGGGTAATACTAGATGCTAAGGCCAATTTGAAAGAGAGATAGAGAGACAAAGAAAGTAATCTATGTGAGAGCAAAACATCTGTTGGCTGCCTCAATATGCCCCCTAGCAGGAATTGAGACCACAGTTCAGGGATGTGCCCTGACCATAAATTGAACCAGCAATTTTTCAGTTGCATGGGATGACACCAAAACAACTGAGCCCTACCAGCCAGGGCTAATTATACTTCTTTTTAAGATTCTTTATAAATGAATTTTGAGAGAGGTTAAAAAAAAAGAAAGTCTATTCTAAAGTAATTTAATTTAGGTGTGTTTGTGGTGCAAGGGATAAGCTTTATATTTTTGGAATGCAAAGTGGGTATTAGTAATTTTAGTCTGAAATATTTAATTCAGTATAAAAATGAAAATAATTTAGATCCCATATTTCTGACTAGATTTCAGCCTTTTTTTTCCTGACTTAAAATTATGGAGGGACTTTTTTCATTTTAGTGAATACTCCATCTTACAATTATAAATGGACTAGAGGCTCGTTGCATGAAATTCATGCACGGGGGAGGGGGGTTATTCCTCAGCACAGCCTGCACTCTCTCCAATCTGGGATCCCTCTCACAATCCAAGACTGCTGGCTCCCAACTGCTCACTAGCCTTCCTTCCTGATTGCCCCTAACTGCTTCTGATCATCCCCTAACCACTCCCCTGCCAGCCTGATTGTCTAACTACTCCCCTGCCAGCCTGTTTGCCCCCAACTTTCTTCCTCTGCTGGCCTGGTCACCCCCAACTGCCCTCCCTTGCAGGCCTAGTCCCTCCCAACTGCCCTTCCCTGCTGGCCATTTTGTGTCCACATGGGGGCAGGATCTTTGACCACATGGGGCAGCCATCTTGTGTGTTGGAGTGATGGTCAATCTGCATATTACTCGTTTATTAGATAGGATAGAGGCCTCGTGCATGGGTGGAGGCCAGCTGGTTTGACCTGAAGGGTGTCCCAGATCAGGGTGGGAGTTCCCTTGGTGCATGGGGTGATGTGGGCTAGGAACCTGTGGTGGTTTGCAGGCCGGCCATGCCCCCTGGTGACCCAAGCCGGGCCCTGGTATCTGGGATTTATTTATCTTCTACAGTTGAAACTTTGTAGCCTGGAGCGGAGCAAGCCTTCTGCTCACTCCTTGGCGGCAGCCATTTCTGTTGGGATTTATTTATCTTCTATAATTGAATCTTTGTAGCCTTAAGTGGAGGCCTGGGCCAGCTAGGGTGTGCTGAAAGCTTGGCCTTCTCCATCGCCAGGAAACCCAAGCCTCCCTCCTGCACTCTCTGTGGCTGCAGCCATCTTAGCTGGGTTAATTTGCAGCTCACTCCTGATTGGTTGGTGGGCGTGGCTTGTGGATGTGATGGGTATGGTGGTTAATTTGCATATTACTCTTATTAGATAGGATGAATAGGTTTTCCTATATCCCAATAAAAATTACAGTTTCAGCCGAGGCCGGTTTGGCTCAATGGATAGAGCGTCGGCTTGGGGACTGAAAGGTCCCGTGCTCGATTCCGGTCAAGGGCATATCCCCAGTAGAGGGTGTGCAAGAGGCAGCTGATCGATGACTCTCTCGGATCGATGTTTCTAACTTCCTATCTCTCTCCCTTCCTCTCTGCACAAAATCAATAAAAAACAAACAAACAAAATTACAGTTTCAAAAGCAGAATATAAATTAAAATGATATCCTATACTGTTTGTAAGGGATTAAAAAGTGGCACATAACTCAAATTAGATAGGTTAGTGTGTTCTCTCAATAGCAGTAAATCCTACATTTGAAATGAATTAAAATAATTTTTATTATTTAGCTAAAATTCATTGATTATTTTTTAGAAATAGTGCCAAACACATGTTAATATTATTATGCATTCTGAAGAGGTTTACTACATCCATTTTGACAATCTTTAGGTAAAAATTTTAAGAAATATGTTTAATTCCAAGTAAGGCAGGACTTTGTATAGAAACAGTCTATTTTAGAATTCAACTATGTCAAACACATTTGAACACATTGTTTCAAGAAATTAGATCTATCTGCACCTATGGATGAGGACAATGGGGGAGCGGAAGGGGGCGGAGGGAGGGGTGGGAACCTGGTGGAGGGGGGAAGAAATGAGGAACCTTTGTAATAATATGAACAATAAAGATTGATTTAAAAAAGAAAAGAAATTAGATCTATCTTAGGTCAGATTAATAAATCTGTTTTATTCCACACTGTCCTTGTTATACTTCCCTTTCCCTTGGTACCTCTGACCTATCATGTTATTCCTCCCAAACCTTTCTGTTATGTGTTCTGCAACTAGGGTCTATAAACTTCCATATCTTCCATCTCTTCCTTCCATTTATGTAGCTTTCCCAGAGAATACTATTTTCTCCCTATAGAGGACTTTCTATTAAGAGACCATGTCCCAGTATAGGGGTAGAAGGCCAGAAAGTCCTAGACCCTTAATGCCCTTTCCAAATATTATTGCATATGATCAGACTCACCCTGTATCCTTTCTCTTTTCTCTTCACATTCATATAAGACTTGGATGCTCCCCACTCCTGTACAGTCACATAATGATCATTCCACTTAATAACCTAGCTTCCTAGTAATTTGACCTCAACTCTAGTAACATTTATGTTTGCTGAACATTAGGCACTCATCACCTCTGGAAACATCATGAACCTTAAAACCTAGAATTTCTTAGCATGAGAAGTCCGGTAGTCTTCAGGCTATGTATAACCTTCTATTATATTCATAGCCTCGTTTCCTTTACATTGTTATTTTATTTCCAATCCATTTTAAGCCTTTCATTGTCTATCAGCCTTTCAAACTTCTGCTATTTTTGGTCCTTGGATTTTATGATAGATCATTTGAGCCGCTTTCACTACTATCTTTACCGGTAACTCATTCTTTATTTGGCAAATCCTAAAACTAAATTAAACTTTCTTTGTTCCTATATCCTCTAGTCTGTGCTGATTACTGCACAGAGAAATCTACAACTTTTTCATTGGTGCCACTTCAAATTCAGATTTCAACACTAAGCTTGGACCTTGGGTCTCCTTATACTTCTTTTACTTGATCAATCCCCTTTTTCATTTGCTTCAGGGCTTAAGTCAAACCTCTGCCACTCTGTTCAAGCTTCTAATCTAATTACCTCACTGTCAGCATGGACACTCTTCTGCTTTTTATATAAATTTGAGGTATTCAGGCAATAATTTATTTAAATTCCTAGTCTTTCCACCTGTCTGTTTTCCTCCTGTCACAGAAGTTGAGGTGCTCCTTCCCTGTTCAAGATAGCCATCTACCTTGTTCATAATCCCACTTAACCTATTTGTTCTGGAATTTTGCTTTATCAATTAGTCTTATCTTAAACCTTTTTCCCACTATTTTACCTCAGCCTATAAAATATGATTAGATCTCTTTTGTTAAAAAACAAAACAAAATACTCTCCCTTGACTGTGAGTCCCCACTCTAACAACTATTGTTTCCTTTCTGAGCCACCTTCTTCATAGTAATCTAAACGTTAACTCTCTGCCAAGAAGGATTCTGGTAAACTCTTCCTAGTGTATCTATCTGCCTTCTGGAGATATGACTATATAACCATATTTAAAACTCTGCATAAAGGAACAAGTTTCACATATTTTCATCTCATATTTCTCAAATTCATTTTAGCAGGTATTCTTTTTGAGGATGTTTCTATATATTATCTGTCAACATTACATTTGAACTAGTGTCCTCTTGACTTATTTTTGGACTGCTGTTACTGGACGAAATACCAGTGACCAGAAAGATTTCTGGATTTCTAATATGACTTTTTGCTTTTTTTAGATTAAGGCAAGAAAGCAGGGACAAATATATGCATCCATGTTTTAACTTGTTAAAATGCTTTTGTTTTTAAAGGAAATTAAGTGTTGTTGAAACTTAATTTTTAAAACATTTTCATGAGAAATATGTGATATTAAGAATACATATATATAACCCTTTCATTCCAATTTTGTAATTGAATCACAAAAAGTCATATTCTATCTCTTGAATTTTAGACTGCAAATATAACCATTAGTGAGTTGAGAAATCATTTTTATGGGAAAGTATTAGCTTTTTAAAAAATAAAAAATCATGGCTCAATGGTTAAGTGTCGATCTATGAACCACGAATCATGGTTGGATTTCCAGTCAGAGCACATGCGTGGGTTGCAAGCTTGATCCCCATTAAGGGGCATGCAGGAGGTAGCCAATAGATAATTTTCTCTCTTCATTGAAGTTTCTATCTCTCTCTCCCTTCTCTCTGAAATCAGTAAAAATATACTTTAATAAAAATAAAATACAGTAGAACAAAACTTCTAAATCTGAATGCATTGCAAATAAGATACAGTATGTTTGTATGTATACCGGGTCACATAAACTTTGCTTTTCGGTAGTATTTACCTACTGAAGACAAATTGTCTGTGGCCTGGACATTTAGCAGTTATTCTTTATAATAGCAAGAATAGTATTTTGGCCCTAACTGGTTTGACTCTGTGGATAGAGCATCGGCCTGCGGACTCAAGGGTCCCAGGTTTGATTCCAGTCAAGGGCATGTACCTTGGTTGCAAGCACATTCCTCAGGAAGGGGTGTGCAGGAGGCAGCTGATTGATGTTTCTCTCTCATCATTGTTTCAAACTCTCTATTCCTCTCCCTTCCTCTCTGTAAGAAAATCAATAAAATATTTTTATCTTTTTTTTTTTTTTTAGTATATTGATTTTTTACAGAGAGGAAGGGAGAAAGATAGAAGGTCAGAAATATCAATGAGAGAGAAACATCGATCAGCTGCACACCCCCCAATGGGGATGTGCCCGCAACCAAGGTACATCCCCTGACCGGAACCAAACCCGGGACCTCCAGTCCGCAGGCTGACACTCTATCCACTGAGCCAAACCGGTTTTGGCCAATAAAATATTTTTTTTTTTTTAAATTGGAGGGGACAGAAGAATTCAAGAATTCTGAGGAAAGATACTAATAAGTCAGTACAAGTCATCTGGATACCTTTATTAGAGACTTATAAAGTGAAAAACCAGATTTTAACCACATTAGAGTTTCCCCCTTTTCTTAATTTTGGGTAGAGATTGAGAACGTAAAATATAGAAAAACTCTACTGGTCAGGTAGCTCCGTTGGTTAGAGAGTCATCTGATTAGCCAAGGTTGTGGGTTTGATCCCCTAGTCAGGGTGCATATAAGAAACAATGAATGAATAAATAAGTGGAACAACAAAGCAATGTTTTATCTCTCTCTAAAATCAATAGGTATAAAATTTTAAAGGAAAAGGAAAAAATTTTACATCATAAAAAAAATTCTTGTGGTTGAGAATAAATAAAAGCAGAAAAATATGGCGTTAAGTCAATTCTACTTATATTTTTAATATAGCTATGTTTTTAATCTAAAATAATTTCAGTTTACACATATTGATTTGATGGGGGAAATTATGTTTATTAAAGGAAAATATCTGCAATTTTTATTCCATTTATAGGATTTAAATTGGAATTTTTATTTTTAAAAATAGTTACCTAAGTTTAATATGCTAGAATCATTTCTCTAGTGTGCATAATTCATCTGGTAATTTAAAGATGGCTTATTTTCCATTAATTAGTTATTTTTAGATTATAAAAGAACAATCCATTAGTTTTCTGTTAAAACTTTTTTTTTCTGTTAAAACTTTTGTAAAAACTGAAAATATTTCTTTAGGGTATGTTTCTCACAAATGAAAGTTATGAAAAAAAAACTATTAAATACAAATCTTTTAGCTAAAGATTTAAGTTCTAATTTAAATGTATATAATCTAAACAGAATCTAATGTTAGGCAAAACAAAATATCACTTACCACTTTAAAAATCATTAAGCCATATTATTATAACATATTTATAAAATATAAATCACCAGCTTTATTTATTGCTATTCTAAACTTGAATTTAGAAAAAGAAACAATTTTATCAAATTCTTAAAAATTTTAAATCCTTTCTATTTTTCCATGTTTCTAATATATTTATTCATTTTTATATTTTAGGATGGCTATCTTCTGTCTATAAACAGCAGTGGCTTGCTATGCTCCGGGCAGAACAAGACAGTGAAGTGGGGTAAGTATGTTACATTATATCATTTCTCATTAGAAAAAAACTTTGGCTAAAAACCAGTTTGGCTCAGTGGATAGAGCATCGGCCTGCAAACTGAAAGGTCCCAGGTTCGATTCCGGTCAAGGGCATGTACCCCAGTAGATAACAAGAGGCAGCTGATCGATGTTGCTCTCTCATCAATGTTTCTAACTATCCCTCTCTCTTCCTCTTTGTAAAAAAATCAATAAAATATATTAAAAAAACAAACAAACAAAAAAAACTTTGGCTATATGAATTTAAGGGCATTCGTTATATTGAAAAATCAGTAACAATATTGAAAAATCAAAAGCTAGTAAGTAGAACAAAGATCATGTAATCAGCTTTATTTCTTACCTTTCTACTAGAGGCCCGGTGCACAAAATTCATGCACTGCAGGGGGGTGGGGGAAAGTAGCCTTCAGCCTGGCCTATGCCCTGAAACAGTTCGGGAGCCTCAGGGGCTGAATAATCTCATAATCATTATAATAAATTCATATGAAACTTTTATACACTCATATCCAAACAATGAGTGTATAAAAGTTTCATATGAATTTATTATAATGATAATGAAATTATTCAGAGTTCTTAGTTTTACTATATATCCCACTTTTTCCCAAATATATTCACAAAATACTTATCTTATACAAGCATAAGATTATTGAAACAGAAATAATAAAAATTAAAAAATGAAAGTTGATTCTCGAGAGGAATTCAGATTTGAAACATTTTGGTAATGGAGGAAATACTTCATAAATCATTCTATTTTTTTTGTATATTCAGTTTTTTAACTGTTGGATGTTCTTTATTTTTTAAAGATTTTTCTTGTCTGTATATTTATTGAATTTAAAATAGAGTCGGATTGAACTAGAATAGTGGTTTTCTTGCTCTCAGAAGTATAGAATTAATTATATTGGCCCTCATGAAGCACTCTATCCACATATATTGAACATGTGCTCATTCTACAGGGCTATTAAAGTGAGGACCATATTTAATCAATGAATTCTTATTTTATCTGCACCACAAAACACTTATTTTTTAACAAGTTTTAAAACATTTATTTTTTAACTAGTAACAAGTACTTCTGTTCTTTTTAACTCACAATTCTTTTTCAATTATTACTTGTCTATTTCCTATGAGATTTCATGATTTATGTATATTTCTAGGCCTCAAGAAATCAATAAAGAAGAACTAGAGGCAAACAGCATGAGGTGTGGTAGAAAGCTTGCCAAAGATGGTGAAGTAAGTATTGGTTGTGACTTTTAATAATTCTCATACAAATTGCTCTACTTTCAGTGCAAAATTCATTTTTAGTTACAGTCAGACACCAGAAAAGTTTTTTTGATAGTTTCTTTAGCACGATCTCCTGAACAAAAAGTTACATGCTCAGTGGTGATTGATTATTCGGCCTTGTATCAGTTGAACTTTTTGGGTCCAGAAAAAAGATATAAGAAGAGGATCCCTGGGCAATACAAAAATTAAGATAAATAAGCACCTGTATGGCCGAGGCCAGTTTGGCTCAGTGGTTGGAGCTTTGGCCTGCGGACTCGGCGGTCCCGGGTTTGATTCTGGTCATGGGCACATACGTTGGTTGCTGGACGCATCCCCAGTGTGCAGGAGGCAGCTGATCGATGTTTCTAACTCTCTCCCTCTCTGTGAAAAATCAGTGAAATGTATTTAATAAGTAAGTAAGTAAATAAATAAATAAATAAGCACTTAATATGGAAACTGTTACATAGTTGAAAAAGTAATTCTATTTTATAATTACTATTAAAAACATTCAAACCATTTCATTGCTAGAATGAAAAATTACATTTTTCATTACCCCCAATATAAATGTATAAAACTGTTATGAATTAATCTGCTGTGTCCAAAGATCCTATTTGCTATTTTATTTTTTGGTGTTTTTGTTGTTGTTATTAATCCTTGCCTGAGGATATTTTTCCCCATTGATTTTTAAAGAGAGAGGAAGTAAAGGAGGAGAGAAAGAGACATGTGGATGTGGAAACACACATCTTATTGGTTGCCTCTCTCCCACATTCTGACCCAGGGCCAGGGATGGAGCCCACAACCGAGGTACATACCCTTGACCAGAATCAACCTCAACCCATCAGTTAGGGCTCTCTTTAATTTTTTTAAAAAGTGGATTCTGACTGATTAAATTTATTTTATGGTCTACTAAAGGGACTTAAACTACATTTTTTAAAACTCCACCTCTTCAAAATATCTATTTCAAGCATATCATTTTTAGACTTTACCTCCTATTATCTTTCTAGCTCTATCCCCTCTGGCACCTGATTTCAACAGGTTTTTTGTTTTTTTTTAACTCCATCGATTTTTAGAGAGATTGGAAGGGAGGAGTGGTGGGAGGGAGAGAGAATGAAACATACATCTATGTGAGAGAGGCACATTGATTGGTCGCTTCCGCATGCACCCAACAGGGGCTGGAAATTGAACCTGCAACCCAGGTACATGTCCTTGACTGGGAATCAAACCCAGTACCCTTGAGTGTGCAGGCCAGTGCTCTTCCACTGAGCACACAGGCCCAGGGCCCTTGGATTGTATGCATGATGTCTCTCTTGTCAAACTCACCTGGAAAAACCCAATTCTTATTAAGTACCAACTTTCCATAAACTCCATACCTGCTCCCAAACAGATGAATGTAACTAATGAAAAACACTATACCCCAACAGGGGTTTGTAACTAAATTTTAAGCACATCTTGAGTGTTGCATGGTTTTCCTTCTTAAGTTCCCTAAGGGAATATGTCCTCATGAGCCACATGCTGCTCTTTGGCCCCTTAAGTGTGGCTCTTCCACAAAATACCACGTGCAGGTGGGCGTGCACGTACAGTGCAACTGAAACTTCGTGGTCCATGCACAGAAGTTGGTTTTCGGCTCTCAAATTTCAATCGTCGTACTGTTGATATTTGGCTCTGTCGACTAATGAGTTTGCCGACCACTGCCCTAGCTACAGTGCCATTCCTCAGATAAGCCAAGCATGTTTTTCCCTACAAAGCTTTGTATTTACTGTTCGCTTTGACACACTTTCCCATATAGCTATCTAGTCCATTTCTTAGTTGACTCCGGCCTCCACTCACCTAGCATCTCCTTAGAGAGAGTTTCTTTAACAACCTGTCTGAACCAGCAGGCTCCCCAACTGCAGGCCCCCCTCCTCTATCTTGTTCTCTTTCCTGACAGTTCTGTTCCCTTTTCTTCCATTCCACTTTAGTTCATATGCATTATTAATCTACTTCCACACAAACATATTAAAATATACATTCTATTAGGGCAGAAACTAATTGACTGCTACTACTTCAATGCCTAGAACACATAGTATGTACTCAGTAGATATTGGTGAACTATTAAATTAGTTGTTTACCGGTAATTAGAGTGTCAACTAAACACTTGAAGACCCTAAGTTTACTTCACTGTACCACACCATCTTACTTAATAGCCCCTCGTTATTAAACTGCAGGATAAACAAACTTGCGAACCTAATATGGTATTTAAAATTATTCAGTTGTTTATCTTTGGTTACTTACTTACAAAATTTTAAAGTAAGGTAGATCTTAATGGGCTCTTACTATCTCCATTTGGACTCCTATACCCTTAATCTACACCTACTTAGAGTTGCAGTGAAAAGCCACATTACATTTGACAGAATTACATCATGGAGATGTATAAAACAGATCACAAAGAAGTGATATTAGGAAAGTACTTCAAGGAACAATGATCATAAAGACTGCTTTTGAGGCTTTGATATATACTCTATCTGTATGGTACGCCTTTATATATATTCACAGGTATATAGAAAGCCTCAGGGAAAGGCACTGACAAAAAGTATGGACCCATGAGAGAAATATTTGGAATGAGTTAGAGAGGAAAAAAACACACATTTTGAACTTTGACTTGCTAGTGTGACAAACTGAAGTAAATCTTTCTCTTTTGTGTTTCTTAGTACTGCTGGCGGTGGACAGGTTTTAACTTCGGCTTTGACCTGCTTGTAACTTACACCAATCGATTCATCATTTTCAAACGTAATACACTGAATCAGCCCTGTAGTGGATCTGTCAGTTTACAACCTCGAAGGAGCGTAGCATTTAGGTATGTTGAGATCGTCCCACCCTATTTCAACTCACTCCCCAAAAATATAAAAAACAAAATCAAACCTTGGTAATTTATACCGACAATAGTAGAACTTTGATAAGATCCAAATATATGAATGTGCAAGGGGACGATAGGACTCCATTCCTATAATCCTATATAATAAAGAGGTAATATGCAAATTGACCATCACATCATTGCACAAGATGGTCGTCCCCATGTGGTCACAAGATGGCCAGCAGGGGAGGGCATTTGGGAGTGACCAGACTTGTAGGGGAGGGCTGTTTGGAGCAACCAGGCCTGCAGGGGCAGGCAGTTAGGGGCAACCTGACCAGCAGGAGAGGGCAGTTGGAGACAACCGGGCCAGCAGAGGAGGGCAATGGTGACAATTGAGCTGGCAGGAGAGAGCAGTTGGGGGCAATTGGGGGGCAGTTAGGCATTGATCAGGCTGGCAGGGGAGTATTTAGGGGGTGATCAGGCTGGCAGGCAGGTAGGCGAGCCGCTGGGAGCCAGCAGTCCTGGTTTATGAGAAGGATGCCCGACTGCTGGTTGAGGCCCGATCCCTGTGGGCAGTTAGACATCCCTCAAGGGGTCCCAGATTGAAGAGGATGCAGGCTGAGCTGCAGGATACACCCACATATACACACACACACACACACACACACACACACCCCACCACCACCACCACCACCACCACCACCCCGCCACCCTCTCTTTCTCCCCCACCCTTTCTTCCCCCCCCCCCCCAGTGCACGAATTTTGTGCACTGGGCCTCTAGTATATTAATAATCTAAGTCACAAGATATAGATCTAGTATGTCAGGGAGAAAGATAGGCTGTAATATGAATGTTAAAGGATTAATACTGGGCTTGATGCTGAAGCTGTTACTTGCTGCTATTCCTAGCAAGTAAAAGGTCCAAACTGGGAATACAGCAAGGTATTTTTTCACGAAAACATGCTTGATATTATCCTTCACTTTATGTAAGATTTAATATGTCCAATTTTGCCTAATAGTTGAACTGGCAATATTTTTCTGAAGAGGATGCTGTGACAAATTAGAAAATAGCTTAATGAACATTTTTTTTTTAAGTCACTTATTTATACTTAACTTAAATCATACACAAAAATTATCTCAAAATGGAGCAAAGAGCCATAGCTGATTTGGCTCATTGGATAGAACATCCGCCTATGGACTGAAAGGTCCCAAGTTCTGTTTCTGGCCAAGGGCACATGCCCAGGTTGCAGGCTCAATCCTCACTTAGGGGTGTGCAGACAGCAACCTATCAATGATTCTATCTAATCATTGATGTTTCTATTTCGCTTTTCCTCTTTGAAATCAATTAAAAATATATATATACTTTTTTTTTTAAATAGATTTTATTGATTTTGTACAGAGAGGAAGGGAGAGAGATACAGAGTCAGAAACATCGATGAGAGAGAATCATCGATCAGCTGCCTCATGCACACTCCCTACTGGGGATATGCCCGCAACCAAGGTACATGCCCTTGACCGGAATCGAACCCGGGACCCCTCAGTCCCCAAGCCGACGCTCTATCCATTGAGCCAAACCGGTTTCGGCTATATATACTTTTTTTTTAAATGGAGCAAAGACTTTTTTTTATATAGAACTAAAACTATATAACAACTCTTTGAAGAAAATATTGGGGAAAAGCTTCTTAACATTGAAACTGGCAGTGATTTCTGCAATATAACACAAAAATTAAACAATTACCATAAGATCCAGCAATTCTTATTCTGGGTATATGAGAAAAAAATTGAAAGCAGGGACTTGAACAGATATTTGTACATTCATTTTTTAACAGCAGTAGAGGCCTCCAGCCATGCCCCCTGGTCAAACTCCCGAATGAAATCCCAGTGAAGGGCACAATTTGCAAAACTATGCTTTTATTATATAGAATTATTCATAATAGCTAAAAGGTAAAAGCAACCCAGATTTCATTGAGAGATGAACAGATAAACAAAATATGGCATGGAGTATTACTCAACCTTAAAATGGAAGGGTATCCTGATACATGCTACAACATGAACCTCAAAGACATTATGCTAACTGAAGTAAACCAGTCACAAAAAAAAACAAATACTGTATTTATTCATCTCACACAAGGCATCTGGAGTAGACAAGTTCATAGAGATAGAAAGTAAGATAGTTGTTGTCTGGAGCTGGGGTTAGGGGGAATGAGGAGTTGATGCTTATTGAGTACAGAGTTTCAATAGGGCAAATGAAAAAGTTTGGGAGACAGATGGTGGTCTGACTGCAGAACATTGTGAATTTATTTTATTGCCAAGAACTGTACACTTAAAAATGGTCAAATGGTAAATTTTATGTATATACTACCAACATAAAAAAGGCACTTATTATTTTTTCAGTTATGTGTAATAGCACAAGTTTATAAATCTAAATGGAATCAGTTTATAGTTTGAAAAGACTTTTTTAAAGTTTTTCTTTTATCAAATAAAGACTTTTAGAGAATATGGAAGACAAAAATTAAGTGAAAGGGGGCTTATTTAAATTAATCTGTGGTTTTAAATAATTGTATATGTGTTTTTTTATTTGTGGTGTGTTGTGTTTTTTTAAATCCTAGATTACGTTTGGCCTCTTTCGATAGTAGTGGGAAACTAATATGTAGTAGAACAACTGGCTATCAAATACTTACACTTGAAAAGGATCAGGTATGTTTGATTACTTTTTTGTTTCATTATAATTATTTATCTTTTTTGAATCCTTTTGATTAGAATTTAAATATATATATAGATTTTACCTAATAATAGACAAACATATAAATTGACCATACCTCCATTAAGCCCACCAGCCAATCAGGAGTGATATGCAAATTAACCCAACAAAGATGGCGGTTAGTTTGCATACGAAGACAGCCGAATGACAGGAGTGTGATGACCGCGCAGGCTTTTTGCTCCCCGACACCTTCCCCCAACCCCCACCCCCATCCTGTCTCTCAGGGCCTCTGGGCAGTGTGGGAAGGTGGGGCTGGAGCAGAAAGAGGGTCTGAGCCTGAGTGGAAAGGCAGTGCCAGCAGCCAGGAAAAGGATGGTTCATTCTAGCAGGAATCTTCATGGCATCGGGCTTCTAGTAAGTGTGTGTGTGTGTGTGTGTGTGTGTGTGTGTGTATATATATATATATATATATATATATATATATATATATATATATATATATGTATTGATTTCAAAGAGGAAGGGAGAAATAGAAACCTCAATAATGAGAGAGAATCATCGATTGGCTGCCTCCTGCACATCCCTATTCGGGGTTGCAGGTTCAATCCTGCATGTGCCCTGACTGGAATTGAACCATGACCTCTTGATTAATAGTCATCACTCAACCACTGAGCCACACCAGCCAAACAGCATAAAATTTCTTTTTTTAAATATATTTTATTGATTTTTTTATAGAGAGGAAGAGAGAGGGATAGAGAGCTAGAAACATCAATGAGAGAGAAACATCGATCAGCTGCCTTCTGCACATCCCCCACTGGGGATATACCCACAACCAAGGTACATGCCCTTGACCGGAATCAGACCTGGGACCTTTCAGTCCACAAGCCAACTCTCTATCCACTGAGCCAAACCGGTTTCGGCCAGAGTAAAAATTATTAAGTAGAATTAACATTTGATTTAAAGGTTTTTTAAGGCAAAGATGTAAGTATCATGTTCTCTTCCATATAGTTTACCCCATTCTACTAGAAGTACAACTAAGACAAAAAAAAAACCACAACAAATTGATATTAAGATACAGGGAATAGCTTCAATAGGGAACTAATTATTTATCCTCAAAGATTATGAATCTTAATTGCTTCATTCATTGTCTTCATAAGTGCATTTATTTATGCAATAGCAAATACTTTGAAGATAATTCAGTTTGTCTCTAGTTATTGAATATTAAGAGAACATATCCTCTAGCACAATAGGCTTCTAAAATAACAGACATCTGTAATGTTACAAGTCTATTTTGAAGAAGTGGCATTAGAAGAAGTTTAAGTTTAAAAAATTTGGCTCTCAAAAGAAATTTTAATTGTTCCACTATTGATGTTTGACTCTCTTGACTAATGAGTTTGGCGACCAATGGACTAGGCCATAGTGGCTAAAGCACTTTAGCACCATCAGCCCAGGTGATTGCCTCACCTGACCCATCATCTTACCCATCTTACTCACTTTCTCTGTTATAAAGAATATAGAGCCGAAACCGGTTTGGCTCAGTGGTAGAGCGTCGGTCTGCAGACTGAAAGGTCCCGGGTTCGATTCCGGTCAAGGGCATGTACCTTGATTGTGGGCACATGAGGGAGCTGATTGATGTTCATCTCTCATCGATGTTTCTAACTCTCTATCCCTCTCTCTTCCTCTCTGTAAAAAAATCAATAAAATATATTATATATATAAAAAAAAAAAAAGAATACAGAGAAATAGTGCATGAGTGTGTGTGTGAGGCATTTCTGCTCCTTACTTTTTTGTTGTTGTTGTTAATTCTTATCCAAGGATATTTTCCCATTGATTTTTAAAGAGAATGGAAGGGAGAGGGAGAGACAATTGGTTCCTCATACACACACCTGCTAGGGCCAGTGAACCTGCAACCAACCAAAATCGAACCTGGGACCCTTTAGTCCATAGGCCAATTGCTCCATCCAGTGAGTCAAACCAACTAGGGCTCCCTACCTTCTTTATCCAAATGTATCATGCTGTTCTCCAGTAGAAGACTATATTGAACCTATGTATATCATACAGATGTTCCAGTTTCAGTCTCCCTTTATTCCAGGAATACATTCCAGAAGCATCTGCCTTAGTAAAAATTAAAAACTTTAGTTTAACAGTGTTGTGTAGCATATTCTCTAAAATGTATAAAATAAGTTGAATCTACTGCATATTATTGCAGAGAATGAATCCAAGTATTAAAGAAGTAAAAATTATAATTTCATTACTGCTGCTTTTACTCTAATGATTTATTCTGGTCACCAAGTGCTTTAAAGGGTTCCAAACAAGATACCTGTAGCATGAGTCATGGTTACATGTGTGGCCCTCAGGTGTATTATCAAATCCTGTCTCTTTGGGATTTCCAGACATTCTTATGTGTATTGAGGTAACTGAACTTGAAGTTGATTTTACATGGAGCTTTATATTCCAATAGACAAATGATATGTCTGCATTTGAGACAGTGGGAAATCTTAGATAAGAATAGGAACAATGAGCCGAAACCGGTTTGGCTCAATGGATAGAGCGACGGCCTGCGGACTGAAAAGTCCCGGGTTCGATTCCGGTCAAGGGCATGTACCTTGGTTGCGGGCACATCCCCTGTAGGGAGTGTGCAAGAGGCAGCTGATCGATGATTCTCTCTCATCGATGTTTCTAACTCTCTATGTCTCTCTCTTTCTCTCTGTAAAAAAATCAATAAAATATATTTATAAAGAAAAAAAGAATAGGAACAATGATTGTTGGTAATAATGACTCCTTACCTTCATCCTAATTATTTGCTATATCTAAAAGTCCTCAGAAATTGAAGCCAAATGAGAAATCTACATATATCTGGACTCTAGAAAATATGTCCATACAGAAAATATGTAGGTACTTGACAGAAATTTTTCAACAATGAAAATAACTACTGTAATTGAGCACTTCGTAGATGGCTGCTTTGCTAGCCCTCTGTGTGCACTGTCTCATGTAATCCTATGATGTGGGCACTCTTATTGTCCCCATTTTACAGTGAGGACACTGCAGTTGACAAGGTCAATGATTTGTCCCAAATCACACAGCTAGTGGGTGGGAGTTTTGAGATTTGAGTGGTGACTCTCAGACTGAAGTTGTTTTTGTTTTTGTTTTTGTTTTTATTGAAGATGCAAGTTCTTAACTACCATACTATCTTCTTCAGTTCATTCAATTCAGCAATTTGGTTTTCTACTTGTTTTCCTAATATTACTATTTTCTTGTCATTAAAACAACCTATTTGTTTTTTTAGGAACAAGTAGTGATGAACTTGGACAGCAGGCTTCTGATCTTCCCTTTATATATCTGCTGTAACTTCCTGTATATATCACCAGAAAAAAGAACTGAAAGTAGTCATCATCCAGAAAATTCAGAAAACTGAGGACCCTTTCAGTTGGAAACTAGCACTTTGAAAACTTTTCACATCTAAGGTGACTAACAATGACAAAGGCCTTAAGAACTGTACAGATAGAACAGAAGACTATTCTCATTCTCATTACGTTTCTGTGACTATATTAAAAGCATTTTAAAGACAAGAATATATCTGTCAATCCATTTCTGTTATAAAGATTTCAGCTCATGTTTTTAGCATCAGTAGAAAATCACTTAGGTAAATTTCACATTTCTCTGCAACCAACTATAGATTTAATTTTTAGATTAAACTTTGATCCTACTTAATGTTAATGTACCTCAGTTATCCATCTGTAAATTTTGTCTATAAGAATGCTAAAGGAATACTTTGAAAAGCTAATTGTAAATTCTCTTTCAATTGATACATTTAAGGCTGTTCTTTAATTTTTTTAACTGCTCTTTATGATTCCTCCTATTACCCTTCCAATATGTAGCTGTTTTTAATCATTAAATACTTTTTTTCATGGCTTTGGAAACTAAACTGAAGACTTTATTTACTTTAAACATTTTTATTTTTAATAATAATAAAACATTATTATTTTAGCTTTTCTAGAACTTTAACAACAAAAGAATCAGCTCCAGACTTGCAAATGACTGGAACGGGGGGGGGGGGGGGGGGGGGGGGGGGGGGATCAGTGTGACTCTTAATATATTCTTTTGCGTTACATGGTCTTTTCTCTTTTTTTTACATTTTGTACAAGTTTATTATTAGCTCATAAGATTATTTATGTACCAAATATTACACTCTAAATATTTTCATAACTTCTGACCTTTAGAATTATTTATGTTCAAATTTTAGTTGGGAATCTTGTTTCCTACGTAAGCTCAGGACTTTATAACCTCTGAATTGAGTGCCTTTGAGTTAAACATGCTAATAGTTTCATAGTAAATATAAATAAGGTTGGAAGATGTCATATAGAAGCTGGTAATAAAGCATTAATGTAAAAATATATCTTATTTTTGTCAAAAATGAGATGTACACTTGTCATGATTTATATGTGTTGGCTTCTTGTGTTTACTGCTGTTTTGAAAATACCCATGCTCATGGTCTTTACAGAGTGAATTCTTCTTATGGTTAATGTATATTTTTAGTATGTTTAAAAAATGGGAATCACTTTTATATATCTGTACAAATAATAAATACCCATTTGGAAAATGAATAAGTTCTTACATGAAATGGACAAAAACAAAACTTAGTTGAAACCAGAATTTTTTTAAAGTTAGATATTTTCCAATTAGATTTAACTTTTAGAATTTATGGATAGTTTTTTTTCACTAGTAATATGTCCATAGATTTGTAAATTGCTTTTGACTTTCAAAATTAATCTTCCAGGTTAATTTAAAGGGGGCTTTAAATGCCTCCCCTTCCTCTGCCCCCAGAACTGCAGTTTAAATGTTTCTAATACAATTGGCTGCATCAAGAGGCTATATTTCTTATTCTCTTATTTGCTATAATTATATTTTATAAGATGCCTTTGAATTTTTTAACATATCAGAGATTCTTTACCCTTTATATATTAAAAAATGGAAATACCAATCTTGAAGTTTTTTTTTTTAATATATTTTATTGATATTTTACAGAGAGGAAGAGAGAGGGATAGAGAGTTAGAAACATCGATGAGAGAGAATCATCAATCAGCTGCCTCTTGCACACCCCCCACTGGGGATGTGCCGGCAACCAATGTACATGCCCTTGACCGGAATCGAACCTGGGACCCTTCTGTCCGCAGACCGACGCTCTATCCACTGAGCCAAACCAGCTTCGGCATTTTTACTCTTTTCAATAGGAATCTATCAGCTGACATCATATAAACTACTATATGTAAAAGCAATTGCCTTTGCAAAGTCTTTTTTCTTAACATGCAATGAATAGAAAAAAATACCCAATAATAATTATTTTTGTTTAACTATCAATAAAGAAAAGTTCCCGAGAAAAAAATGTTCCAGAGTCACATGCTACAGTATTAAAGAGGGATATGAATGTACCTTTCCTTTAAAATATAAATACATATATTTGTCTTGAAATTTAACAAGCCAAAATTAAATGAACAGTGCTAGTTACTAGCTTTTTAAATGTTACTTATTTTAAATTGATTTCAGAAAGAAAAGGAAAGGAGAAGAGAGAAACATCAGTGATAAGAGAATTCTTGATTGGCTGCTTCCTTCATGCCCTTTACTGGGGATTGAGCCCACAACTTGGGCATGTGCCCCTGTCCAGGAACTTTCAGTCCTCAGACTGACCCTCTATCCACTGATCAAAACAGGTTAAGGCTAGTTACTTTTTTACCAAGTGTTTTAACAGCCAACATTTTATTGAATTACAAGCCTTTGAATACTATTACCATCATTAATGAACAATTCATGACATCACATGCAAAAATAGGGTTACCAAGACTCACTGTGGGTATCTAAATTTGAGTTCATTAAAATTTACTTTCTCAGTCAGAGTAAGCACATTGCAAGTGCTTAGGAATCACACACAACCACTGACTACCATATGGGACAGTGTACCGTAGATAGAATATGCCCATCATTGCAGAAGGCCTATCAAATAGATTTGGTATATCGGACTGTCAGTATTAAAACTATGCCAAAGGTTTTATTCCCTTAAAGGTGAACCCATGTAAAGATAATAGAGCCAGAGTACAAATTAGGTGATGATTTGCCAATCACCTAAAATGATAGATTCAGTCATATTTCAAGCAATGTGGATCTAATAGCTTTGATGGCATTAAAAAAAAAAAAAAAAAAGGCGTACAGTTCCTTCTCCAACCAGAGCCTGAAATTCTTCCCAAGGTTCAGGATACAGGTGTAAAAAAGCCAGGTCTCCAACAACAACAATCACTGTTAACTAGTGGTCAGACTACATCTAACTAGGGGGAAATTACTGACTCAGTAGCAGGCATCCATATAGAATGGTAAAGTAGGATACTTTTATAAAGGATTATTTGAAACAGGACTCAAAATTTAATCCAGGCTAGATAGTACATTTGCAGAGAATCACAGATGGTTCATGTTGGTTCTTACATAAGATACACACAATTTAAATACAGTTTGGCTTTAAATACTGAGGACATCTGGTTGGTTGGGGAAGAAACACAAATATCACAAGTGTTGACCTCCCCACTCAAATTCTATCCCAATGGCTTCAAATGAGATGACTTCAAACCATGGACTGGAAATATACAGGATTTCCTTCCTGGTACAATGCTGAAGATTAACACTGCTGGTAATGTACAGAACATCCTGAGAGGGCGACTTGATTATAGTAAATAGAAAAGTCCTGGCAGAACCCACTTTCTATCCCACATCTTAAAGGGGAGGAGCCATTTAGTGCCTGAGATTGATCCCCTTTATAGAATTTAATCCTTTGGTGTTTTGTTTTGTTTTTCCTTTTTATTCTTTACTTTTTCCCTCTATACTGACTATTCACACCAATATTTATTTGGGTATAAGATTCTCCCATCTTTGAGAAACTGTCAGTGACACATTTACCTCTACCCATTATATGATTTGCCCAACATCACCAAACATCACTCTCTCTCTCTCTCTCTCTCTCTCTCTCTCTCTCTCTCTCTCTCTCTCTCTCTCTCTCTCTCTCTCTCTCTCTCTCCCCCTTTCTGAAATAAAAATGCTTTTTCATTTATTAATAGTTTTTTAAATTTATTTTATTGTGTTTTTTTTTTGTTTGTTTTTTTACGGAGAGGAAGGGAGAGGGATAGTTAGAAACATCAATGAGACAGAAACATCTATCAGCTGCCTCCTGCACACTCCCCACTGGGGATGTGCCTGCAACCAAGGTATATGCCCTTTTCCGGAATCGAACCTGGGACCCTTCAGTCCGCAGGCCTACGCTCTATCCACTAAACAAAGCCGGTTAGGGCTAAAAAATATATATATACATATATATATATATATATATATATATATATATATATATATATATATATTTAGAAAAATACTTTTTAAAGATATATTTTGCGCATTTAACAAGAACTGCGAAGATAAATGGTGGTAGGGGGAATGAAAACTGAGTTTGGGTGGTAAGTAGACGGTTTTTTTTGTTTTTGGGGTGTTTTTTTTCAGATTTCTATAACAACATAAACTGGCACACTTTCATGTCCACCGTGAAACAAAAGCCTCGCCTAAAATGGGGCTGGAGGAGCGGAAGTAACAACTTGGTCCCACCCACATCTCCCCGCTCCATTGGGCCCCTGGAGTCTGGGCGGGTTTTGCGCAGCCGCACTTCTCCACACGCCGGAACCTTTGCGAGTCGTTGCAACGTTTTCCAGCCGGCAGTGAAGGCGCACTTCCGGCCCTCACGGAAGTTGCTGCGCGGTCGTTTCCGAGGCGGTGTGAGGTAGAGAAGCCTTCCTAATGGATCGCAGCCGCAGCCCGAGCCCCAGCCGCAGCCGCAGCGGCAGCCGCAGCCGCAGCGGCAGCCGCAGCCGCTCCCGCTCCCCGCAGAAGGGTGAGTTAGAAGCTGTTTGGAGGGGCTGGGGCTGGGTTAGAGGCGCATCTATCCCCCCTTATTTCCTCTGCGAGCGCAACGGAGAGGCCGGCCGTCTACGCCTGAGGAGAGGAGCGGGATGGGGGAGGGGACGGGAGGGGGAACGAACACCTCCGCCCTCCGGTTCCAAAGTAGGCTTTTGCCCCTTCTAAACTGAAGCTTCGTTCAGCTTCCAGTAGTAATTTCTTTTTTAATTGTTGTGACTGGGTAATTTAGAATCGGACCGCGGTTCCTTCGTTTAATTTCTAAGGTGGCCATTTGCAGTCATCCAACTTTCTGAGTCCTAATTCCCGGAATTAGGCAGAGGGGGGAATGTTACCTAGCTTTAAAAACCGATGTGAGAATTAATGGCACCTTCCATAACTACTCGGCATGTGATAACCGCCTGTAACGTGAATGCTCAAGGTTAGGTTCTCTTCCTAGGGAAATGTATATTTTTAAAAACTATGTTTCTGTTGATTTTATTTTTTAATTTTTGAAATTGATTTGAGAGAGAAAGTAAGGGAGAAGGAGAAACACGTATTTGCTGCCTCCTGCGCACACTCCTTACTATCTCCTAATGGGAGTCAGCTCTTAATTCCAAAGTGGAATTGAACCAGCAAACCCTTGGTGCATGGGGTGACTCTGAACCAACTAAGCCCCACAGGCCAGGTCTGTTTTTATGGATTTTAGAGAGAGAGGAAAGGAGAGGGTGAGAGAAAAAGCGATTGGCTGCCTCCTTCATGGGCCCCCTACTTGGGATGGAGCCCACAACCTGGGCATGTGCCCCAACCTGGAATCCAGTCAGTGACAGTGTTAAACCAACTGAGCCACACCGGCCAGGACATAATATTTTTAAATATATATATATTTTTTTGATTTTTTAGAAAGAAAGGCAGGAAGACAGAGGGAGAGGGAAACATTGACTTAAAAGAGGGAAACATCAACTGCCTGCCTCCTGCATGTCCCCTACCGGCAATCTGGGCATGTGCCATGATTTGGAATAAAACCCAAAAACTTGGTGTGCACCATAGGAAGCCCAAGCAACTAAGCCACACCGGCCAGGGTTGGACATTAATATTTAGAATTTTCCATCCAGAAAAATCACCTCTTGAGGAGTCCTGATCCCCATCCCTCATATCCTGACTTAAACCCTCGTTTCTGCCCCTGATTGGTTTTTACCACCTTCAACTTGTTAAGAGGTGATTTTCTTAAAAGTTAAATGAGGCCAGGATCCACATTTGGCTATTGAGGATCCCAGTCAGAATAAAGATGTGCCCAATCAGAATTAAGAAGTGCTGTTTAGCCCCAGCTGGTTTGGCTCAATGGCTAGAGCGCAGGACTGAAGGGTCTCAAGTTTGATTCTGGTAAAAGGAACATGCCCGGGCTAGATCCCCAGTAGGGGGCGTGCAGGAGGCAGCCAATCAGTGATTCACATCATTGATGTTTCTATCTCCCTCTCCCTTCCTCTCTGAAATCAATAAAAATATTTTTAAAAAGTGCTATTTAATTGTAGGATATACACTGGGTTTCCTTGATATAGTACAGAGAAATCTAAAAATGTCACTTTTTTATATTGAGTACTTGTTGAAATGATAATAGTTTGGAAGTATATATATTTAGTCAAATAACATTCTGTTAAAATTAATTTCACCTGCTCTTTATTTCTTTAATGTGACTACTAGAAATGGCTTGCATTATATTCCTATGAGACAACCCAGCATCAAATATCTGAGGTAATTTTTGGCTCTGCAACTTTGTTCCTTGTGTTAGAGCCAGAACAGAAGCTGTCCCGGTCCACTTCTCCCGAGAAAGAGCAAAAGAGTGGAGAAAAGTCCCCGACTGGGGAGGGAGAGCCGAGAAGGAGCCGCTCTGGATCTCCGCCCCAAAGACGCTCCAGGTGAGTGGGGATCGTTGGCAGAGGTTTTACCACAAGGCCCTAAGAAACTAGTTGTTGCCCTTTATTTTGTTTTTCTCACTTATACGGCCATTTACAATGCCATGAAATGAGGGGGATTTAAACCCATCTTATTCTAAACCTAACATTTCCATGGGTGAAAGGGGTTAATAAGTCTATACTCCTGGAGTTGCCTTTAGGAGTAAATGAGAAATAATACCAGAAAAGCATTTAACATGATGCTTAGCAAGAATAAGAAATAAGTGTTTTTGACTTTTTGGTGATAAAGATTTATTCAAGTATATAATAAAAAATGTGAGATCTTGGAAGTACCTTAGAATGGACTCGGGATTTCCTGTTAAGCATCCATTGCTGTTCAAGTCAACTTTTTGTGTGTGTTTATGTGCAATTGTTAGAAACTCTTTAGTTACATTTTTCTGCCTTGAAGAACATTTTTTAGCCCTAGCTGTACTGAGCAAGACTGTATTTTGGTTTGTTTTTTTGGTAACAGTCAGGCTAGGCAGAACCTTCTAACTTACTCTTCTGTAGGAAATGGGCTCATAGTTCTCTGCAGCTTGGCTTTTGTTCAGCCTTTACCTTCCAGGCACTCATGCATTTCTGTGCTGATTGACACAGTGGCCAGGTATGTCTGTTTCTGACATGTTTACTTATTAAATATTAGATCCCCAAGACGTGATAGATCCACTTCTCGTTCTCCTTCTCGACCGAAAGAAAAGAAAGATGAAGATAAGAAAGAAACAAAGAGCAAAGAAGGTCAGATAACTATTATTAGATAAATAACTGTAGCAAGAGTGCAGTCTTGTTTGGATAACTTCAGGCGTGGATAACATTATAAAAGTATCAGGTTGTTGATTTTGTTGTAATTGTATCTTAGAGAGTTCCTCGTTATCTATGGTGTTCCTGATGTAGGAGGGTCATGTGAGCATCTTTTATTATGGAAGCACCTTCAAAACAAGTGTCATGTCTGATATTAAAGGTGGTCCTGCTAAAGCTTCAGCATGTCCTTTTAAGCAGTTTCCTCTGGTGGAAGGTTGAGAGCACTTTCCTTCCTTGCACCTCAAGTTACATTCTGCCCAAATTGAAGAGAAATTTTTTCTGTTAGACTCAAGTCTTTACCTAATTGTTTTATATGTTTCTGCTGGTAAAGTGGAATGATTATTAATCTAGTCCCACCATTCCTTTAATATATAAAATGATAGTTTTAAAAATTATCTCTTATTTTTGCAGAGGAAGATTTAGAAGGCAAAACAGAAGAAGAAATAGAAATGATGAAGGTAATGGGATTTTCCGCCTTTGATTCAACAAAAGTAAGTAAAACTCGAAGCTAATTAAGCATTCTGATTTGAATTAATCCATTATGACTGTCCCATTTTTTCATTTTTTTTTTTTCCTATTCCTGTGTAATTGTTACAAATTAATTCAGTTAAAAGACTGTGTGAAGGGGTTTGAGGGTACAGAGAAGGAAGCAGTGAGGTACCTTGGAATTCAGAGAGTGTTTGTCTGGGATGATGTCCAGTTAGATCTTAAAGGGCCAGTACAAAAAAGAGAAGAAAGCATTTGAGGTAGAAGGGGTTCGTGAAAATGCCATGTAGACAAGTAGCATAGTGTATTGTGGGAATTTCAGATTCAGTGACTTTAAAAGCTGCTGGTGGACCACTGACTACATTGAGGCTGGAAATAGGGGTAGGAAGCAAATCATGACAGACGTTTGCTGCCCTAGCCACGCTAAGGAATTTAGAGTTGATACTTTGGATGGTGAGAGATAGCAAAGATTAAAAACAAAACAGGGCTGTTTGGATTACATGTGTGTTTTAGACAAGACCTAAGGCAGCCTTGGAGCACAGATGGGAGGCATTTGATTAAAGGCAGGGAGAACTGCTGAGTCATGCAAGTGAAAGATGATGAAGACATGAACTGAGAGGAGGATATGGAATATTGAGAACCATTCAGGAGCCAAAGTTTGTGGTAGTGGGAGTGAGCAGTCAGTGATGATTGAGGTGACAGGCTGAAAGACTGGATAGTAGGGTTAACCAAGAAAGGATTATGGGAAGAGAAAGTGCTGTGAAACAAGAAAAGTCAGCTGCACATAAAGATGACATTGGGTAGCTGCACACATATCTCATAGCTCAGAGGGTTGAATGCTCTAATACTAGAAAGAATAAAGAAAAGGAGGAGGAAAAAGGGAGGGATGGTGGACAGGGAGCTGAAGTCAGGGGTTATAGGGAGGGTGAGGGGGAGAGTAGAGGAATAGGGAGAGAGGTAAAGAGAAATAAGGGAAAGAAGTGTTGGGAAGGGTAAGGGATAGGAGAGGACGACGATTGAGGGAGCTAATAAGGATAGACAGGGAAAGTATATGTGGAGAGAGAATATATTTTTTAAACTTCCTTTTATATCTTTAATTTTATAAATGGAAATTGAGAATATTGAGAAAAATAGTGAGTTGTGAAAGGTGTGGGGTGATTTCACTTGCTATAGGAGTTTCTAACTGATGTGATTGTGTAGGGCTCACATATTTGAGTGTTTTGTGTGTGTGTGTTACTATTTTTAAAATTTTTTTATTAATCTTTACCCGAGGATTTTTTTCGCATTGATTTTTAGAGAGAGTGGAAGGGAGGGGAGAGGCCCCCACCGGGGTCACGGATCAAACATGCAACCTAGGTTTGTTTGGAATCAAACCCAAGACCCTTCAGTCCATAGGCTGATGCTCTATCAACTGGGCCAACCCCCATAGGCCTGTGGTCGGTAAACTTCAGCTTGCAAGCCACATACGACTCTTTGGCCCCTTGAGTGTGGCTCTTCCACAGAATACCACGGCCTGAGCGAATCTATTTTGAAGAAGTGGCGCTAGAAGAAGTTTAAGTTTAAAAAGAAATTTTCAATCATTGTACTGTTGATATTTGGTCCTGGGGCATGTGTGTATGTTTTAAATGACAATGTTTAAACTAAGAGGAGTACTGAGGCATGACTGTTTGAAGTGAAAAATTTAAGGCATGCTGGAGTGGCTCAGTGGGCATCCATCTCTGCACTCAACTGTTGCTGGTTCGATTCTGGTTAGGATGCAGGCTGGGTCACAGGTTCCTTTCTGGAGTGCAGAAAGCAACTGATCAGTATCCTGCTGGAGCATTAATGTTTATATCTTCTTGCTTCCTCACTCTCTAAAAATAGACTATTCTTTTAAAAAGTACATAAACTATGAATGAATATTGTTTTGAATATTGTATTATTTGTTTACATGTGATTATTAAAAAAGTGAACAGTTTTAATACTTGGGAGTTCATGGGATATTATCAGGATCTGAAAATTCTTGCTCTCGTTGGGCTACCTTATTCTTAGATGGATCTTGTCATGTAAGTCTGTCTGTAAGATCTGGTTCTTTTGATCAAGACATTTAATGTATCCTTCCTGTTCTTATAATTTGTTTATTGCTTTTCTCCAGGGAAAAAGATTGGATGGCTGTGTAAATGCCTATGCTGTAAATATATCTCAGAAATTCAGGTATGCATAATCCCCATTTCTATGTTTGTTTGTTTTGTTTTTAAATATATTTTATTGATTTTTTACAGAGAGGGAGGGAGAGGTATAGAGAGTTAGAAACATTGATGAGAGAGAGACATCAATCAGCTGCCCGCTGGGGATGTGCCCGCAACCAAGGTACATGCCCTTAACCAGAATGGAACCTGGGACCTTCCAGTCCACAGGCCGACGCTCTATCCACTGAGCCAAACCGGTTTTGGCCCCATTTCTATGTTTCAACCAATTATATAAATTATGTGCTTTGGAAAAAAATTGTTATGGGATAATTATATTTGTAAGAAGTACAGCAATTTTTCATACATTCCCTTGTTTTAATCTTCCTTGCTTATGTTCTGGTTTTTAATTTCCAATTTATAGGTAAACTAATAGCTATTATATAGAAGGATAGTTGGCTTACATGGTTTAGAACTGTATAGATAGTTCTTCAAAATGTCGGTTTTAAAAAGTCTTTGTAATTTATTTTTATTATAATTATAGATTTTTCTTTCTTTAAATCTTGTTTTTACTGATTTTAGAGAGAGAGAAGAGGAGAAGAGAAGAGAGAGAGAGAGAGAAGCACGAGAGAGAAACAATAGGCGGTATCGCTCACGCACCCCGACCAGGGACCGATACCGCAGCTCAAGCATGCGCCACGACCGCGATTCATACCGGAGACACCACAGTTCACGGGACTACGAGCCACACCGGCCAAGGCTAAAATTATAGATGTAAAATATATCTCTTTTAAGTTACTCTCCTAATTGATTGTTTAAGGATCTTAACTGTAAATACATTATCTTGTTAAGTGGAAACATTAATACCACAAGTCAAACCAATTCATACTTAAAATCTTACTGAATTCCTAATGAATTGGAAAGTCAGGAAAACATCTTCAAACATTGCCTTTCTCTCTACCTTTATCACTGATAAAAGACTAACATTCCAATTAATTTAGAATATGAATAATGTGATTTGAGAATGCTGGTGAGTTAAGGAACCTGTCATCATTGACATTCCTTTGTAAAGTTACCTTCAAATAAATTGTTCTGGAGAACACCAGTAGAGTATGCAGTCAAGAGTTTTCCATACTTCTATTTGGGTTTTACAGTAGTCTAAAATGCGTTTGCTTATTTTGAAAGTGAATAATATCATCTTACTACACATTAAATAATCTTGAATACTTCTTACCCTATACTTTGCCATCTTAAAGGTGATTCAGGTGTAATCTCTGAGTCATGTGATTATTATTTTTATTTTTTGAAGAGACATGTATTTGTTGTTCGATTTAAATCATTAATTGATTCTATGTGCCCTGAGGATCAAACCCTCAACCTTGGCATATAGGGACGATGCTCGAACCAACTGAGCTACCCGACCTGGGCCATGATGATTTTTTCTTAAGAGGAGTCCAGAATTTTTTGAAAAATAAACATTGAACTTTCTCTTCTTGTCATAGGCAGGACTTGAATTGCAAAGGTGGATTCAACAGACCTTTGGATTTCATTGCGTGAGAATTGAAATGTTGAAGAATGGTTGTTTTTTCCTTCATCTTGATCAGAAGAGTGGGTTTTGTTTTTTTGTATTTCATTGCATCAAAACAGGATCACAGTCCTTCTTTGTAAAGTAAGAAAATTTTACCTACGGTGTGTGTAGTTCGCTTACCTTGCCTCAAAAGAAGAAATGTTTAAGATTCATTTATTTCTTTTAGGAAGTATCATTTGGGGCAATCATCAGCCCCATTTTTTTTTTGTTTTGTTTTTATTCCTGTGGAAACTGTATATGTTTTCTTCTTGGGTGCTTGATAGGACTTCTTAAAACACGTAGATGTAATTTGGATGTAAGCTTCTCAAATAAAGCGATATTTCTACCCTTTTGTATTTTATAATACCATATTACTATTTGAAAGTAACTCCCTATACATTTTCTTTTTTCATACATAGATTTAGATATGATTCTTAGTAGTTAAAAAATTAGAAGAATGAAAAAGCATAACTGGATTTTTGTATCTTAGCTTTTTACCTCAATATTTACTTTACCCCCATTTTATGTGTTTTTACTGATTTCAAAAAGGGAGAGAGAGAAAAACATTAATGATGAGAGAGAATCGATTGGCTGGCTCCTGCACACACCACACTGGAGATCAACCCCAGACCAGGAATTGAACCGTTATCTCCTGGTTTATAGGTCAACACTACTGAGCCATGCTGGCAGGGCTTTCCCCTTGTTTTAAAAGCAATACATGCTTATTATAAAAAAATAATAATAATAATAATAATAAATAAACAGCAGGAGAAACCAAACAGTAAAAGAAAAGCCAAAATCACCTGTAACCTACCCCCAAAAACAATGCTAATATTTTGGTGTGTATATCTATTTCGCCAGGATCCTATGGGTGTATATTTCCTACTCCCAACCATGAGATCAGAATGCAGTACTCTTACTGATTCTTTTTCGCCTGTGTGCTGTGAATATCTTTTTAATACATGTTCTTTGAAAACTTAGCTTTTAGGAGGTACTTCTAATTGTACCATAATTTTTTAATTAACTAATCATTTACATGGTTAACATTGACTTCTCTCCCATGATTTGCTGTGAGTAGTATCCCTGTCACATATATCTTTTTGAACTTGTTGCATTATTTCCTCAGGTTCGGTTCTTAGATGTGAAATAAAGGGGTGTGTGTGCATGTTTTAAGGGTTTTGATTCATATAAATGACTAGGAAGATAACAACTGACCAGTACAGTATGAGCCATCCCATTTTATACACCACCAATATTGTGCAGAATTTATTTAGTTAGTTTTTTGGTGTTTTTTATTTATTTATTTAGAAAGGTAAGAAGGAGAGAGAAAGAGAAATGTCGATGGGAGAGTGAAACATGGATCAGCTGCCTCCTGCACACCTCCTACTGGGAATTGAGCCCAGCATGTGCCCTGACTTGGAATCGAACCAGCAACCTTTTGGTTGCTAGAGATGACGTCCAAATAATATACCAAGACTCACTATGGGTATCTAAATTTGAGTTCATTAAAATAAAATTTACTTTCTCAGTCACAGTAAGCACATTGCAAGTGCTTAAGAATCACACATAACCACTGGCTACCATATAGGATAGTGCAGATAGAATATACCCATCATTGCAGAAAGGCCTATCAAATAGATTTGGTCTAGAATATCGGATTGTCAATATTAAAACTATGCCAAAGGTTTTATTCCCTTAAAGGTGAACCCATGAAAAGATAATAGAGCCAGAGTACAAATTAGGAGATGATTTGCCAGTCACCTAAAATGATAGATTCAGTCATATTTCAAGCAATGTGGATCTAATCGCTTGATGGAATTTAAAAGAAGAAGAAGAAAATAAAGACATAATAAAGTTCGTTCCCCAATTAGAGCCTGAAATTCTTCCAGGGTTCAGGGTACAGGTGTAAAAAAGCCAAGTCTCCAACAACAATAACTGTTAAATAATGGTCAGACTACATCTAATTAGGGGAAATTACTGAATAGCAGGCATCCATATGGAATGATAAAGTAGGATTATCTGAAACAGGACTGTAAAGATAAAACTTAACAAGGCTAGAGTTAGTACATTTGCAGAGAATCACAGATGGTTCATGTTGGTTCTTACATAAGGTACACACAATTTAAATACAGTTTGGCTTTACTGAGGACATCTGGTTGGTTGGGGAAGAAACAAATTTGATCACAAGTGTTGACTTCCCCACTCAAATTCTATCCAAATGGCCTTAGAATGAGAGAACTTCAAGCCATGGATTGGAAATATACAGGATTTTCTTCCAGGTACAATGCTGAAGATACACACCGCTGGGTAATGTACAGAACATCCTTAGAGAGGGCGATTTGATCAGTAAATAGGAAAGCCCTGGCAAAACCCACTTTCTATCCCACATCTTAAAGGGGAGGAGCTAAGGTTGTTTCTTTACAGAACTTAATCCTTTGGTTTTTGCCTTTCTCTTTACTCTTTTCCTCTATACTGACTCATTCACACCAGTATTTCAATGATTCTCTCATCTTTGAGAAATTGTCAGTGACACATTTACCTCTACCCATTATATGATTTGCCAACATCACCAAACTCCAAAGGGTTCTCCAAATTCACTTAAGAAGCCATTGACAACTCCACTAAAACTTCCTGAGTCAACAATGACTTTTTCTGCAAACTGTTACAGTCTCCATGTGTTTGGATTTTTTTAATCACTTCTTTTAACATTTAAAACTACCTCTTTGTTCTCCTTTTAAAAAGCAGCCTTCTCTTAAACTTCTCTGATATCACACTCACCCCGTTTTCCTCCTGTTTTTCTCGTCATTCCTTAGTCTTCATGGGTTCTTCCTCTGGTTATCTCCAGACCCTTTTCCTGAGCTTGCACCAGATGGGTGATTCCATGCACTCTGCAGTCCTACTTCTGTGGTTCCAGCATAGATCTTTCTTCTGAGTTCCAGAAATATTATACATCTAGTTGGCATCTCCCCTTGGGTGTTCAAGATGGCACCTCAGTTTACTTTGTCCTGATCTGAAGGTATCTTCTTTCCCCAGATTTGATTCTACATGCCTTATCTTAGCAAATGATGCTACCATCTACCTAGTTCCACAAACTTGAAACCTGGATGTCTGTCTTGAATCTTCTAATTCCCTCATCCTCTGCATCTAAACATCAGTTATCCTAGTTTCGCCAACTTTATCAAGTTTAAGCACATTCCACCATACCTACTGACAGCATTCTACTACCCGCCACTGTAATTTCTAATCTAGATCATTGTACCAGCCTCCTATTATATTCCCCCAAGTGAAGCCTCCACATTATTCAAGTGTTTTCTGAATAAATTCAATCTAATTCCCTCTCATCCTTTGTCTCAGGATAGCTGCCATAGTTTACAAGTCTATTCTAGCCCTGTCTTTAGATGTCAGCTCCTTGTTCCTCAAGAGGCTTCCATAACTCTTAGTTCTCTGCATAGCCCAGGCTATTCTTGCATTTGTAACCTTGACAACCTCTTCCATCTTTTACCACAACAAGTGTCACCCCATTTCACCTAGCTAATTTGTACTCATCCTTAAGGTCTTGGTTGGACATCCTTTCATTCTGGAAATTTCTCTTAACAGCCCTCCCCTTCAAAAAACAGGTACCAGTCTTACGTGTCCTCATAATGTTCTTCCCCATCAATGCACTTTCACACTGTTTACTAGTTTGTATCTCTCAGTGGCCAGCAGTCTACACAAGAGCAGGCATGCCTTTTTCACTACTAATCCTCTGGTACCCAGGTGTGAATAATTGTATTGTGCCTTTTTATTTTCTCATGTTTTGACACGTGGGGCCTTGGGAGAGTGCCTTTCAATTGGCAGCCTACCTTCTTTACCACCTTCTTTACCAAACTTTCACAAGCCAGGCAACATTCCTCTGCCCTAATGACTCCAGGGCCAGGGACCAAACAAACCTGCACAGCCCCTACTTCCACAAATCCGCTAAAATTATTCAAACTCGCCAATCACAAGTTAACCCGATTATCCTGCCTCTCCCATTTCTTCCTGCAAAAAGCACAATCATGTCTCTTATCCATGCTTTCCCCTCGCTGCTTCTGCCTCCTGACCCACCCCGGTGCTTCCCGGTGTGGACTTAAAACTGCTTGCAGTTTAGAATTTATTTGATATGAAAATTCTTGTGCATTTCACAAGAACTACCAAGATAAGTGGTGGGGGGGGGGAAGAAAACTGTTAGGATGGTGGGATATGGTTTTTTTTTTTTTAGATTTCTATAACATCAACTAGCACACCTTAATAATGCCCATCATGAAACAAAAGCCTCAGCGAAAATGGAGCTGGAGGAGCGGAAGTAACAACTTGGTCCGCTGCTGCATCTCCCCGCGCTCCAGGGGCCCTGGATTCTGGGCTGGCTTTGCGCAGCCGCACTTCGCTAGACGCGGAACCCTTGTGAGTGGTTTCCAGGTTTTCCAGCCGGCAGTGAAGGCGCACTTCCGGCCCTCACGGAAGTTGTTGCGCGGTCGTTTCCGAGGCGGTGTGAGGTAGAGGAGCGCTCCAGATGGGTCGCAGTCGCTCCCGATCTCCGCGGAGGGGTGAGTTGGAAGCAGTTTGGAGGGTCTGGGGCTCGGTTAGAGGCGCTTCCTGTCCCCGCTTATTTTCTGTGCGAGCGCCTCGGAGAGGGAGGACAAGCGGGGTGTCTGTGTGGATGGGGGAACGAAGAACTCCGCCCTTCGGTTCCAAGTTGGTTTTTCCCCCTTCTAAGTTGGCGTTTCGCTCATTATCAGCCTCCAACAGTAACTTTTGTAATTCTTGTGCCTGATAAGTTAGAATCAGACCACGGGTTTTTTCACTTAATTTCTGGGTGACCGTGTGTAAGTCATCCAACCTTTGAGTCCGAATTCCCATAATTAGGCAATGGGGGTAATATTACCTAGCTTTAAAAACTGTTGTGAGAATTAATGGCACCTTCCATAGCACTCAGCCTGTTATACTGCCTGTGTCTTACATGCTCCATGTAGTTTCTTCAGTTTATTATAATAAGGAATCTTGTATCCTGGGAGCTCACCTCCTAAGGTCTCCTGATCCGACACTCCTCTTCACCCCCAATACTCTGACTTAGACCCTCGGTTCCGCCCCTGATTGGTTTTTACCACCTTCAACTTGTCAAGACGTGATTTTCTTAAAAGTTAAACGAGGCCGGAATCCATCTGTTGAGGAGGATCCCAATCAGAATAAAGATGTGCCTTATCAGGATTAAGACGTGCTGTTTAATTTAGGTTATACACCGGCTGCCTTAATTCAGTACGGGAAAAGTAACATAATCTCAATACTTTTTTATATTGAGTACTTTTTGAAATGATAATAGTTTGGAAGTACTGTGTTTCCCCGAAAATAAGACCTAGTGCATGGAAAGATAAGACATCCCCTGAAAATAAGACCTAGCGCAACTTTGGGAGAAAAAATTAATATAAGACACTGTCTTATTTTCGGGGAAACAGGATATATATATTTAGTCAGATAACATTCTGTTAAAATTTATTTCACCTGCTTTTTATATTTTTTAATGTGACAGCTAGAAATGGCTTGCATTATATTCCTATTAGACAATCCAGGTCTAAATATTTGATGTAATTTTTGGCTCTGCAATTTTGTTCCTTGTGTTAGAACGTAGGCGGTCCCGGTCCACTTCGCGGGAGAGAGAACGCAGGCGCCGGGAAAGGTCTCGGTCCAGGGAGAGAGATCGTAGAAGGAGCCGCTCTCGATCCCCGCACAGAAGACGCTCCCGGTAAGTGGGGATTATTGGCAGAGGTTTTACCACAAAGCCCAAAGAAACTAGCTGTTGCCCTTTACTTTGTTTTTATCACTTATAAGGCCCTTTACAAGTATGTCAAACTCAAAGGCTAACACGGGCCAAATAAACAAGGTTTAAGTTTATGGGGTGCAAAAAAAAACAAAAGCTTCAATTTTCATAGAAATGTAGGTTTATTTCGATAGAGACATGCCGAATACAAAGGGCTGAAATAAATGAGTAATTGTTAACAAAATAATAGAACATTTTATTTTTATTTTAAAAATATATTTTATTGATTTTTTTTCACAGAAAGGGTGAGGAATAGAGATTTAGAAACATCCATGAGAGACAAACATGGATCACCTGCCTCCTTCCTGCACACCCCCTATTGGGGATGTGCCTGCAACCAAGGTACATGCCCTTGACTGGAATCAGTCCGCAGGCCAATATTCTATCCACTGATTCAAGCCAATTAAGTCAATTAATAGAACATTTTAATAAAACAATATTTTTTCTTGAACTTTAACTTACCAGACACTGAAACTGCACAAATTATTATTTAAAAATATATATATTTTATTGATTTTTTAAAAGCCGAAAGATTTATGCGATCTGAGGAGAAACCAGAGCATATTTTATTGATTTTTTTACAGAGAGGAAGAGAGAGGGATAGAGTTAGAAACATCGATGAGAGAGAATCATCAATCAACTGCCTCTTGCACACCTCCTACTGGGGATGTGCCGGCAACCAAGATACATGCCCTTGACCAGAATCAAACCCGGGACCCTTCAGTCCACAGGCCAATGCTCTATCCACTGAGCCAAACCAGTTTCAGCAAAAACTGCACAAATTAATAAGTGTAACGCATATAAACCTATTTTTCTTCAAAAGCGAAATATTCCTGTTGCACACACCAAATGAGTCAGTGCAAGACTAATAACGTGACAATTGGCTGCTAAAATATTTGCAGCATTAGTGGAGAGAAATGTGCACCTGCACTTAAGGATTGTAATGGAAATGAATGCAACATGATTATAGTGGTCAGTCATTAGGGAACATTGTAGTTTCTTGTTAATAATTATGTACTGTATAATAGGATATTGTAAAACTTAAGTTATAAAATTTTTATTAAAACGTTTCTTTTTAAATTTTATTATTATTTTTAATATATTTTATTGATTTTTTACAGAGGAGGGGAGAAGGATAGAAAGTTAGAAACATCGATGAAAGAGAAACATCTGTTAGCTGCCTCCTGCACACCCCCCACTGGGGATGTGCCCGCAACCCAGGTACATGCCCTTGACTGGAATCGAACCTGGGACCTTTCAGTCCGCAGGCCAACATTCTATCCATTGAGCCAAACCAGTTAGGGCTCTTTTTTTTTTTTTTTTTTTTAAATACATTTTATTTATTTTTTACAGAGAGGAAGGGAGAGGGATAGAGAGTTAAAAACATCAATGAGAGAGAAACATCGATCAGCTGCCTCCTGCACATCTCCTACTGGGGATGTGCCCGCAACCAAGGTACATGCCCTGGGACCCCTCAGTCCACAGGCCGATGCTCTATCCACTGAGCCAAACCGGTTTTGGCAAAATGTTTTTTACATTTCATTATATTTGCTAGGCCGAAAAAATATTCGTGTGGGCCTCGAGTTTGACATGCCTGATTTACAATGCCAAGAAATGGGAGATTTAAGCCCATCTTATTCTAATCCTAACATTTCCATGGGTGAATGGGGTTAAATAAGTCTCTACTCCTAGAGGTGCCTTTAGGAGTAAAAGAGAAATAATACCGGAAAAGCACTTAACGTGATAGTTGGCAAGAATAAGAAATAGTGTTTCTTTTGTTTTTATTGACTTTTTGGAGATAAAGATTTATTCAAGTATATAATAAAAAATGTGAGATCTTGGAAGTACCTTAGAATGGACTCGGGATTTCCTGTTAAGCATCCATTGCTGTTCAAGTCAACTTTTTGTGTGTGTTTATGTGCAATTGTTAGAAACTCTTTAGTTACATTTTTCTGCCTTGCAGAACATTTTTTAGCCCTAGCTGTACTGAGCAAGACTGTATTTTGGTTTGTTTTTTTGTTAACAGTTGGGCTAGGCAGAACCTTCTAACTTACTCTTCTGTAGGAAATGGGCTCATAGTTCTCTGCAGCTTGGCTTTTGTTCAGCCTTTACCTTTCAGGCACTCAGGCATTTCTGTGCTGATTGACACAGTGGCCAGGTATGTCTGTGTCTGACATGTTTACTTATTAAATATTAGGTCCCCAAGACGTCATAGATCCACATCTCCTTCTCCTTCTCGACTGAAAGAAAGAAGAGATGAAGATAAGAAAGAAACAAAGAGCAAAGAACGTCAGATAACTGGTAACGTTATTAGTTAAATAACTGTAGGAACAATGGTAAAATATGTACACATATAATACCTTAATTTTAAAAAATGGGGAAAAAAGAATAAATAACTGTAGGAAGAGTGCAGCCTTATTTAGATAACTTCAGGCATGGTAACATTATAAAAGTATAATTTTTGACCATTAAGATATATTGTAATATTCATTGCATATGGATTGAGTTTTGTTTTAATTGTACCTTTTGAGTTCCTGGTTATCTGTGGTGCTCCTGATATTGAAAGGACAATTGAAAATATGAGCATCTTTTATTATGGAAGCACCTTCAAAACAAGTGTTATGTCTGATATTAAAGGTGGTCCTGCCTAAAGCTTCAGCATGTCCTTTTAAGCAGTTTCCTCTGTTGGAAGGTGACAAGCACATTCCTTCCTTGTACCTCAAGTTACATTTTGCTTGCACAGTTCACCATAGCTAAGATTGGAAACAGCCTAAGTGCCCATCAGCAGATGAGTGGATTAGAAACATATGGTACATCTACACAACGGAATGCTATGCTGCTGTAAAAAAGAAGAAATTCTTACCATTTACAACAGCATGGGTGGAACTGGAAAGCATTATGCTAAGTGAAATAAACCAGAGAAAGATAAATATCCCATGATCTCACTCATTTGTGGAATATAATGAACAACATAAACTGATGAACAAAATTGAAACCAGAGTCATAGAATCATCAAACAGACTGTCCAACCTATGAAGGAAGGCAGGGGTGAGAGGGTAAGAGGACTTATACGCATGCATGTGAGCATAACCAGTGGACACAGACAGTAGGGAGATGAGGGCATGTCCTAGGGTTTGGGTTGGCCAGGGAGAGGACATGGGGGGAAAAGGAGACTTATGTAATATTTTAAACAATAAAGTTTTTTTTTTTTAATTACATTACAAGTTGAAGAGGAATTTTTTTCATTAGACTTAAGTCTTGTGTGTGTGTGTGTGTGTGTGTGTGTGTGTGTATGTGTGTGTAACAGTTTATTTCAGAGACGAGGGGAGGAGAGAAAGATAGACACATCAATAATGAAAAAGCATTGATCAGCTGCATCCTGCACACCCTCAGTGGGGTTTGAGCACAAAACCGGGCATGTGCCCTGACCAGGAATCAAACTATGACCTCCTAGGCCCGTGGTAGGCAAACTGCCGCTCACAAGCCACATTTGGCTCTTTGGTCCCTTGAGTGTGGCTCTTCCACAAAATACCACGGCCTGGGCAAGTCTATTGTGAAGAGGTGGCGTTAGAAGTTTTTTTTAAAAATTTGGCGCTCAAAAGAAATTTTAATCATTATACTGTTGATATTTGGCTCTGTTGACTAATGAGTTTGCCAACCACTGTCCTGGTTCATAGTTGACGCTCAATCACTAAGTCACACGTAAGTCTTTAGCTGATTATTTTGTATGTTTTTTGCTGGTAAGGTGGAGTGACTGTTAATCTAGTGCCACCTTTGCTTTAATATGTATAAAATAATAAAGTTTTTAAATTTTTCACTTATTTTTGCAGAGGAAGATTTAGAGGGCAAAACAGAAGAAGAAATAGAAATGATGAAGATAATGGGATTTGCCTCCTTTGACTCAACAAAAGTAAGTAAAACTTGAAGCCAGTTAAGCAGTTTGATTTGAATTATGACTGTCCCATTTTTTCATGTTTTTTTACTGTTGACTATGTAATTGCTTCCATTGATACAAGTTTATTCAATTAAAAGATAATAACTGGCTGTGTGAATGGGGTTTGAGGGTACAGAGAAGGAAGCAATGAGGTGCCATTGGAAACCAGGGAGTGTTCACCTGGGATGATGTCCAGTTAGATCTTAAAGGGCCAGTACAAAGAAGAGGAAGATCAATTTAAGTACGGAGGAGTTAGTGAAAATGCCATGTAGACATGAAGTCGCATAGTGTATTGTGGGGATTTCAAATTCAATGACTGTTTAAAAGGCTGATGGGCCAGTGACTACAATGAGGCTGGAAATAGAGGTAGGAAGCAAATCATAACGGACTTCTACTGCCCTTTGCCATGCGAAGGAATTAAAATTGTTTCTTTTTTTTAAATGTATTTTTTATTATTATTTTTTTTTTTTTTTTTTTTTTTTTTAATATATTTTATTGATTTTGTACAGAGAGGAAGGGAGAAAGAGATAGAGAGTTAGAAACATTGATGAGAGAGAGTCATCAATCAGCCACCTCTTGCACACCCCCTACTGGGGATATGCCCGCAACCAAGGTACATGCCCTTGACCGGAATCGAACCCGGGACCTTTCAGTCCCCAAGCCGACGCTCTATCCATTGAGCCAAACCGGTCTCGGCTAAATGTATTTTTTATTATTGATAGTATTACAGGTATCTCCAATTTTCCCTCCTGTCCTCTCAAGAGATGATTCTTTAGGTGGTTGAGAGAAAGCAAAGATTTTTAAGAAAATGAATTGTAGGATTTATTTGTGTTTTAGACAGATGGCCTAGGGCAGCCTTGGAGCACAGATGGGATGCATTTACCAGATGTACCGGTTAATAATGCAGATTCTTTTTCAATAGATGGAGTTACACATATGTTAATATGTATGTGATTTTATATGTATGCTATTTTGTTGTATTAACATGCTTCAAAACTTTACATGTCAAATTTTCTAAAGGTGTTAACATCATAGATATTTTTACACTTAAAATTGTTGAATTTTGTGCCCAAAAAAGAGCATTTGCAGGAAGTTTTAATTCATTATTTTGAAGGAAAGTGCTACTGAAAGTTATTGTATATTTTGGGAAGCTTATGTTGAACATGCTCCATCTCCAGATACTTGTGAGTGCTGTGTTAGATGCTTTAAAAGTGATTATTTCTATGTGAAAGACAATATCCAGGACAACCGAAAAAGTTTGAAGACCAACAATTGCAAGCATTATTGTATGAAGATACGCATCAAACTTAAAAACAACTTGCAGAAAGATTAAATGTTGTTCAGCAAACAATTTCCGATTGTTTACAAGCAATAGGAAAGATTTTAAAGATTTAAAGAAAATGGATGCCACATCAACTGAACAAAAGACAAATGGAAAACCAAAAAGTCATCAGTGAAATGTTGCTTCAACGTCATGAAAGGAGGTCTTTTTATCATTGAATTGTGACTGGCAATGAAAAGTGGATTTATTTTGAGAATCCCAAACACACAGAATCATGGATTGATCCAGGTCAACCATCAACATTGACTGCAAGACTAAATTGTTTCTGAAAGGTGACAATGCTCTGCATTTGGTGGGATCAGAAAGGTGTGGTGATTATGAGCTTCTAAAACCAGGTAAAACCATTAATACTGATCGCTACCGATAAATAATCAATTTAAACCATGTTTTGATTGTAAAACGGCCAGAATGGGCCAGAAGATGCGGCAAAATAATTTTGTTTCATGATGACACACCATCACGTACTTCAAAACCAGTTAAAAGATATTGCCTGGGAAGTATTGAACACCCCTTGCTATATTCACCAGACCTTGCTTCTTGTTCCTTGATCGGAACAAGATTACCACGTGTTCCAATAGATAGCACATGCACTTTTTCTTTTTTTTCCTTTTTTTAACATACTGATTTTTTTACAGAGAGGAAGGGAGAGGGATAGAAAGTCAGAAACATCGATCAACTGCCTCTTGCATACCCCCTACCGGGGATGTGCCCACAACCAAGGTACATGCCCTTGACCGGAATCGAACCCGGGACCTTTGAGTCCGCAGGCCGATGCTCTATCCACTGAGGCAAACCGGTTTCAGCAGCACATGCGCTTTCTGGGCAGCACTTTAAAACGTACAAAGAAGTGGAAAATTGGATCTCTGAATAGTTTGCCTCAAAATAAAAAAAGTTCTGTCGGGATGGTTTATCCACAAATTACCTGAAAGATGGGGGAAATATGTAGCTAGCAATGGACAATACTTTGAATAAAGCACTTTTCTTTATTTTGTTTCTTTTGAAATTACTGTGTTTTCTTTGATTACAAAATCCGCATTATTAACTGGTACTACCTGGTAGATTGGAGGCAGGGAGAACTGAATCATGCAAGTGAAAGATGATGAAGACATGAACTGAGAGGATCCAGAATATTGAGAACCATTCAGGTGGTAGTGGGAGTGAGCTGTCAGTGATGATTGAGGTGACAGGCTGAAAGACTGGGTGGTAGGGTTAACCAAGAAAGGATTATGGGAAGAGGAAGTGCCGTGAAACAGAAGAAAAGTCAGCTGCACATAAAGATGACATTGGGTAGCTGCACACATATCTCCTAGCTCAGAGAAGTTATGGTTTGGAGATTGAATAGTGTGTAACCATCATACTGGAAAGAAGAAGGGGAAGGGGAAGGAAAGATGGATTGTGGAGATGGAGGTGAAGTCAGAGGTTATAGATAGGGAGAGGGAAGAGAGTAGGAAGAGGTAGGTGGAGAGAGGTAAAAAAATAGGGGAAAGGGAGTTGGAGGGGAATGGATGGGAGAAGAGGGACGGAGGGAGCTAGTAAGGATATACAAAGAGTTTGTGGAGAGAGAATGTTTTTTAAAAACTTAATTTTCTAGAATTTTAAGTCTTTTTAGTTTTGTAAATGGAATTTGAGATTTTTTTTTTTTTTTTGAGAAAATCCATTTCTCCTCATTTTGTATTCCATTGAGTTGTGAAAGGAGTGGGATAATTGCAGATGCTCTAAAAGTTTCTAACGGATGTGGTTGTATTGAGCTAAATATTCTTTTTCTTTCCACATACTCTTAAGATGACAATGTATAAACTAAGAGGAGAACTGTTTAGAACTGAAAAAATTAAGAATGAGCTTTTATTTTCACAAATGGTTTGTGAACCCCATTTTGGAATTTAATGTGACTAAAAATATCTTCAAAGTAAAGCAACTATATTTTTATTCTTTTTAGAAGAATATAGAGGTGACTTAATCAGAATTATTTTCTTTATTGGGGGTTAGAGGGTTATCCCCAGTATTCTTTGAAATTCATGAGAACCATGTGAAGATTAAGTCTCACTTAGATTTTAAATATAGTCTGCTGAAGATGTTTGTTTCTAAAGGAAAAATTAGGTGAATATAAGTCCCATGAGAATTATGGAATACCACCAGAATAAATAATATCAGTTGTTTTTTAATGACATCCTCAAGAGTGTTATTTTAGTTTGTATGTAGTTAGCTTCAGTTGTAGCTCACTTGTGCTGTTCAGTAATGTGCTTATTGTGATATCATATTGATCGATGATGAGACCTTTTCATATGCCAATGTAGCCCTTCCATTTTAACATTTTGGAAAAATTCAAAATTTGGTTATGATTATTAATGGATAATTTTCTATTCCAGATGTAAATGAAAATATGGCTATTATATATAACTCCACAAATAATTTTCAAAAATTATTAAGCCTTTAGGAATTGAGCTTAGTAAAAAGGTTACTATCATTTTCTTTTTTCCAAGCCAATGTGTGCAAGTCATTCCTACCTACTGTTCTTGTGAGGTCAAAATTCTGTGCACCTCAAGTAATTTTACCCATTGATCTTCCCTTCCCCATAATGTAGTGAAAATAGAAAAAATAAGATCAAATATATTTGTTTTAGCTCCACTTTCAATATGTATCTCATTTGTATATGACTTTAGGCCAGTGAGTAAGAATCCTGTTTTTGCTCTAACTCAAACAGGGCACAATCCCATGAGTAATAATGAGGAAAGGTGGGAATTGAGGGCCGTGTGTGTGTGTGTGTGTGTGTGTGTGTGTGTGTGTGTGTGTGTGTGTGAGAGAGAGAGAGAGAGAGAGAGAGAGAGAGAGAGAGAAAGACAAAGACAAAGACAAAGACAGCATGCGCAAGTGAATGCTAAACGATGGTGTTCATACATCTAACAATCATTTCCTGAGCACCTGGAAGTGCAATGGCCTAGGATGTGAGTATACAAAGGTGACTCAGGCATACCCCTCCCTCAAGAAGCTTGCAGTCTCATAGGGGAAATGACATCAAGTGTATACATCATGATAATGCAGGTTGGAACATGGAGAGTATCAATGCTGCTGGATCATTTGAATTGAGCCTTAAACAATGTATAAGCTCCCCATAATTGAAGATTGAATGGGAGGGATGGTAATTCAGGCATGAGGAACAGCAAGTGGTGAGTTAACTTGGCTGAATCAAAAGACCCATAAAGGAATTAATGAAAAAGAGGGTAGATGCCACATGAGAAAAGGCCAAGGTACAAGTGACACTCAACATTAGCATATGTTATTCTGTATTCTCATTTCTGATTTAAAAACCCAAATTGCAAGGCCTGTGTAAGAAATGGGATTTAGATGAATAGTGATTGATGAAGCCATAATTTGAAAATGTGAATTTTTCTAGAGAAAATACCCTTGACTTATATATGGTTTCAAATCATTCTTTGACCAAAAGAGGTTAGGATCTGCTACACTATTTCCCTTCCTGCCTTGCCAATAATACATAAATCAGGAATGTTTCTTGATTTGAATATTATATTATTTGCTTATGTGTGACTATAAAAATGTGAACAGAAGTGTAATACTTGGGAGCTCATGAGATGTCATCAGGATCTGAAAATTCTTTTTCTCGTTGGCCTACCTCATTCTTAGATGCATCTTGCCATGTAAGTCTCTCTATAGGATGCTATTTTGATCAAGGCATTTAATGTATCCTTCCTGTTTTTATAATTTGTATATTGCTTTTCTCCAGGGGAAAAAGTTGGATGGTTCTGTAAATGCCTATGCCATAAATGTGTCTCAGAAGAGGAAGTACAGGTATGTATTACCCCTATTATTATGTTTAAACCAATGATATAAACTGTGTGCTTGGAAAAGAATTTATTATAGGATAATTATTTGTAGGAAATATAGCAATCTTCCTTACAGTCCCTGTTTTAATCTTCCTTACTTATATTCTAGTGTGTGAATTTCTGATTTACATGTGAACTAATTATTATAGAGAATGGTAGTTGACTTTTTTACAACTATATAGATAGTTCTTCAGAACATTTTTAAAGTCTTTTAACTTTAATTTCATTATAATTATAGATTTAAAAAATAGATCACTCCTTAATTATTCACTTGGATTATGTAAAGATTTTAACTATAAATATATATCAAGTACACACATTTTATTAATAGCATGAGACAATTCATACTTGAAATCTTACTGAATACCTAATGAATTGAAAAGTCAAGAAGACATCTTCAATCATTGCTTTTCTCTCTACCTTTATCACTGATAAAAGATTAATATTCCAATTAATTTAGAAAATGAATAATGTGATTTGAGAATGCTGGTGAGTTAAGGAACCAGAATCATCATTGACATTCCTTTATAAAGTTACCTTAAAATAAAGTGTTATAGAAAAAAACAGTGAACTTTGCTCTAAATCCTTTAACCAGGTGTTTGGTGTTACCTAACATAAATAAATTTATTGTTTTAAGTCTGTGGGATCTTCTCAAATAATTTTGAAAGTAGATTACCATACTTCTATTTGGATTTTACAGAAATCTATAATGCTGTTGCTTATTTTGAAGGTGAAGTAATCTCTTCTTACTGTACTTTAAATGGTCTTAAATATTTCTTATTCTATATTTGACATCTTAAAGGTTATTTATAGGTATAATCTCTGAAGCATGTGATTTTTTATAAAGAGAGAGAGGAAAGGGGGGAAAAGTGAAAGAAATATCAATTTGCTTTTTGTACTTGTTGCAATTAATACAATATTAGTCTTGTATGTGCCCTGATTGGAGATAGAACTCACAACTTTGGTATATTGGGACGATGCTCTAAACAACTAAGCAACCTGACCAGGACCATGAATATATTTTTGCAAGAAGAGTCCAGAATTTTTTTTTTTAATGAACATTGAATTTTTTCTTCTTGTCATAGGCAGTACATGAATCGCAAAGGTGGATTCAACAGACCTTTGGATTTCATTGCGTGAGAGTTGAAATGTTGAAGAATGATTCCCCCCCCCCCCCATCATGATTAGAAGAGTGGATTTTGTATTTTGTATTTCATATGCATCAAAACAGGTCAGGATCACAGTTCTTCCTCCTTGTAAAGTAAGAATATTTTATCTTTGATGTGTGCAGTTCACTTACCCTGCCTCAGAAGAAGAAATGTTAAATATCACATTTTTTTCTTTTAGGAAGTATCATTTGGGGCAATCATCAACCCCATTTTTTGTCTTATTCCTGTGGAAGCTGTATATGTTTTCTTCTTGGATGCTCGTTAGGATTTTTTAAAACACATAAAAGTAATTTGGATGTAAGTGTCTCAAATAAAGCAATTATTTCTACCTCTCTGTATTTGCTAAATATTTTATTACATATAAAATATCTCCCTTTACATTTTATTTTTTCATGCATAGATTTAGATATGATTCTTAATAGTTAAAAATTTAAAAGAATGAAAAAGTATAACTGGATTTTTGTATCTTCTGAGGGTTTTTTTCTTAGTACCACTAATTTCTTTACCCCCTTTTTTAAAAGCAATACATGCTTATTATTTAAACAAACAAACAAAAAATCCTTGGGAAAATGAAACAGTAAAAGAAAAGCCAACCTACCCCCAGAAACAACGTTGTTAATATTTTGGCATATATCTCTCCAGAATCCTATGAGTGTATATTTCCTATTCCCAACCATGAGATCAGAATGCGGTTCTCTTGCTAATTCTTTTTCACCTGTGTGCTGTGAATATCTTTTTAATATTCTTACATATCCTTTTGAAACTTAGCTTTTTGGAGGTAGTTCTAATTGTACCATAATTTTTTATTAATTAATCCTTTACTTTTTTTAAAAAAAATAAATCTTCAGATTATTACAAATGTTCCTCTTTTTTCCCCCCCTCCATTGCTCCCCCTTTACCAGGTTCCCACCCCACCCTCTGCCCTTTCCCCATCCCCCATTGTCCTCATCCATAGGTGCACAGTTTTTGTTCAGTCTCTTCCCGCACCCCCCACTCCCCTTTTCCTTGAGAATCGTCAGTCCATTCCCTTTCCATACCTCTGATTCTATTATATTTAACAGTTAACATATTGTTCATCGGATTTTTAAAAAATATATATTTTTATTGATTTTTTACAGAGAGGAAGAGAGAGAGATAGAGAGCTAGAAATGTTGATGAGAGAGAAACACTGATCAGCTGCCTCTTGCACATCCCCACCAGGGATGTGCCTGCAACCAATGTACATGCCCTTGACCGGAATCGAACCTGGGACCTTTCAGTCCACAGACCGAAGCTCTACCACTGAGCCAAACTGGTTTCGGCTGTTCATCGGATTTTTTAATTCCCTTGGTTTTTAGTTTCACTTGTTGATAGTTACGTATTTGTTGATCATAATTTTTATCTTTATTTTCTTTCTCTTCTGAAAGAACCCCCTTCAGCAATTCATATAATTCTGGTTTGGCGGTGATGAACTCCTTTAGCTTTTTTTTTATTTGTGAAGCTCTTTATCTGGCCTTTGATTCTGAATGATAGCTTTGCTGGGTATTTTTGGCTGTAGGTTCTTGCTATTCATCACCTTAAATATTTCTTGCCATTCCCATCTTGCCTGCTTGGTTTCTGTTGAGAAATCAGCTGACAATCGTATGGGTGCTCCTTTATAGGTAACTACCTGCTTTTCTCTTGCTGCTTTTAATATTCTCTCTTTGTCTTTTGCTCTTGGGATTTTAATTATGATATGTCTTGGTGTGGTCCTCTTTGGATTCCTTTTGTTTGGGGTTCTGTGCGCTTCCTGGACTTGTAAGTCTAATTCTTTCACCAGGTGGGGGAAGTGTTCAGTCATTTCTTTAAATAGGTTTTCAGTGTCTTGCTCTCTCTCTCCTGGCACCCCCATAATTCTGGTGTTGGTACGCTTGAAGTTGTCCTAAAGGCTCCTTACACTACCTTCAACTTTTTGGATTCTTTTTGCTTTTTACTTTTCTGGTTTGGTATTTTTTGCTTCTTTGTATTTCAAATCTTTGACTTGATTCTTGTGATCCTCTAGTCTGCTGTTAGATCTCTGTATATTATTTTTTTATTTCAGTCAGTGTATGCTTAATTTTTGTTGGTCCTTTTTCATATGCTCAAGGGTCTCGCTAAATTTATCAGCCTTTTCTAGAAAAATTTTAGAAAAACCTTATAACCATGGTTTTGAACTCTATATCCATTTGTTTGCTTTCCTCCATTTCTTTCATTTGTTACCTATTTCTTTGTCTCTGCATTTTGGCTGCTTCCCTGAGTTGATAGAGTGGCTTTGTGTATTAGGTGTCTTATAGGGCTCAGTGGGTCAGCCTCCCAAGTTACCTGAGGTGGACATTCTTGGTGCACCCCTTTGTGGGCTGTGTGTACAGTCTTGTTGTAGTTAAGCCTTGATAATTGTTGGTATCACTGGAAGGAATTGACCTCCAGGTCAATTGGCTGTGAGGATCAGCTTTGTCTATGCTGGGAGAACTTCTGTGCTGGAGACACCTTTATGAGACAAGACTTGCTTCAAAGGGGCTTTAGTGCTTACTGAGTCTGCCCCCTGAGTGTGTCCCTTATGGATCTGCGGAGTTATAATCTGGATGGTCCCACTCTGACCCCTGGGTACACTGGCTCTTAGATCTCCAAGGAGGTGCTAATTTAGCCTCTGCCTGAGTCCACCCAGCAGGAGATACAGAGAGATCTGCAAATTCCTCTTCTTTGTTTGGGTTTTGGAGGTGCCCAGATGAGGCCCAGCTGTGAAGCAATGCAAGCTGCTGTGGGGCCGTGGGCCTTCTTTTGGATGTTTTGGGTCTCACTGACTCAGCTGCAGATTGTTAGGTAAGTTTAGAATTCAAAGAATCATGCCATTCATATGCAAAAACCTCTGCTCAGCTTGGATGGGGCAGAGTCTCCCGGTGGAGCAGATAGCAATGGCTTCCTGTCATCTCTGCCCTAAGAGGCCCCTGGATCTTAGTGTCCCACGGTAATCACTGCAAGCACCTCTGAGAGGAAGCTGCCCTCAAGTTTTGCCTGCTGCCACAGTCCAGTTTTTCCCTGTATGAGTCTGAATCCCCAGTCTCGCCCAGAACTGGAGTTCAGAGCAGTCAGGAGTTCTTGTCTCCTTCCCAGTTGGGAAAGCCAGCCACGTACTCAGATGCCAGCCCTCTCCACACATGTGCGCCTCTGTGCCTGTGCCCTCTGCAGCTCCTGTGAGTCTGCTTTTCTCTTCCCTTCTAGTTGTAGAATTTCCACTCAGCCAGCCTTCTTGTAGTTCTGGATGATGTCTGTTTTGTCTTTTAGTTGTAGTTTTGAAATTGTGCGAGGCAGCAGTTTAAGTGTTTGTTTACCTATGCTGCCTTCTTGGTTTTCCTGAGCTTGTAATCACCACATTTTTATTTATAATTTATCAATTGAGGGGCATTTTGGCTATTATGAATAGTGCTGCTTTGAACATTCTTATACAGATTTTTCTATGAATATGTTTTTAATCTCTTGGGTGTATAACTAGAAGTGGAGTGGCAGTGGGTCACATAATAATTCGGTTTAAGTTTTTGAAATACTGTCAAATTGTTTTTCCAAAACAGCTGCACTCTCTTATATTCCCACCAGCAATATATGAAGGTCCAGTTTTCTACATACTCTGCAAACTTTCCTTTTCCTTATAGCTTCTCACTGCCTAACACACTCTACCTTCATTTGTTACTTTGTGGGTCTTCCTCTAGACAAGAAGAAATGGGGCCCATGGCTTGTTTGCCACTGTAGGCCCAGCACCACTCAGTGCCTGCACAGAGCAAAGCAGTCAGTAAATCTCTGTTGAATTTGTAGATATAGTTCAGTGACCTTTTTTCACTTCACCACTTCCCTTCATTTTTATGTTAACCTTTACTTACCCAAGTATAATAATAAATAAGGAATGAATAAATTTCCCTGTAAACATTTTAAAACATTATGACAAAGCTAAATCCCGTTTGCACAGAACCCCTCAATGCCAGGCCTATTGCACTTTCTTTGCACTGTATCTTTCCAGACCTTTGTCTATGCATACATGTAAATAACAGAGTTAGAGGGGGAAATGAGGAATATACATTGTTTGGGATTTTAAAAATACAAGTAATATGTTGTAGGGATCATTTTACAACTAATTATTTAAGACTGCCTTGGAAATGTTTCTATGCCAGCTTATGTACCTCTACTCCCCCTTTTTTTAAACCCGCTACATAGTGTTCTGTGAGCACTGTATATATCACTTGGTCAGCCATTGATTTGTTTTTAAAATATCTGTCGAATAGCTAATTTTTGCAAAGCAGTGCTCTTAAAGGTTTTAAAACTTAAACTCATGATATTAGATGTCATGGCATTGAGGTGTCCAAAGTAACCATAAAGATGAGGATTAATATTACGGAAGTAGGAAATTCCAGTCCTGATTTTTACACTTCATAGAACAAATCTGTTCCTCCAACATTTATTTACAAAATTTTATTTTATTGTCAGAATAGTTAGGGAGTGTCAAACTCCATTATAAATAAGGTATTTTACTTCATTTTGGAACTTTTTAGACATTTAAGATTATAATACACCAGTTGTCTTTTCCCTGCCACTCTGAGGTACTCACTGAAGAATTATCTCTCAGAACTCTTATAGCATTTAATAAACCTGCTGCTTATTCAGCATTCACATACTGTCCTATGCCCACCTGGGCATGTAAGCCCTTCCAAGTCAGAAGACTGAGTCTTAGCTTTCTAAAAGATGCAGTAAAGCCTTAGCCAGTTTGGCTCAGTGGATAGAGCATCAGCCTGCATACTGAAGGGTCCTAGGTCCGATTCTGGCCAAGGATATATATACCCAGATCCCCAGTAGGGGGCATGCAGGAGGCAGCAGATCAACGATTCTCATCATTGATGTTTCTGTCTCCCTTCCTCTCTGAAATCAATGAAGAAATATATTTTAAAATAATCCTACATAAATAAAAGCTGCAGTTAAGATTATATGACGGGTAACATAGCTATGTCTTTGTGCTTGCCCATTTTCAACATTTCTTTTTTACTTCCCAAACCTATTAGTTGATCTGAATGTCTCGATCCCCAGTAGGGGGCATGCAGGAGGCAGCAGATCAACGATTCTCATCATTGATGTTTCTGTCTCCCTTCCTCTCTGAAATCAATGAAGAAATATATTTTAAAATAATCCTACATAAATAAAAGCTGCAGTTAAGATTATATGACGGGTAACATAGCTATGTCTTTGTGCTTGCCCATTTTCAACATTTCTTTTTTACTTCCCAAACCTATTAGTTGATCTGAATGTCTACTCTAAGATATATAAACTATTGTCATGCCATATTTATGCTGTAACATCAATTTGTATAAATTCCTGATAACAAAAGTCAGGTTCAAACATTCTGGAATTTCCTATTTTTATTTGGGGGGTTGTGCCTATCAGTCAGTGCTTAGGTAATGCTTCTGAGGTCGCCACTTCTACTTTTTTAGTATTTTCCGTACTTCAAAATCTTCACCTTAAAGCTATCTTATTTGACTGGTCATTGTATACATTTGTGTAAAATAATTTCTAGAGAAGCCAAACCAAACCTTTGTTTTGTATTACTGCTTAGTTCCCAATAGATGGCACCAAATACCCTTTAAATTTTTTAATGATACCAATTCCTAGTTGGTGTTGCTGGCTAATTCATGTTTCTTCCACCGCCACCAGGGAACAGTCATGACCCGTTCTGTGGTCTGATTCTCTGATTGTTACGTAACTTCGTGTTTTTTGTGGAGTGTAAGATAGACCTGTTGGTGTTTAGATTTTAATTTGCTATTTCTGACTCAGATTTTGACATTTTCTCCTTTATTTTTTACAAGTGTGATTTTCATTCAGGGTTATTTTAGGGAAAGTGTCATGATACAAAAGTAAGAATAGGTTAGGGGGGAAAAAAAGAATTGAGGGTAAAAGAGGAAGAGTAAAGAGATATGCTGAAGGTTAGTTGAAGTGTCGTCCTGGGCACCAAATGGTCTTGGATTCTATTCCTGGTCATGGCACATTCCGGGTTTGCTGGCTTGACCCCAAAGCAAACCATCCATGTTTCTCTTTCTCCCTCTACCTTCCCCTCTCAGATCAGCAAAAACATATCCTCAGGTGAGGATTTTTTTTTTAAAGTATACAAAACCCAAAATTAAGATGACATTAAAGCGTCTTTACCATTACCAGTTTTGGTACTTTAGTAGAATTTTATTCATTATGATTTCCTAATTTGTTTTACAAATAATTTGTAATTTTAAAAATAGTCCTTAAAAACTCTTTAAAATTGTTATATCATTCTCATCTCCAATTTTTTGTGCTTGTTTGAAAACCTTGCCTTTAGTATGTGTCTTTACTAGTGTTTTTATAAAAATCAGCTTTTAGAGCCAATTAACCATTAAAACCAGAGTGTTTCCTATATGTTAGGCATAGTTTACAGTGTTTATTCTACTTATTAATTCTATCAGGTTTATTTAATTTTAATGGATGTCAACCATTGAAAAGAATCCTTTTTAAATTTTCCAAAATTACCTTTAAATGCTTTTCTTTCTTTTTCCTCAGAGTTTTAAGTGTCTGTTTTGTGTCTCATCTAGAAATCTATTGTCTTTAGAACAAACTACTGAAGTGAGCATTGGTGTAGCATGGGTGGGTGAAGCAGATCAAGGTACAGTTCCCATCTCTGGCTGGATGAGTAGGAGAGTAATTCAGTTATTGTGGACCTCAGTTTCCTCATTTGCAAAATGTAAATAATTAACCTACTTGATGTGAGGTTTAGAGATAGTTCATGTAAACTACCTGACACAAAGTAGCTCTATTTTCATATATTGGCAACAATTACAAGCTTTAAAAAAAGCTTTGTGAAATATGTTCTTGCTTCACTCATTTCTATATTCACGACTCTCAATTTACTGAGCTTTATTTATACTTTTAAAAAAATAGAAGTGCCATGTTAACAGTGTAATTTGGGCCTCTAACTTTCAGTAATCTTGACAGGCTTAGGGACAATCCTTAATGAACTTATTAACTCGATACATTTCTATTGGTACCACCTCACACACAAACACCATTTATAGCCATCTCGAAAAGTATTTTAAAAATATTTTCATCTACAATCAAAGGGGAAAGAAAAACCCTAAGATATTTAGTCAGAGAATCTCGGGATTCAACGTCAGGTACAGGAAGTTTCTGAGCTTTAAACACCTCTCTTGTAAGGGGTAATTATACCAGCACTTGGGGAGATAGTGCCTCTGGAGAGGGCTCAGCGCTGCCGACAGCCGCCGATTCCAGCGCTTTCTGGACAAGAGAAACGCAGGGAGGCGAGCATTTAACTAAAAAACAGGCTTTTCCCCTCAATCACCACAGCTACGTGGCACCCGCCGGAGCCTGGAGCCCACTGGCCACCTGCCGGGCTGCCAGCATCGCTCTCCCTTCAGAGGGAGTGGAATCCCCGGAGCTGGTCTCAACCCGGCCCCGACCCGACCCCGCGCCGGGCAGATCGCCTGGGCGAGGCGTGGTGCCAGCCTCACACCCAAGGGAACTTTTCCCCCGGGGCAGGTCCTGGCAACAGGTCCTAGGGGAGCAGGGAGGGGCCGGGTGGAGCCGAGCTCCGCGACGGCCGGTGAATCAGCGCCGTCGGGCGCCGGGGCGCCCTCCCCGGCGATGCCAGTGCCTGGGAGGGGAAGCGGGGGCCGTGACTACCAGCCGCTCCGGGATCGCCCGGCTGGGGAAGGGTGACGTCATTGTAGCTGGGAGGTTTCGGGAGCCGGCCAATGGGAGGCAGCGCAGGGGCTCGCTTTCTGTAGCTCTCGGCCAATCCTAGCCAAGCGGCGGGCGGTGTAGAGCCAATGGGGAGCTGGGAAGGAGCACGGGGCGGAGTTGCGAATCCTGTCACCAATTGAGAAGAAGGGGCGGGGCCTGGGCCTTGTCAAGCATGGCCAACCAGCGAGAGGAGCGGACCCTGGGGGGCGTGGTGTTAACACCCTCCCCCAATCGAGCAGGGCCGGAGGCGGGGCGGCCCTCGGGGTGCCCAATGAGGGACGCGGGCGCAGCGGGCCTGTCAAGAGAAGGGGCTGGGGGCGGGGGGATGGTGAGTCGGGGATAAACACTCCGCGGCGGGGGCGGCTGCTGCTCTTCTTCGGGTTCTGTCACGGCGTCGGCGGTGCCCAGCTCAGCGGCCCCCTCCCCCTTCCGGCCAGCGTGGTCGCCCGAGAGGCTCTCGGAGCCCCGCTCTGCCGGGTCCGCAGCGGGTCGCGGGTGTCCGGCGGCGAGCCCGTGGCAGTGGGGGTTGGTCCCGCGGCTCCGGCCCCCGGTGCAGAATGGCGACGGCGGTTCGGATGAACATCCAGATGCTGCTGGAGGCGGCTGACTTCCTGGAGCGGCGGGAGAGAGGTGCACGGGGGCGGGAGGGGTCGGACCCCACCAGGGGCCGGGGGCTCTGAAGGTCCCCGCTGCGGGTCCGGGCGCCCGGCCGCTCCGGGGGTAGTTGGAGGCGCGGAGAGCGCGGCCGCGAGCGCTCCTAACCCCTCCGGCTCTCCCTCCGCGCTGTCCGGAGGGAGGACGCCCGCTGCCCCCACCCCCAGGCAAGAGAGGGGGGTAAAAGGGGAGCCCCTGCACCCCGGGGTCCCGAATGTCGCACCCTCCTCACCCCGTCGCGGGTGGGGTGCCGGGGACCCCCCTCGCCCAGGCCCTTGGTCAACCTCCTCGGGTTCTTGCCCGTCTCGGTGGAGGAGCAGCGCCTCCCCTACCCTCCCACCCCCCGCGCCCGCCCGGCGTTTGCCCCGCACCTTCGCCTGCGGCCGGCCCCACCGAGCACACCTGCTGGACGTTGCCCGTGGGGAGCCCGGGCTCCATGCGCTCAGCGACTTGACGGGTCTTTTCTCAACAATGAGCAGCTGGAATGCTCCTTACACCTGCTCCGAACTGAGGGCATTCACACAATTTTAAAAAACAATCATTGTTCTAAGAATTCCACCTGGCTGCGTTTAATTATTCCCATTAGGTTCCTTCAGTGAAACATAGGTAAAAATTTTAAAGGGAAATACTGTGGAGAAGAGAGGGTATTGAGTGTTCCAGGCTCATTCATTAACTGGATCCTCCGGTTTTCTAGAAGCTGAACACGGGTATGCCTCCATGTTACCATACAATAACAAGGACAGAGAAGCCTTAAAACGGAGGAACAAATCCAAGAAGAACAACAGCAGCAGCAGGTAATTTGGTCAATATTTCTCTTCCCCTTTTAGGCCATACAGCAGATAACACAACCTGCAGAATGGAAGTTACCTGTTGTGCTAATAACCTGGGAAATTAAGTGGCGATCATGATTCTGTAAGGCACACATGGTCTTAAGCCACTGGAGGAAGCAGCCCTCGGTTTGGGTGGAGGGAATTGAAACGAGAAATGGACATTATCCACTTCTTTCACTTTTCATCATGAAAAATGTATCAACATGTTGAAATATCTGGCTTGGCATGGGTAGTAGGTTTTCATATTTTACATGTAAATGTAATACAATGGTTTGTCTGATGATCTAGTTTGTCCTATTTACAATGGCAAAGAGGAATGAGTGAGGTTAAGATCTGCCTTTTGGTGATGAGGAACATATAACATCAAAATATTAATATGCCACAGCCCGTTTATATTAGCCTTATTACAGTTCTTAAAATATGTGGCTCTCACTAGGAAGCATTGGATTAGTGGTCAGTGAATTCCCATGTTAAAGCCCTGAACACAGCTCCTGGCACATAGGAATACTCTGATAATGCTGCTGTCCTTTTAAAATATGTTAGCTAGGAAATCTCTCTTATTAGATCCATTCAACTATACCTTTCATTCCAGTAAATTAAAACCATTGACATTTTCATTGCTGACTTGGAATCCTTATCCCTTTCCCATCCTCACGAATAACCCCCTGAAAGGAGCTGTATTTGGTGAGCCTCTGGGGTATAATACAGACCCCCAAAAACCAGAGGTTCCTACTTAAACCTAACTCATTTGTTCCTGCCTCTCCTCTGCCCTTGTCCTCAGTGTTGGTAGAACCACAGGATGTGGGCAGGACACAGGTGCTGAGCTCTTGAATAGGAAGGCACTTGGTGAAGCACAAGCCTGGTCACTGATTACCTGGTGATTGTTTTGTTTTCCCTCCTCCTTTAGCAATTACCTGAAAGTGGTAGCTAATAGATCTGTGCCTGGATACTACCTGGGTCTTTAATAAGGATGCTAATACTTATTGGATTACACAACGATATAGAACAATTTAGCAAGGTTGCATTTTGTTACAGTGTTAATTTTTTAAAGTTTTGTTTCTAAGAACTTGGAAGCCTTTTGGGTTATTTTTCTGGAAACGAGTAGTTCATTTATTCTTGTCTACTCAGGATGAGAGAGGAATTGTCCATATTAATATTCCAGGGTAGTCCTCAGCAATTAATTTCCCCCCAAGTTTCACAGGAGAGTTGTGAGGGGATGCTCAGTGATTGGGAGAGGAAAAGAAGAGGATGTTGAAGAGGAGTGGCTTGGTCCCGGAAGGTGATTAGGAAAGAAAAATAATGAAAGTTGAGAATTTCAAGCCAAAAAACAGCCTTTCTCTTCTCTTTATTATGAAGCATTATTCGTGGGGGGGAAATGGCTGCAACTCCTGATTTTTTAAAAGCTCTGTTCTCTTCAAGGATGTGGTTTGCTTTCCAAGGTTAGAAATAGGAGGCCGTCTCGGTTGTCCATATTCTTGACTAGTCGTGAATGAGTGCAATACCTTCAGTGATGTGAGGATCTCTTGAGAGAGACCATGATTAAACCTGGAGAAGACGCCAGCGATCTTATGAAGCAGGAGCAAGTTGTTTTATGTAAATGTAATCATTTCCTTCCTGACCTGAGCAGAGAGCCATCCCCCCACTCCCCCCCAAGAGAATGCAGTTTGATCCCTTGATTTGAATTAGACTTATACCCAAAGCTCTGTATCGCTGGGATTTTGAACTGAAGGCTGTGGGGAGATTGCTTCTGGTTTACATAACCATTGGGTAACAGTTTATTCTTGTTAATTCGGGCTGAAACGCTGTGCTCTTTGTTTGTAGAGCTGGGGTGGGGGAGTACTTCTCCTTGGACAATAAAAAATGAGATTTAGCCACATATCAAATTTCTTGGGAACTGAAAATGCAGATCTGAAGTTTTTTCTGATTGCTTGTTTTTAAAACAACAACAAAAACAAGTGAAATTGTGAATATTGATTGTTTTTGGAATCATCCAGAGAACTACTGGCATACGGGGAGATGGAATCTTTTTTTAAAAAATTTTCCCCTTTCCTACTGGTTTTTGAAATAAGTTACTAAGAATGTAGAATTGAAATCCAGACTTTAAAAGCATGTTAAATTGGTAAAGCAGACTTTGGCACTCATTTGAAAGAGGAAGTCCAGGACTTGCCACCCAGTTCTTTTATGAGACAGTGGCTGTGTAGCTGACCTGACATGGGGAGTCTTTGAGCCAAGTACTGTTCTCATTCTCAGATACTATGTAGTTTGGCTTAGTAGTTATCTTTCTGTTAGAATCTATTTTTAAATGGGGACATTGGGTCTTTAATGATTACAGATTTATTAATCACAGGGGGAAATCATTGTGATACAAAGTATCTGACTCTTCTAACGCTGTAATTAAAAATATAAATGTTGACCCATCAACAGAGTTGGAGGCGATCTCTGAACTGGTTATTTCTTAAAAGGTCTGCTTTTTATTAAAAAGAAACTCAGTTTTAAAAGAAACTCGGTTTCAGTAAACCAAATGCATTTCAGTAATGCCTGAGCCCTTAGGTCTAAGTCCCTTGTAAACATCACACTGTGTTCAGCACCCCTAAGAATCAAATAAGATCTTTAGTTTCCAAAATTCTGTTCAAAGTTTGAAGGAGTTGTGGTTCCTATGGAATCTATTAAAAAGTCTGTCCTAAGGATTCAGAATTTTTAAATATGTGTCTTCAAAGAATCCAGAAATGGTTGGTGAGTGTGCCCCGTGTGCCGCTGTTTTCTCTGACAGGAGACCATGTTCTTTTCAAATATCCACCCTCCTCCTCCTCCACTTCCAAGAATGGCACTTGAGGATGGTGCTGTCTGCGGTTAAATGGGGAAATCTTTGCCAGCTGTGGCCATATACTTCCATCCATTTAAAAAATCTGTCAGACTTTGAACTTGTTATTCCCTGTTAAAACTAAAATGTCACGTGATTTTAAGCCAGAGGTTTGCACTGTAAGCCAGATTCTTGTTAACTGTGATGTCCTGCTGGCCATTGCAGAATTAAACCTTCAGGAAAATGCAACTGAAGGATACAGAGGGGGAACCAAGGGACTCAACCTAAAGCTTTTAAGTTAACCAGTCTTAAAGTTCACGCATCCTTTATCAAGAAAAGAAATATTCTAAAACCAAACGTGCTGTCATTTTCTAGTTTTTTTCTTGTGGAAGAGTTGTTTAAGTGCCAGATTGGAAATGTCCCATTTCAAGACTACACACGCACACACGCGCGCACACACACACACACACACACGCACACACACATATACACACATACCTCCCCACACCACATACATGCTTCCCTACACCACATACATACCACACACATACCACATACACACCACACACACACACACACACACCCCTAGTCTCTGGTGTGAACAAATTTGATGCCCACCCCATGTAAATGAGGGGCTAAGAATTCATGGAAGTAGTGATTCATAATTACTCTGAGAATTTATCTCCTAGGCACAGTGAGGTTCTAATTATGGCCCCACAGAATTTCATGACTTGAACCATAATCTCGTAGGTGGCTAGATTCTAGAGAGCTTCCATAAGGAAGGTCAGGACCCAGGGCCTTTGTAACCCTGGGGAGTTCCTCGGGTTTATTTATAACCAGTCAGGGAGGAACTGTGTGAGCAGGACACTGAAGTGACCACTTGACTGACTGCTTGTGACTCTTGTGAAACCTGTCCATAAATTTTAGACCAGACCTTACACTCAAGGTCAGCTATAAATACACTAATAATTTGATTTCACATTCACCACAGCTTTCACCCAGGGCTCTCTAATCACTTTTGCAGTTGCTACCTCATTGATCCATGCTTGTTCAGTAGATAATTAGCAATACTTTTTATTCCCATTTTACGGAGGGGTTAACCAAGAACAGAATGGTAAAGAGTTTTATTTCTTTCTCAGAACCAGACAGTGGCAAAGCTTTAACCAGTCTATTGTCTGTATGTTGAAATGAGTTTTGGAAGCCCTTCCTAAAGTCATTGCATAGATATTCAATACAATCCTTCCAGGAGGTTCTATATGATAAAATAGTTACTTCAGGGATTACAAAGATGGAAGGAAGAGGGGTGATTTTTACCCATTTAAAACTGAATCCTGCTGAAACCGGTTTGGCTCAGTGGGTAGAGTATTGGCCTGCGGACTGAAAGGTCCCAGGTTCGATTCCTGTCAAGGGCATGTACCTTGGTTGCAGACACATCCCAGTAGGAGGTGTGCAGGAGGCAACTGACCGATGTTTCTCTCTCTCTCTCTCTCTCTCACACACACACACTCACACACACTCTTTCTCTCTCTCTCTCTGTAAAGAAAAAAAAAAAAAAAAATATATATATATATATATATATATATATATATATATATATATATATATATATTCTTCTTTTTTTTAAAGCTGAGTCCTGTAGTCAAACAGCTTAGCATAAAATTTTGGTGAATACTTCATCTAGAAAAAGTCCAGGGCCGTAGTGGGGGTGCCACTTCCACTGCTATACCCTCAGCCTAAAGTGAGCTTGTGGAATGATATAAGTCAAATTCACATCACATTGTGCAGCTGTTTTTGTCTTTGTATAAATAGACTTCTTTTCTTTCCTTTCTTAAAATGAATTACCTTCCCACTAGGGAATGCATGCCTCTTAGTTTTCCACTTCTCCTTGAACTCTGTTTTGGGTATTTACATTTATCTGACCCCCAAAGGGACTGAGTTATTCTCCCTTTTTTCTGTTGAAATAGTCCTTTAACAAAAAATAATCTGACCCTTTTCTTATTGTTTCCTCTTTCAGATCAACTCACAATGAGATGGAGAAGAACCGGTGAGTTGGGGTTTGGGGTGGGATGGGGGGAGTTGTGATGCATTTTCTATTCATTAAGTTAGGAATTGTTTGCTCTTCTTAGCTCCTCCTACAGGTAGGACTCTGAGCCTCTAAGCAGCTCTGCCCAGAAGTCACTTAGGTGGAGGAAGGGCTTGCTAGTTCTAAAGACCACACCCCACCTTCACCCCAGCCTCCTGAGGAATGCTTTTCCGTGTGACTGTTCCACAGGCCAGAGCATTTTAGGTCCTAGGCAATGTTTCCCAAATGGTGTTTTTTTAAAAATTACATACTACTGAATGTAATTGACAGATATATATATAATACTACTATATATCCATACAAATATGAGTGTGCGTAGTTACAATGTACTTGTGAACAGAGATTGTCAGAATGCGGGCAAACAGGTGCAGAGCAGACATTGGATCGGTGACTCGTAGAGGAGCCGCGCCCTCCCTGAGCTCTTGCCCTCGGCCTCAGTTCCTCTCCCCGCTCGCTTCCTGCTGGGCGTTCACATCTTATTGTCCACCACAGAGTGCCCATCCTTCAGGGACACGGCCTGATGGCTCTCGCCTCTGGTTCCACATTAGAATCATTTGCAGAGCTTTTATATTTTAATAATGTTTTAGTTTTTTTTATTAAATTATTATCTGTGTACATATCTTACCATTCCCCCCACAGTAATTATTTTTAATGTTAAATACATTATACTTATACGGGTATATATTTTGGAGGAAAAGAACAAATTATCTTTGCTAATTTTATAAAGTAACTTTTTATTATAGAATGTTTCAAATTTACAAAAATAGAGCAAATAATGTAATCAACTCACATGTACCATCACCCAGCCTCAACAGTTATCAACCTTCTGCCAATCTTGTATAACCAACACCACCCTTTTCGTGGGATTTTTTAAAGCAAATCTATCTCTAGTAGACTTTTTACAAAAACAAAATATAACCACTTGCTTTTACTATGCAGAAGAATCATAATAATTCTTTGTGGAACTTAAAAACAAACACCCAGGCATCACCTTTAGCCATTCTGATTTAATCGGTTTGGGTTGAGAGTGTACACTGGCTGTTGTTGTTTTTAAAGCTCCAAGGTGATTTTCATGTCCATTCGGAGCTAAGATCACTGAACAAGCCTCGTTCTACTTGTGGAGCTCCCTTCAGTCTGAAATGTGGGCTCCCTACCCAAACTAGCTGGCTTTCTGGGTGCCCTGCATGAACAAGATGACATACAATATCATGCTTACCTCCTTGATGAGGGAGCCTGACTGTGAAAGTCAAGACTGAGTGACATGTTTCTCAATGAAAGGGCAGACCAGACCCTTACTGGGAAGGCAAATCTTGGAACAGGGCAAACTCTTAGTATTATCCCATTATGTAAGAGTGTGTATGTGTGTGTGGGGGTGGGAGGTGGAGGGAGGGGAGAGATGGATAGCGAGTGTGTTGCTGGACACACGTTTCTCCCCATCTCTTCTTCTCTTTTCATTTCTCTCTTGTGATTGGCCAGGTTTTAAGTCGGAGCTTTTTAAAGTCTGAGCTTCCTTTATGCTTTAGGGGTTTATATATATCATGAACTGGAAACTCAAAAGTGTCTCTTCGGAAGGTGGAAAGGGAGCCTAGCTTTTGTTTTCCATCTTTAGATTCTCTCCCATCTTGCTCCTTTGGAGTGAACTGGATAAATTGGGAATTTTTCTGCTGGAAATTCTTCTAGTGTTCCTTCTCCCCTCTAACATTTTACTTAGGCATTTATTTTAATTATTGAAATTTCGTCCCTCCATGTAAGGGCTCTTAGGCTTACTTGCTACAGCTTTGTGCCTTGCACCTCTGCAGGAATGCCACCAGAATGTCAGTTTTATCATTTATTATAGTAGCTCCAAGATGTCTGTTTTCTACCCACAGTGACCCAAGAACCTGTGCTCGGCACTGGTGTTAAGTGAGTTCAGACTGGGGTATTAACTCAGCATGGTCCCCACCTTAGAGACATGTAGCTTGTCCGTGAGAAAAGTGCAGAGAGTTCCAGTTAACATGCTGAGTGCTGAAATACAGGTATGCACAAGTGACTGGAGGCAAAAATTCTAGAAAACTGGAGTTGAAGTCACCACTGGGCAGGCTGCTTGTAACTCAGGCTGCTTCTGTATGACTCGTCAACTTCTGCTCGTTGAAGGGTTACTTATCTCGTTTCCTTATTGTCTTTTCATTTTTGGAATTTGGTCTTGTAAGGTCTTGATAATTCTTCCTGCAGCCTAGAGCCTGTGAACAGAAGAGAAGGAAGTAAGGACTCACATTTACGTAATTTAGCCATGCAGTCCGGGGAGGAGATTAAAGCTGTCACCACTTCTCCCTCAGTAGTGCGGTTGCTTAAGATTGTAGGGTTTTGAGGTCAGTTGAACAACTGTGCTTACAGCCTCCCTGGTTTCAGTAACTGGATGCCATAAGAGAACACTGCTTTATTAAATGCTACTACATGTGAGCCATTTTTTACCTTAACATCCCATTACAAAGACTGGCATAGCTCTCAAAAAAAAAAAAAAAAAAAAAAAAAAAAAAAAAAAAAAAGAGGTAGCGATTTAGAAAAACAAAAACAAAAACTTTTACCTGGGATTTTTTTCCTCTTTGAATCTTTTCTGTGGCACTTTTGAGATTCTGAATAATTGGTGTTCATCAGGACTCCATTCTGAGGAGACTGTATTCAGTGCACTGCTTAAATAGTCCTGGCATTCGTGGGGAGAGAGAAAGACCTAGGCTGGTGGAGGCAGCTGGGATTTCCATTCAGTGGACCAGGTGCCGTGACCACCCAAGAGGCTGGGACCCAGAGCCCATACAGACCCACCTGCTCGTGGGGTGGAGGGCTCAGTCAGTGTCCCTATGGGTGCGTTTTAACTAATGTTGTGGGTCTAGCCTCCTGAGGAAACACCCTGGGTGAGTAGATGGTGTGTTTCTTTTTGTCAAAAACTAATCTTTTTTTTTTTTTTAAATATTTTTATTGATTTTGTACAGAGAGGAAGGGAGAGAGATAGAGAGTTAGAAACATCGATGAGAGAGTGTCATCGATCAGCTGCCTCTTGCACACCCCCCACCGGGGATATGCCCGCAACCAAGGTACATGCCCTTGACCAGAATCGAACCCGGGGCCTTTCAGTCCCCAAGCCGACACTCTATCCATTGAGCCAAACCGGTCTCGGCTGTCAAAAACTAATCTTGTAGAAGTGTCTAAGAGATATAGAAAAATCATACTAAAAATTAAATCATCCATGAATCAAGCAGCCAGAGGAAGCCAAGGAACCTTTGAAATGTATCTTTCCAATTGGTTTTGGAAAATAACTTTAAAAATCTAGTTTAGTGTAGCAAATTTGAAAATTTAGAAAAGAAATTTTTAAGAGAATAGTAAAAAAATTAAAATAAATAATTGCCTGTAATAGACCTTGCAGCAGTAAAAACTGCTAACATTCCAGCTAAGTTATATATTTATCTAGACTTTTGTGCATACTTTTAAAAATTAACATCAGATCATATAGTAAATAATTTGAATCTTCTTTTTTAAGTTACATTATGAACATTTTCCACTGTTGTTACATCTCCTTTCCTAACATTACTTTTAGTGAATGCCCAGTATAGCATCATATGAATGTGCTATAATTCATATAACCAATCACCTATGCTAGGTTCTTCCCAGTATTTTGCTAGTGTAAGCAACGCTTCCTTAATTTACCTTGTAGATAAATCTCTGTCCAACACAATCATTATTTCCTTAGGGTAAAGTTGTAATTGTGGAATTAATGGTATACAAGTTGATAGTGGTTTTGATGTTGACTGCTGAGTTGATTGCCCGCCAACCAGGTTATGGCTAAGTCTTTCCATGCCAGTGTACCTTGTTTTAATCACTGAGGTTTTATCGTGCACTTCAGGATCTGGCAAAGCAAATCTCTCTTCTCCTCCCCTTTTTTTTTTTACTTAACCAAGCTCTAGCTATTTTCATCAGGTTTTTTTTTCCCTGGTGATTTTAAAATCGGTCCATCAACTCCTCATCCCCTAACTTCTGGGATTTTCAAAATAACTAAATAGTTCCAATATAAGTTCACCTTAAAAAGTTCTTATTTATAAATGTTTCCATGTACATCTTGCACATTTTTTTGTAAAAGATATTCCTTCCTGATTTACATATTTTTTAAAATATATTTTATTGATTTTTAGCAGAGAGAAAGGGAGAGAGATAGAGAGCTAGAAACGTCGATGTTTCTCATCGACCAGCTGCCTCTTGCACATCGACCAGCTGCCTCTTGCACACCTCCCACCGGGGATGTGCTGCAACCAAGGAACATGCCTTTGACCGGAATCGAACCTGGGACCTTTCAGTCCACAGACCGATGCTCTGCCACTGAGCCAAACCAGCTTCGGCTTGATTCACATATTTTTTATTGCTATTGGTTTCCCATTGTAATTACTCATTGGTTTTTATTGGGAAAAGAAAACATTTTAATCCTTTGTTATTATATTCTCTTTGCTGATGGTAATTCTGCTGTTTCCTTCTTTTTACTGGGAATTCTTCTGGTTTGAATCCCTTTCAGTGAGCCCTTAGCAAATGGAGCCTGAGGGAATGCATATAAGCGGACAGCGTTGTCAGGAGTCAGGTGCTAGCATGGACTTTCCCCCCCCCCCCCCCCCCAAAAAAGAAGGCTCTAGCATCTCCTTTTGTAGCAGACACTGGTTTTTCTGGAATGGTGCATGTGCAGGCTTTGCTGGAATCAGGCGGCTGGTCTAGAGAGAGTACCTCTGCCAGAGTCTTCTGAGCCCCATGACGAAGACCTTTGTGCGCTCCGCGGGGAGGACTCGGCAGCCTGATGTAAGCTGTTATTTTCGTTTTGTCAAACAGTGTTTCAGTGGCATCTGGTCTGGTACGTGAAACGTTTCATCAGGTCCTTTCTAGCAGAATATTCCAATTCACCGAAGGCCCCTGTAAGTTGTTACTTTCGAGTTTTGGCTTTTCAAATAGCT